GTGTTTTGTAACATTTGTTTGTATATTTTCATGTTTTGTAAAGCATCTTGTAACTCCAGTTTTGATAGGTGCTATAGAAATTAAGTTCATTATTATTTTTATTAGTATTACATGTCCCTCCCCTTCACTAAAGGCAATCACTTGCTTCATAAGAGCCAAACTGGGAAACATTCAGCCAATCATGCTGTTGCCCTGACGCAAGTGCAGCATTATATAAACTGTGAGGGAAAATGCTTTTTAAACCTTAGTTTAGGGCAAGTACGTCAAGTGTTTTTTTTTTTTTTTTTTTTTTTTACAGATTTGGTGATTGTATACTTGCAGGTTTTACGTCCCAGTAATCATCCCTTTAAGGATTTGGGTTGAACAAAAGTTTAAATAACAGTAGAACAGTAAAAGCACTGATACAAGCCCTAACAGGTCAATGTTTGTAGCTCTATAAATATTGAGTAGCTCCTTTGTTGGAAAAGTCACAAACTTTGGATTCTTATAGGTAAGTAAAAAACAAATCAATAAAAAAAATACTGTTTAGGCCCTTACAAGGAAAGCGGAGAGATGGTCTCTGACAGTCTCCAGCTCCTGTGGGACTAAAACAGCCTGCGTGTTCCAAAATTCCAGACGCTCCAGCGCAGACTGCAGCCATTCACTGATCTCTGCACACTCCCTTTGATACCTACATATATAAAAGACAGAATTTAAAAAGTGCCATGCAATGAAAAATATGCTCTTCTTTATTGTATGTTTATAAGCAGTTCTGATTTTTATGTGTTTCTGACCTGGTCCAGTGTTTTAGGATGGCCTCAAGGCGTTGTAGTTCCTTGTTGACTTTGGCAGTGTTGTTGAGCCAGTGTTCTCCCAGCAGAGCCAGTTGATTCTCCAGTGCAGGACAGCAAACTGACAGGAGGAGATGTTTGCCTTCATCTAGCACCTGGTAGAGCTTATGCTGGTGTTCTGTCAGTCTCCCCTTCAGACCCTTTACAGAGAATAAGAGAGGAAAAAAAGTCAGTTTTTGTAGGTGAAGTGGCACCAGCTGAGAATCTAAAGCTGAAGAATGTGAAACCGTGAGTTGCTCTTTGAGAAAGCTGCTTGAATCTGGACAGAATATAGAGTTGGTCAAAGCTAGCAGAGGTGCAAGTGAATAGCATCTTGCTAGTCAAACAACAAATGCTACCAGAGGAGCCTCTGTCATTATGACTGTATTGCATCTAAATAAGCTGATAAGCTTTATGCTGTATTATTGTATCACTGGCTAAAATCTAAATATATGTCACTTTGTACCTGATACAAGGAGATTCTGTCCAGAAGCCGTTCTTCAGTTTCTTCCACTAAGCCGGCAGATGGAATACTTCCTTCAACTGTGTCCAGGTGTCGGTTCAGGCTCTGGTAGTCCTGTATCAAACGGCACCAAGTCTGAAAAAAACAATCAAACAAAATATTTGAAACTTAATCATTTGGCAAACAAACGTCTGCATATCAAGCAGCTTTATTTCTCATGAAGAAAACTGTCAATGCGTGTATTTGCTCACATATGTGTAGATACAGATATTTGGAGAATGTTGATGAAGTTGCTTCTCCTCCTAGATGCCGTCAAATGGCCCACCAGTAGCAACAACTGACCACTTGACTAGTTATTATTATTTCTATTTTTTTGTGTCTAATGCAACATATTTATACACACAGCAACTACTGAGGTCCTCTATGATATAAAATAAAGTGTTAAGTTTCTAAAGCTCAGGAACTTGAAATATTTATTCCATCTCATATCTATTCCTTTGAAGTTACAAACCTGTAATAAGAGCAGAGTTCACCAACTTTTTGCACCATTTAGCTTTTAAAATACCCTTTAAACCAACAAATACAACGTGTTTGAATTTTCTGTCACTATGTCAGCTTTCTTCCAAAGAAAACCTGTAGTTAACATAAGCTGTGCCGTCTCTCATACCTCCAGGATACACTCCAGCTCCACTCCTTTACTGTGTGCCTGTTTCAGGACACTCTGAGCTTCAGCTAGCGTCTCCTCCAAAGCTTGGCTCTCTTTGGGAAGCATCAGGCCACTGATCTTCCTGAAGTAAGTCTCTGTTAGAATCATGTGGGACTCTAGACCCTGGAAGAACTCCTAGAAAAGATGATCAGTCACATAAACACAATAAAGATCAGGTCTATTTTATATTTAATAATTTTCTTGCACAAAAAAAAAATGTCTCCTGAGCCTAAGAACTTATCAGAGGTTGACTCTACCTTATGTTTGTCCAGGTGATGCTGGACTTCCTCCACAGAGCTGGCAATAATTCTCTGATCTGCAGCCATCTTGTCCTTCGCTGTGTCCACCAGGTCAGCCAGGTCCTGCAGAGCGCGTTCATACTGCTCCTTCAGAGCCATGTTCTGGTTCAGCCCACTGCGCCGGGAACCCACCGTCATCACCAGCTCCTCATAAGAGTCCTGGAAAGACACAGAAAAACATTTTTCTTGTTTGTCCTGATTTCTCCATCGTACATTCCGAATGAACAAAATAGTAGATTTTACTATAGGGATTTCAAGCTCAATAAATTTTTGCGCGTCATCAGTGATGTCTGTTACCTGTAGTTTCAGCAGTTTGTTTGTTGATATCTGATCTGCCTGTAGAGCTGCTCCTCTGGTTTTAAGCTCTGTGATTCTCTGTTCAAAGTCTTTCAGGCTCTCCTCTGCACTGGCAATGACCTGGAAGAAGCAGGTGACATTAGGAAATTAAATGCAGGAATTTTCTTGTTCTCTGTAAGCTCTTCAGGGAAACAGTGAGAGTATTACTGTATGTATATGCATGTTTAAGTAATCGCTTGCATTACCTCCAGTTGTTTGGAGGCTGGTCTATCCATTGCTCCAGCTAGGGCTTGCAGGATCTGGCATTTGGTCTCAATTAAAGCAGTTTGGAGAAGCTGCAATTCAGTCTGTGTCAAACAGAAGAAAAATGCTCATTATTAATATGTGCAGTTTACAATAACACATATATAAACTCCTGAGTTATAATAGAATATGCAAATATTATGCACTTCAATTTATGTTTACTAAAGGCTTTTCTGTGTTTTCTAAAACAACGACTTGACACGACGGGAAAAAAAATCCCTATTAGTTATTAGTGCTGAAAAAATGACTACATATAGATCAAAATCAATATTCAAAAGGCCTTCTAAGCATAAGAACAGCACAATATTTGATGAACCTGGTAGGCTGTGAGTTCATGCGTTCTGGTCCTCATGTGGTCACAGCGTTGTCCCAGAGCACAACCCAGAGCTCCTAATCTCTCTTTCAGGCAGTGGAGGTTGTCTTCCAGCAGCGCTCGGTCTTCATGCCTCATCCCTGAAGATCCAGCGAGCAGACTCTGGCTGAGCTTCACCTCCTCCGTCACATGTCTCACATCGCTCTCCAGGGTCTGCAGAGAAGATCAGGGCTAGTTAGATTTATTCTAAAAAAAAACTACCCAACTGCAACATTAAAAATCTGTAGTGTAGATAAACTGAGTTCAGTCACATTTCAATAACAAATACAGATTTTTTTTAATATGTATTTTTGTCAACTAATCCTACACTTGGACCACATACTGATGGGAGGAGGAATCACCTTGAGAGTTTTGAATTGATCTGAGGTCACGAGTATTACCAGGATTGTGTGTTTTGCTATTTTAAACCTGCAGTGATTATAAAGCTGCTCAGCTGTACCTCCTGCTTTTGCAGCTGAGTCTCTGCATTTTCCGCCAGCAGCACTGAGCCAGAGAAGACGTTGTTCTCAACACCATCCAGCCAGGAGGAGGTGGATGACACAGCTGTGAAGAGCTTCTGTTCCATCTGCGGCACCTGTGTCTCACCACCACCACCAGACTGCGCACACATTGGAATGACGCAAATTTCCTTTAGCACAGCATGCTTCACTAAATATCTTAAATGTTGAATATGATTATAGAAATGCCAAAACCTGAGTGGCCATGTCTTCTACTGTCTGTCTGAAGTTGTCATACAGAGTCTTCAGGGAGGATTTGTCAGCCTGTGTCTCGCCTTTAAACAAAGGCCCAGCTGTGGTCACACGAGGAGCTCTTGAAAACACCTGGAAATAAGAAAAAGAAATCCCAAACAGTTAACAACAGTACGCAGCATTTTCTATTACTACTGTATGCTGGCAATAATAAAATCGCTGTCTGTACCGGCTGCTTGTGGTCCTGCTCCAGGGTTTTCTGCAGGAGCTGCAGTTTAGTTTTGAGCTCCAGTCTCAAACTCTCCCATCTCTGCCTCATCTGCTCCCGTCCAGCCTGAGTTTCCCTCTCAGCCAAAGCCGCTGGTGAAAATGGCTCCGCTGTACTGCAGTGACAGAAACGTGAAGGAACATACGTTAAATACATTACTACATACATTAACTACGTACATTTTTGTGTGCATGTTGTATGTGAATTACCTGGCACTGCTGGGTGAGGCCTGCTGGATGAGGATCTCCTCTCCTCTGCTAGCAACTGACTGAAGCAGTTTTTTCTGCTCTGCGAGCTGCTCCTCCAGTTCCTGCAGGAGAAAATACGCAACATGACAAAAACGTCAGATTGTACAATATATGTGATTATCTTCACTTCATTGTAAAACCTTGGAAAATAGATTGAGAGAAGCTGGAAAATATGGCCAGATATATTGTCACGTTTTTCATATTTATAAATATTATTTATTAACACAATAGCAGTAAACACATTCATTCTGTTTGTTAGATCTCAAGGATACACACAATATGTTTTGGTGAGAAACACTGAATGCAAACATGAGCTTGGGTGCGACAATTAGCAGCAAGAGACGACAGACTGGCTTTCTGTATACACTGCATTTTGAAATGGGGGGAAAGCTTTGATGTGTTTCTCATCTTTGTGTCTGTAAATCTTGTAACATAAGAAATCCAATCTATTTCCATATCTGCAATGCTGTGTGACCTCTCTTTGGCACATTTTTCTCATCATTTGACTCTGCTTACTCGTTTGTAGTTTTCCAACATTGTGTTGTTTTTTTCCCTTGTGTTTTGGACCTATATGCATCAGCGGCGTAAACTTATTCCTGCACCATTATAGAAATTTGGAAACTGTGCAAACTGATAGCAAATAGATCAATTTATCACAAACTATAGTTTATCATGTATTTAAAACATTGAGGGAAAAAAGGAATTAATTATCATGATCGGTTGTTGCCCCAACCAAAAAATCCCAATGTATGACAAAGGACATTTCAGTTTCTGTTTTGCAATGCATGAGCCTTATAAACAAGGTTAAAAAACAATGTGAAAATTACCCTCTGTCTCTGAACACTGTCTTGGTGCTGCTGGGTTCGTGTGGTCCTGGCCTGGGCCAGCCAGTCCTGTACACTGGGACTCTGAGAGAGGCTGGAGTCTGATTCACTGTCTTCCTGCTCCTGCAGAGAGCCCTGTAGGATTACAGTTTATATTTGAAACAGGGAATAACAGCAAATAATCAGGACACATTAATTACAGTTTGACTCATATCTATGAAAGTTTTGCAAATTCATTTGTAAGCAAAAAACAAACAAACAAAAAAAAAAAACAGATGCCAGACTGGGAGCTTCAGGGGAACATTTTGATATTCTCTTGATCAACTTTTCATCTTTGGCCAGCAAACAGATCAAATGAACAAGATACTTTGGCCAACCTCATGTGCTCTCTTGCTCTAATGAACAGGGTAGTACAAATATAAAATGTTCCCACCAAAAGAAAACACGATATGCTATTTTGGAAAAGAGTTTTATTATAAATACGTTTTACTGACACGTGAAAACCTGAAAAATGTGATTGCTACAGTGGGGACTAAACACTATATTATGGCAGCGTTCAACACATATTAGTGTGTCAAAGTTTAAACCTCACCTGGATGTTAATCTGTTTGTCTTGTAGCATCTTCTGCAGCTCCAACAAACCACCCTTCAGTGTCCGTAGCTTCCTGGCCAAATGCTCAGCTTCCTCTCTGGTGTCCGTCCTGCCCTCCAGCAGCAGGTTCTCGCTGTGCATTGACAGCTCTGAGAGGGCTGACACCTTCTCTTCAATCTCCAGCAGCATGTTCTGCAGCAGGAGGAGGAGAGAGGCCAGCTCAAACATAGTGTCTCACCACCTACAGGAGCTCCCCCCTCTACACGGCAGACCCTCCAGGTCTGGCTGAACCCCCAACACCAGCAGCTTTCCCTGGCCACAGGACAGGGAGAGCTCTCATCCTTGGCCCACCTCGCCGGCCTCGCCTCCTGTGCAACATATTACCACTAATCCTTCACGCTCCATGCCCTGCAGCATACGTGCTCTTCCTCAAATTCAAAACCAATTCCTCTGCGTAAAACACCATTCTAAGTCCAGACCAGTTGTCAGGGCCCATTAGTGACAGTTGCTCCAATGTTTGAAGACGCATTTGTTTTCTAATTGCATTGCCACTCCTTTGCAATCGATAGCTTCAGCAGGTTGTTCTAAGGCGGAGAGTAACTGTCCCATCCTCCCCCTTACCCTCCCCGCACTCTAGGATTCCCCTACTTGGATATTCTAACAGCTTTGTGACCAGCACCAATCCCGGGAGAGACTCTATTAATCATCTGAAAGCTTCCAGCCCTGACTGCTCCGCCCTGTGCTTCTAACACACCCCTGTCCCACAGAGATATCTGCATAATCTGCTTAAGACTAGTGCTACAGTCGCTTAGGAGGCCAGCCATCCGAATGCCCCTCTAACTCCACTAATGCTCTTGTTTACTCACTGAAAGGCCCCTGCCTCCCTGGGATGATCCATATGTAATAAGGTAAACAAAATATTGAACGACATATGTAAATAATCTCTATGCTAAATTTAATTTGCATTAATGTGCAGAACAGAAACACTGAATCAAGAACTAGAAAACAGTTCTGTGTCATTCCTGACATTCTGCTACGACATATGCATTATTAAGTAACCTCATCTTGATATTCATAAATCCATTAATATTCTTAAGTTAAACAGGAATTCAAATGTGTTTGATTGCGGTCATTGTTGTGAGTGGACAGCAGGGGGAGCTCTTACTTGACATTCAGTCAGCTGATCCTCCATATCACTCTCCTCTACCGGTTGAGGTTCAAGGATGAAGGTTACAGCGCTGCGCATTCTGGCCAGCCACTGGTCCAGTTCATCTGCCTGGGTGTGATAGAGCTGTATGGCCTGTTCCTGACGCTGACCCTCCAGACGGTCACTGACACGCTCCTGAAGAAGACCACAACACATTTACTAAATACTGTACATTCATTAAGTTATGAATACAGAAATAGATTTGTAAACAACACACAACTATTAGCAGCTACTAGCAGCAGTGTAATTTTACAGTTTCCTTAAAAAAACTACCTCCAATAGTTGTTGTTTCCCTGTTGCCTTCATGTGGATGGTGGCCATCCTCTCAGCTAACACAGCGAGGGAGGACTGCATGGCCAGCTGGTCGGCCATGTCCGACTCCACAGCATCAGCAGCGAGATCCTCGGTGAAGCTTGTCTGCAGCCTGTTTATTTCTTCCTGCACACTCTGAATCTCTTCAATCAGACCCTGCAGAAAGCAGTCAAAGGTAAATAGTATATTTTTATGTCTGGAGTCACTGCATTGGTAAATCATATAGTAAATGTGACAAAAAGCGGATGCTGACATAAAGAATGAGACAAACGATCTCTACTCATAAAGGAATTCAGGATGTTTATATACAGGACTCACCTCATGTGCCTTTATGTGACTATCTGGACTTTTATCAGCCTCCAGAGGCTCACTGAGTTTGGCCTCCAAAGCCTCCATCTTAGAAGAAATTGACTGCAGCGAACCCTGATAATGTTGCTGCTTTTCCAGAGCTTCATACAGAGATCTCTGCTTCTCACTGATCTGTAAGTCAACAAATTAAAATACACAGGAGTTAAGTTTGAGAATTTTGAGAACTGCTTTGTTAAATTTACTTCTTAAGTATCTTTGCACAGCATGAAAAGCTTGATCACAAAATTTTAATGAGATGAAGTGACTTACTACTAAATAACTGCATATCATAGTTAGTCCATATTGAGTCATGGTGTCTTAATGACAACATGTAGCTGAAGGCAAATTACATTATAATTAAAACAGCAAGTGAGGTCCTGTGTTTTTTTACATACCACATTCTTTAAAGTCTCCCATGAGCGCTGCAGATCATCTAAGTTGGCCACAGACTCAAATGTGGGGTCATATAATTCCTGGATTGGAGCTCTTGTAAGAGTTCCTCGTCCCATCTAAACAAATCATTCAACATTATCACAAATAAATACTTTAATAAATCCCCAAATTTATTATCTGTCATGATGAACTTGCAGCTGCAGGTAGAACATATAAATGGATGATCACTTGCTTTGGGTAATAATGGTCTTATTATGTTTATTGCATGAATTAAGTGAGTGTTTTATTGAGGAAAGATTTCAGAAAAAAAATCACAAGTATCTGCAATTCGGCTATAAAGAGGAAGAGAAGAAGCAGATACCTTGGTTATAGTAACTTCAGTGTGAGTGATAGGAGAAGGAGAACGACACACAGGAGGAGATGAGACCTCGCTGTTAGTTCCCTCCTCGCCAGACTCCTCAGTTACAGGCGACAGCAGAGTGTGACAGCGACCAGCCGTCATCTGATACACACCATGCAAGAAGTAGGATTAACAGAGGAGCGGACACACAAGGCGAATTAGGAAAGATTAATCATAAGAAAGATGTTTAGTTGATTAAATTAAAGGAATAAAACTCAGTTAGCTAAAGCCAGAAATAGAATAGCGAGAATACAACACAGTAGATGACAGTTTCTCACCATGATGGCTTGTGCTGAAGATTTCTTGGATTTCTCCGCCTCCATCTCCTGCAGCCCCTCAGGCAGCCCCTCTACATCGCTCACTGTTAGCAGCATGGTGGCATGCTTCGCCTTCACTGCCAGCATTTTGCATTTTGAATTTAGTGAGGCAATTTGCTCCTGGTAGCCTTTGATCTTTTGGGCAAGCTCCTATCCAAAAACAGAATATGACATACAAAACTTGTAATGCAATTATGAGGAATTTTAACCTTTAGAACCTATTATACAGTGCAGACAATATAATAAGCAGACAGCGGGATTACACTGAATAAATTCAATAAATGCAGATATTGCAGCTCAGTGAATGTGTATTTACTGGTGCTGCTACTACACAAAAAAGGATTTCAGTTTAATGCCTTTAAAAGGTCATGCTTTGGTGATTTTCTTCAAATGTATAAATACGTGCCAGCATCGTATTTGTTGGGCCTGTATTAAACTATTGGTATGTATAGGGTTCCTTCCCCTCAGTTACTCCCTTTCCTGTGAAAGAAAGAGCAGATCAAGTGAGTGAATTAAGACAATGTACTTCGTGGTGAAGGATCTGGGCCTGCAGCTCCTGGATGTCGCTGCTGGGAATGGGTCGGTCCTGAATGACCCGATGTGCTTCCTCTATCAGGCCCTGGAGGTCTCTCACTTCGTGTTCATACTGCTCGTACTGCACCACCGCCTCCTACACAAGAATTAAAATCCTTTTGTTACCGTTAGATCGATGCAAAGCTCGAAAATGTGTTTTGAGAATGTGAAAACAGTAAACTCCTCAAAATGTGAAGGAGGACCATGTAAACCTGAGAGAAATTGGCATCACAAACAATTCTCTATTGTTTACAGCCTCAGAATAAATCTTCATGGGTGGTCACTTGGCAGTACTGTGACTCAAGCTACTTCCCATCTCCACTTTAATTGCATATTGTCTCTGAATGCAGGCTTGACAACAATACTATGTCAGTGTGTTGCAGCTACAGTGCCCCCCACTGTACCTGCAGGATGTTGCACTGCTGAATGGCAACGTGCTGCAACTGGCTGGCTTCTTGCTGCAGACGCAGAGCTGTGCGACAGATGGCAAGGTTGGGCATCACCTCCTCTGGGACCTGGAGAGCACTCTGACACAGCTGCACTGCCTGCACCTGCTGCTTGAAGCTCTCCATATCTGCCAACAGACGCTGCAAAAACAGGGAAAGTTTATATTGTGTGAAACAATTTACAAGCTGCACCGTGCATAATCAAGCATTCACGGTGATTCATGGAAAATTCTCGACCACATCATGAATTATTTTGATGTTGTAGGGTTACCTGTCTCTGAGCCAGCTGTTCTTTGAGGCTCTGGCGGGCCAGCTCTGGTGAGGTTAGTGTGGCTTGGACCTGCTCCAGAGCAACATGTAGGGCCTTAACTTCATACTCGAGGGCTTCCATACTCTGCAGACACAAGTCAATTGTATATTTATTCAGAGATATGAATACATCCCATGATGCGAAAAGTAAAACAGAAAAAAGAAATTTCGGTACCTTGTCTGCATCCTGAAGGCTCTGCAGCCGTGTCTTGATGCTTTGCTGAAGCTCCTCAGTGTGTCGACTGAGTTCACAAACCTGCTGGCTCATAGACTCGACCTGCAGCACCTCGGACAGAAGCTCTACTTTCTCTGCCATGGATTCAAGGTCTCCGTGGAGCTCTCGAGATTCACGCAGGACAGCCTAAACACAGGGAGGTGAATGCAGGCATGTGTTTTTTGGGCTACTGGAGTTAACTCAACTTTAATCTGAGGAGTTTCAGTAAAAAGTAACTAAACTTCTATTTTAAGTTTTTGAAGACATTTCACCTTAAGAGGTTTCTTTACCACTGAAGTAGCCTCTTGCATGACAGGTGAAATGTCCTCAAAAAACAAAAAGACAAGTCTATTTGCTCTATATATGTCCATCTGTTAACATCCTTTCTTCTCTGAATAATATGGAAAAATGCAGAAAACTCATTTTTAAACACCCCAGCTCACCTGATACATCCGAATTTGCTCCTGCAGATGAACTGAAGAGTTCCAGATGATGTTTGCCCTCACCAGGCTTTTGGCTTTCTCCGACCACCTCAAGATGAAGTCCAGCATCTCATTATACTCATCTAAATAGCAGACAGCCTGAAGAGCCACGATAAAACAGATTAGGAAAGTATTCTTACCCATGTCACACAATTAATCAATGTTATGGGGCACCAGCTGTGCATGTGCAGAAGACCGGAAAAAACGAACCTTTTTGAGCCAGTTGTTCCTACAGTCTGCCAGTCGTGTTGTGTGGTGATGCATCTCTGATAGTTTGCTGATGGCATCACTTAGCTGTTTAGCCAGCAGGGGGTTCCTGCGCCCGAACTCTTGAACAGATGCATCCAGCTCTGACAGAGTGCGACCGCAGGAGTCCAAATCCTCAAACAAGCTCTGAGAAAACAAAAGCAACAGGAAGAAGTTAATATCCTTAAGAGTATTGAATGATAATAAAACTAATGTTTCAGATTGTTCTGTGACACCCACAACAAAAAGAAAGTAACGCACCTTGACCTCTTCTTTGGCATGGTCAACATCGGGAGACTTTTCCTTAAATTTATTGGAGATGGCTTTGAGTTTCTCGGACATGTCGTGGATTCTGGAGCTGAAGTCCTCCTTTATTTCTCTGGTTTTCTGGTTTTCTCTCTCTTTGGAGAGAACCTGGAATACATACGAGAAGAGAAAACAAATGTCACATGAGTAATTATGCCAGAAGTGACACATGCTCAGAATTTTTATTTACTTTCAAAGGTGTTCATATGCTACAGTACCTGATCCTCAATAGCACCCAATGCGAGTGACACCTCGGCCAGTTGCATGGAGATTTCAGAGGGGAGTATAGTGTAAAGGTCCAGGTACTTGCTCTGCTGTTGCTCTGCTAATTTCTCCACATTCTGACGATATGTGATAACATCTCCATGTACAACCTAAACACAACAAAAAGTAGAAACAATTTACTTTTCATACAAATAACAATGTGTAAACACATATACAAAGATTTAAAGTACTGGGTTGGTTCAGGAACACTGCAGACATACAGACAAATTCATATATTTGTACCTCAAGCTCCTGCAATAGAGAATCGATGTCTGGTGTGGGATTTAGTAGAAGCTCTCTGGTCTCCTGGATCCAGGCTTTTACAACACTAAGCTCCTTCTCCACTTCTTCTCTGTCCCTCAATTCCTGAGCTGTCTGAGCTCGCTTGGTCCTGGACTGAGTCAAAAGGCTGAAGACAAACAGAAAATTCTGAGTGGCACAGTTAACATAACAACCACTGAAGGTGTTGACTTTCAGGAAGGAAAAAAATATTTATTAAGTCAGTCATTAAAAACAGTTAATGCAGACGGCCCTTATTTCAGATTTATCTTCTCACTACCTTTCCATTTGGTCTTGTACAGCTCTGATCTCCTTCAGGCTGGGCAGCTCATCCTGCTCATTTGTTGGTGAAGGCACTTCCACATCGTGCAGCAGGCTCAGGGCGTACTGGCGCAGCAGTGTGAGGGCGGAGAGTTCCCGCTCCAAGTCTTGGCTCAGCAGGTCATGCTGGTCCAACAGAGACTGCAGAGTGGCTTTGGAGGCCTTCTCCACAGCACTGTCCGGGAAACGGCTCTGGAGCTCATCAGAGACTGCTCTAACCTTCACCATCTGTAAAAAATAACATTTATGAAAGAGTGAAAAGCTATATTTATATAATTGTGAATAAAATATTCCCCCAATTGGCTGCCTGTGTACCTTCTCTGTGAAAGTCCTCCATTCCTGTGATGTGTCCTCGAGTACTCTCTCCTGTCCCCTTGCCACACTGCGTAGTCGTGTCCAGCGCTGCCACACGGTGGTCATGGAGCGGCTGATGGTGGCCTTGCTGGCATCGCTGCCCACCAGCTCCAGCTGAGCAGCTTGTTCCTCTAAACCGCTCAGCTTCTCTTGGAAACCAGTCACCAGTGATACAAGGGACTGAAAGAATAGAAGACCGTTAATAGCACATAGCATTCATAGAAGCACCACCTATTTTCTATGAGGGAATGCACTTGATTTGGCCTCTCATACCCGGTGACTGCACAGCTTGTCTTCAGCCTCTTGGCTTGTGGCTGCCTTTGCAGTCGAGAATTCAGTCAGCTTCTTTTCAGCTTCATTCATAAGCTCAATGACAGTCTGCCTTGCCTCCTGATATGTCTTCCACTGGGCCACACAGCTGAGAAAAACAGAATTTGTTACAGTATAAAATGTCACTAAAAACTGCAACAAGTATCATAATCGAGGCTATTATCTCTATTTTCTACCAGTTACCTGTGAAGGACGTCCTGGTGACACTGGAGCTGATCTCGAACCTCCACACCTCTCTGCTTTGCCGACTCCACGCTCACCCGAAGCTGCTCTTTAGCTGTAGGGTTGACCACGTTCTCCAGCTGAGGGAGCAGCGTCTGCAGCTCCTCCAAGTGGATGAGAAACTCCTGCTCGGTGGCCATGATGTCTCCCTGCTGTCTGAGGCACTCCTCATAGTTCTCTACATCCACGCCTAAGCTAGCTTGTTGCAGGAAAGACACAGCATCCTCCAGCCACTCACAGGCTGACTGCATCCTGAAGTGGTATTTCTGACACAGCACCAAGGCTTCCTCCAGAGTAATCTGCACACAAAAGCAAATGAGGGAGTGTTAATGAAGCTTATTTCACTGGAAAATACTGGATTACTACAGCTAACAACATTAAAGCATTTCACATTCACTAGATACTAAATGTGACATTGTCCCACCTGTTTGGAGCTCAGTGCTTTCTGAACGTCTGCTTGCAGCTTTGCCATTTCCTCCAGGCTTGTATCTACGTGGGTTGGGACGAGCTCATTGGCAGTGACATACTCCTGTTTTTCCCTGCTACTCAGAGCAGCCACGATTCTCAGTCTGGACTGCACTTCTTCTTGCATGATTTGCTGCTTCCTGATCTCCTCCTGCACCTTCTCCACTCTCACATCCACGATCACGGCACAGCCCAGTTCATCCCTGACCTGCTGCAGCCAGTCCAGCGTCCTTTTCATCTCCGTCTCAAAGTCTTTACTTTGGATAAACCTGGTCTCACATTCTTCAATCAGCTCCCCTACGGCAGCCTGTAAGGATCGCAGCTCATCTTGCCACAGGACCACTTGCTCTTTCGAGGCGTCATGGGCGGCTTGTTCCACACGTGGAGCCAGAGTGTCCATCTGCTCCATGAGCCTCGACAAGTGAGAGTTGGCACTCTGGAGACTTCCCGCCAGAGCGTGGTAGTTCTTCAGCCTCTCCTCGGCCGACTGCGTCTCTGCGTTCACTTTGACCAGCTGCTCCTTTGTGGCCTTTAACTCAAAGTCAACCTGCATAGCCATCGCCTTGTGGTCCTCAAATGACTCCAACGTTTCATCCAAATGCTCTACTTTCTGTTCTACCAACCTCTTTAGTCCATTGTACAGGCTCACAAGTTGGGTCATTTCCTCTGGGCGCCACGGTTGCCCGGTGCTACGGAATCCCTCTTTCTTTTGGTTCAGTTCACTCACGGCTAGGCCCAGGTTGCTGAGATCGGTCTGAATTGCTTTGTAATCACTCTGCAAACTGAGAACCTCTTCTGTTTGCAAGCCTACAGGCTGCGTCCCCAGACTGTTGAACTGTTCTTCGAGCTCTTTCAGTGCTTTGTGAGTGACATCTATGAATGACGTGTACTCGTTCCTTGTGAGAATGGCCTGCTGGATTTTCTCCTGTTTCTCCTTGGCTAATGCTAATATGCTATTATATTGCTGAGGGAGGGTGTTGAGTTTTTCGTCCAAATAGCAGTGGTCTACTTCATTCAGAGTGGGCAACACTTCCTGGCCAGCTCTTTGTACAATGAGGAGGAGGTTCTCATATTCAATTGCCTGCTCAACTATCTGTTGATACTTCATTAGCTGCGCTTCCAATTCAGCATCTCCAACCATTAGATTTATTTCAGGAAAGGTGACTATATCGGCTTGTTTTATCCACAGGCATATTTTCTCTAGATCAGTCTTGAAATACTTTCGAGAAACAAGCACTTTTTCAAGCTCCTGAAGTTTTTGGCCACACCTGTGCAGTGTTTTGTCAAAGATATTTTGCAACTCCTGCAACTTTGTGAGAATCTCAGTCCTTTCTTCCTCGCTGGCATCCCTCATCAGGTCTCTGCCCTGAGACCACAAGGAGGTCAGCTCACTCTGATAGGCTTTCAGACTGCTTTGTATGTTCCTGCATGTTCGGACCTGCTTGGCTAAATCATCAGGTAACAGAGCAATATACTCCTCTGATTGGGCCTTCTTCTCATTCTGCTGGACCCAGGAGATGGACTGACTCACAGCCATCAGGAACTGCGTCCTCTCTGTAAAAGCCTTGCTCAGGTGTTTTCTGCGCTGCACCACTTTTACACTCAGAGATTCCACCTCAGATTGCGTGTCAGAAATCAGCTGCTGAAGGTGATGCCGTTCGCTGAGGCCGAGCCGGGCTAGCACCCTGTCAGCATCTGCCATGGCCTGGGCCAGGAGGAGCTGCTTGGCCTCCAGCTCACTGCAGATGCTCAGGTGGTCAAACAGGAAGCTCTGAGCCAGCTCAGGTGGAGGGCTCATTTTCATGGCTTCAGACAGGGCAGGCTGCTGCTCCTCTGCCCAGTCCCGAGCCTCTCTCAGACGGGCCTCCACCTGACCCATATCTTCCAGGGTCACCACTGAGTCCTGGATCTTTCTTTCAATTAGGTTTTGCATCTGGGACCATCTCTGCTCAAAGTGGCTGATTTGCTCTTTTACCAGCTCTTTGTCATCCAAGTTCAGATGCTGGATGACTTTCTGCTTCTGGTCCTTGAGGTCTTCAAGAACTCCTTTTTGTTCTTCGAGAGTTACTGCAAGTTTCCGCAATGCCTCCAAATGCTGAGATGAACTTTCGGCATCCGTTCTGTGATACAAAAACAAAACAACTCATTATACAAATTTGTTGAGGACATCCAATGACACAAGATTATACATTTTGATTTATAGAACTGAACTTCAGCTTTTTAAAAACATATAAAAAGATTATAGCAACTGCTCAATAAATAGTCCTGGACAGGCATTTTCTGCCCACAGACATCTCTCTTTGTGAAACCTGATAGTTTTAAATTTAAATTTTATTTTCATAGCAGTATGGATGACTGATTTTGATGTACACTTCATGTATAGACACACCTGGCCAGATTGTCCCACTCTTTGGACACCTGCTCAAACAGCACCTCCACTGCAGCAATACAGTCGTGATATTCTTTAGATCTCTGCAGATCCTCCTCTCTCTGGCTCTGCAGCTTGTTGGCCTGGTGACAAAGCTCCAGCCAGGAATTGCTCAGACGGTCGAGCTCTGCATGTTCCGGAGAGTCCTGGCCACCAGTCAATCTGCTCACAGTCTCGGTCATCTTGGTCAGGATACTCTGTTTAGACTGCAGTTGCTGGCTGCATTCCTGAGTGACAAGCAATATATTGGATGGCAACCATAAATACTTCCAAACACTAAGCAGATCTCTCTCTAATCCCTTCACAACTCGGGCCAAAATGTTGGATTAGATAATAATGACAAAATCACAGACAGAATCCCGTCTGGGCTCGCTCTGCTGCACAGTTAAAGTAAAAAGCACATACAGACAAACAGACATCTTCATTTTAATAAACAGAACTGCAGAAGAATGCAGAAGGATGAATTATGAGCGTGACTAAAAAGGAGTCAGACTTTGTGTGCATCCTTGAGGGACTGATGGTTATGATACTGTAACCTACCTTGGCTTGTGACAGCATGTTTTGTGCTATCTTGGTCTCCAGCTCTGCTGGTCTTCTGGACAGACTGAGAAGCTGCTGCTCCATGTCCTGGAACAGGCTCGTTAGATCTTGTTTTTGTTCTTTGATCTCTCTCCAGCCCTCTGAAAGCTCCTGAGCACTGGACATCCTTTCCTCTATCTGCACAAACACATTGTAAACCTTTTTACAGTGAACATGTGCAGGAGCATGCATAATGAAGAACCATTCTTAATATAGAAACACACCATAATGTTAAATTTCCATTTTATATTTTCCTCTATCACATTGCATATCTTATTGAATGCATATAGTGACTTATTGCTAAATACTTGCTGGTAATATACACACTCAGGTTTGCTCTTGTGAACTGCAGTATTTTGCTTTGCACTTCATCTGAGATTCTTCCAACAAATAACACAACTTACAAATACTAGAACAACTAAAAACAACTTATTAAAATCCTGATCCACTTTAATTACAGTACTCATGACTTTAATTACAATGATACACTAATTATACTGCAGTCATAAAATGATTTTTTTATGTTGTTCAATAGAAAAGCAGGTAAAATAACACTGACCGTAAGTTTGATCTGCTGGACTTTAGCAGCCGTCACTCTTACAGCATCATCAGACAGGTCACACACAGAACACACCAGGTCCAGGTAAGTGCTCGCCTGCTCCTGAAGGGCTCTGTAGTGCTTAACCTGTGTGTGAAAAATAATGAATCCAAATAAATGACAGAAAAATAACATATTATTGTACTCCAAGGCCAGCCAAAGCTGTGCTGTGTTAAATACCTGCTTCAGTGCTTCCTGCAGACCAGATGGTCCCTGATCATTGAGCTGAAGCTCCTCTTGTACTGTGGAGAGCCAGGTCTGGCACTGCTGGAGAGTGTCCTGATGATTAACATGTTTCTGCAACTCCCGGTCCAGACTCTGGTAGACCTGTTGAACATCGGAGGCATTAAAATTTAACCAGCTTTACTTGTTAAGATAAATGTTACTAAATGATTAAGAGAGACCACTCACACGTTGCGCAGTGCTGCAGATAGCAGAATAGCTATCTCTGGTTCCCTGTTGGTGAGCCTGGACTTGTTGGCTGATCTTAGCTTGAACTTGGTCTGTACAGCTGGCAACAAGACCTTCTCCTTTCTGCTTCAAGCTGGTAAGACGCTCCTCAAAACTGGCTATCTCCTCCATTATTGCCTGAAAATAATGAGACATTAAAAAACTGTTGACTTAAGCTAGAGAACGTAGAGATGGCTTCGGTGTTCATCTGTATTTTGCCGAGCTTAGATGCAGGACCTCTTCAGAAGATTTAATAGTAACTTCATGTAATAATGTAAACGGCAATAAAGTTATCATTATGGTAAAAACTGTAGATTTTGTCCAATATGGAGTTATTCACCTTATGACGGGCAAGCTGCTGAGTGGCCATCTCCATGCTGCTGGTCTGCATGGAGTCTGAGGTCACCAGCCTACTGGACATCTGTAAAAGCCATTTCTCAACTTCTTGCAGTTCACTGTTGTAATCCTCGTGTTCCTTCACCCACTCCACAAGGTTCTGGACCTGTGTCTGAATCACAAAGCAAACCTCGCTTATTTTTCTATCTTAATGATACATGATAATCTACTATACTTGTATATTGCTTTCAAAAATACACTTGGGTTCAAAATTTGCTCATGTAATACATACACAACATTAGCAATGAATAAAATCTATGGTTTTTGACTGATTTGAGACCCTCCTTCCGAAACCAACGCCCCAAACTATATTACATCTCAGCTCAACAGTAACTTTACCTTAGCAGCCAAACAGAGGTCTTGGTAGTCAGCCTGCAGCCGTTTCATGTTTTCACTGATAGTTGGGTCATTCACTGTGTCGAGCAGCGCCTCTCCTTTCTCAATGACAGATTTTACTGCTGACTCATGAGACTGCACTGTCTGCTGGATTGTCTGAAAGCATGACAAGGAAGCAAAATCAAGTAGTTGTCTCTTTGGTTTGACTGTTTCCAGGACGACAACAACAACTTACAAGTGTTCTTACCTTATATTTTGCTAGCTGAGCCTTCTTCTGGTAGAGTTCAGCTTTAGGCTCTACACTTGAGGCTAAAAGGTTCTTGGTCTCCATCACCCACTGGGCCTGCGCCTTGTATTTATCCATAAAGTCTTTGGAGAGTGAGATGCATTTCTCGAGGGAGCTATGCTCTGTGCGCAGAGCTGTCATTAACTCCTCTAGCAGGAAGAGTCGAGTGTCCACTTCTTCCTTGAGCTGCTCTGCTTCAGGTTCCTCCAAGAACGCCATGGCTCGCTCTGTCTTCTCCCTCATTGCCTTCAGGTAAGTGTGGGCCTGCTCCATGTCAGCCTGAAGAGCCTGAGAAGACATGGGCTGTTATTAATAGGCGTGTGACATACACCACATGTTTGAGTTTGATTATACTGTGGCCATTTTCATTATAATTCTTTAGGTCTTTAAGTCAGTTCTGTCAATAAAAGATTGCCCAAGTCACAGCAGTGACATAAAGTTCTGTTGGAGGTCTCATCCTATGAATTGTCACAGGAAAGGCATAGTATGTAGACGACATGCACAGTATTTTACAAGCATACCTCCAGTTTCTTCATCTTTCTCTCCATGGCAAAGCGGTCCACTATATCAACACTTATAGCCACGGTGCTGAAGTTATTCTGAGCTGAGCTGAGCCAGTCTGAGAAGGTGGTGAAGACACATTGAGCCTCTTCAATGCAGGACACCTCCTCTTGGAGTTGTTTAATGGTCTCCTAGAATACAAACAAAGAGGAAAAACAAGGTTATCAGGGGAAAAGATGGATTAAGGTAGCTAAGCTGATAACATCTTTTCAATAATTTGTCAAAACACAGACTTACAGCAATGACTTTTATAAATCTCAATGAATCTATCTTTTAAACTCTATTAACCACCTGACCCCCAATCCCACTGGTGGATTTAAAAGGCATGCTTTCTTTAAAGAAAAGTGCCAAAATTACACCATTCATCAGAACCAGAAATTGTGAAAAATAATCGATTTCCATTTGCCATTTTGTCAGCACACCTAATTAAATCTAAGCTTAAAATTATGATGTTTCAACAAAATCACTTTAATCTACATGTCTCATTTAAAAATTTACAAAAAGTATTTGCTCTAACCAGATTCTGTAAAAATAATAATTATAATAATAATAATTCAGCCCTCAAAAGCAAAATGAAGCCATTTTTTTTGCAAAACAAATCATCAAAAAAGGTGTCTTTAAGGTTGTTTATTTTTAATGATTTGTAGCATTATAACTTTTTCATACTACACAAAAATCTTTTTGGAGTTTTCTCTAGTTCTAGCCAGTGGGCTGTTTCTATAGAGATACAGGACTGTATATTGCACTGAAAAATGTGTCAGGAACAAAAAACGCTCAGAAACCTCTAGGGGTTCACAGAGTTAACAAGCAGACGTGAAACTAAATGCATGATTGTACATTTCATTATCAGCATATAACATTCACAGCCATTTGTTCCTGTTTTCAAGAAGATGTTACCAGTAAATGCAGAAGCAGTGCGTGGTATCGAGCTGTGATCTGGGTGGCTCTGCTGCAGATTCGGCTGCTAATATGTGTCTCGTCCAAAACTTGCTGAGCCAAAAGACTGAGGCCCTCCATCTCCTCTTGATAAACCAGCACTTCCTCCTGCCAGCTCTGATGAGAGAAGAATTCCTATTAATGTCAGGATGCCACTTAGATAATTAGATGTAATTACACTGATTACTTGATTTCTAAACAAATTTATTTGTTGCAAGATTCATGGAAATTAGAGATGACCTTTATCAGCTGAAGTTGAGCATCTTTGGTGGTGCGATCAGACCGCCGATGACTACGCAGTTGTGCTTTTGTCTCCATGCCCTTTAGCCAGCTGTCAAGACGCTGGAACTTCTGCTCCATCTGCCGGAGTTTGGCCAGAGCGCTGTTGAGCTGAGCTCGGGTGTCGGCCAGCCGAGCCTGGTAGAGCCTCCACTCCTGCTGAAGTGTTTCCAGTGCTCTGTCTTCTATCTGAGGCAGACCCCAGGGGATGACCAGCTCTCGACTGACCAGTATGGTGTTTAGCAAAGCCTGGCCCTCTGTGCAGTGCAGCTGTAGCTCCTGTAATTACACAGATACAGTTGAGCACTTTCATCTTTCTACACTTTTGCATAATAATGGAATACAGCTTCTGGCTATGGAGTAGTGTTGTGCTAATGGCATGTCGTTACCACACTGATAATTTTCAGACCTGCAGCTTTTGGAGAGTCTCCTCCAACATATCAACATCCCCCTCGAGCTGGGTGTAACAGCCAAGCTTCTCTTGTTCCTCTTCAAGCCACTCTTCAAATGCATGAAGGCCCCGCTGATACTCTTGATGGGCTTTCACCAGCTCCTCTGCTTTTCCTACTGCCCTCTGGGGAAGTACAAAGCAAGAATTCAGCTGTAATACAACAGGATCCAATTTTTCCGTTGACATCTGGGTTGATCCGCAGCCACTGGTTGGTATTTCCACACCACACACTGTTTTTTTTAGCAGTGTGATGTTATTTTTTCCTGAATTCTGTGTAAATAAATCTCATTTGTCTGCAATCATGTTATTTAAAAGTAACAATAAATGACAATAAACCTATATTTTCATTATAGAACTTAAGACACGTTTTGCATCCAGTGGTACAGGTCATAATACTAAATCATTGTGTACATTCTGGTCCTTATTACCATAGCGTTGTCTTTGATAGTGTTATAGCGCTCCTGCAGGTCTTGCAGCTCCAGCTGAGTGACATAGTTCTCAGTAATACCAGCACTTTTTGCAGTGATGGTGTCCAGCAGGCTGGTGTGACTGAGAACTTCTTCATACAGCAACTGAAACAAGAGGGAAAGTTGAAGTTATAATATCAATCAATTCTGAATGAAAGTGAAACGTATACCTTCACTACCATGTTCATTTTCACCATTGGTTATTAGAGTGGCAACAAATCATTTATACTACACAGCATGAAAGAGGAGATTGCAGTACCTTGGCTTTGCTCAGATTAGCAGTTTTATCTCTCATCTCTGAGCACTGCTTATCAGTAGGATCAAGACTCTCTTCCACACGGTCAACCCAGGCCACAAACTGGCGTACATCCTCCTGGTAACTGGTCCACTGAGACAGCGAACCCTCCAGCTGACTGTCGATTTTAAGGATTACAATTATGTCAGACAATGGTGGTTAAATGCTACAATATAAGATGAGATGCGAAACAGAAAAAGCAGCAGATTAAAGCTGAGTACACTTTCCACTTTTCATAGGAAAACCTTTGGTGGACAATGCTGTTGCTAAAAACCGACTAAAGGGCTTAGGTGTCATTACTTTTGGCAAAGAACAAACCTTTTGCATTGAATAGAAGCAGAGAGCAGGGCATCCCATGAATCCTTTAGGTCCTGTATTTGTTTTTGGACCACAGGCACTCCGTCAGCGGAGGTGTTTCTCTGAACTGACTCTCCTCTTGTGATCAACATCTTCAGCTGGATCTCCTTCTCCTGACGAGCGGTCAGCAAGGCCTGGTGCAACAATCATCCGTGTGTACTGATTACAATCCTATATGGAGTATTCAGAGTGGCAGCTCTACAACTGAAAACTAACAGTGACTTTGCATACCTCAAGCTTGATCATCCTGCTGTCAAGAACGTTTTTGTCAGCGGTGGGGGCGCAGTACGTCTGCAGCATATGACTGGTGTCAGCCACCCAGTTCTGCAGCTCCTTTAACCCTTGGGAGAAAAGTTGGTGCTCGGTGACTATCCGATCGATCCGGGACGCCTTCTCCTATAGAGCCACAAAGCAGGACACAACCAGAAAGTTACCAATATAGGTTGTAGAGATGGAATTAATCGTTGGTTCAACCTAAAGTGCGCATGCAGATGTCTATTAAAGATTTATTACAGAAGACATAAAGAAAAATTAGTTTGTGTATCCTCCAAAACAGACTTACATTAACAAAAGAAAGACATTAGTATTTAACAATGGGGAGTTAGTACCATCACTGTTTATCATCTGTAAAATAAAGTCAAGTCAGAGCTCCGTCCAGTCTAGTGCCTCTGTTTCCTCTCCAGCTCTACCCACAGAAAAGCCCCCAGTGCCCAGGCAGTTTGGTAGGCATTACTTTACCTTGGTCAGGTTGGTTAAAGCTAGGTACTGAGCAGAGAGTTGCGAGACGCGGTGCACAAAACCCTTGCCGGCCGCGTGTTCATCCCACAACAGCTGGGCCTTCTCTTTCAGCCTGTTCAGCTGAACCTCATGAGAGGCTAACTCCTCAAGCACAGACTGGAAGAGCACAAGCAAGTTATCAAAGAGGCATGCAAGCTGGCACACAGATATATAAGACAGTTAAATTCAGACACACAGCAAAGAGGGGTTAGAGATGAAAACATGACAAAAAGAAAAGCGAATGAGACATATGGCCAGTGTTACTTCCACTGAAAGCTCTCGGTCATGACATGCAGTCAAGCCCCTGGAAATAGCCAGCAGAGAGATTTAAACAATGAATATATCCTAAAATCACTTTGTTTTTTTTAAAGACACTGTTAAAAAGTGAGTAGCAAAGAGGAGCAGAAAGTACCGGCAGTTAGCATAAGCTATTGGCAGTTTGCTTCCTAAGTGAAGATGTTCAGTGCTAATACTTTGCAACTTAGCTGGAATGGTGAGCTTCTGCAAATGGAAGGAGCGGTCAGGTTCAAACTTAAGCCCTGAGTGGTTATTGCACTCGAGCATGACTGGTTTTGAGGGATGTTCCAAGCTCAGTGGTTTTTGGACATTTGTACCTGCAGCTTTTGAAGCTCGAGCTTTTTGGCTGTGAGATCATGAAGTCTTGTGCTGCTTTCCTGCACAGCCAGCTCTGTGGCATTCAGGCACTCCTGAAGAGGCTCCGCACTGGCCTCAAAGTCCTTCATTTGAGACAAAAGGTTCTGAAACACACAAGACGATGCTGAGATGTTATCTTGACATAATACTCACCAATGTACCACAGGTTTGAGGGAATGAGATGAAAGATGGCTCCAGTGCTAGAATGCTTACTTGCAGATTTGTCTCTCTGTTGTGCAGATTAGACATGATGTTTTTCCAGTCGTCTCTAGCAGTGTTCATTTTAGCCCGAACTGCGTCAACTTTGTCTTTAGCTGCGATGCTAGAGACAAGTTCGCCGTTCACAACCACCGCATTCACCTTTGACTGACCCTGCTCTCTGTCGCTTATAAACTCCTGAGAAGAGAAGTGGGAACAGATGTAGCACACAGACCAGTTTTGAGATTAAAATAATTGTTAGTACCTGTACAAATCTGTTTTTCTGCTGGTAAAAGTGTTTCATGGCGTTTGACTCTGAGTTTCCTACCTGAATCTTCTGCAAACTAGATGCGGCCTCGTTGACATTTTGAGGTACGTCAAAGCACTTGGCTGTGTTGATCTTGGCATTGACCAACCATTGCTGGAACTCTCTGAAGGCTGAGCGGAACCCTTGTTCCAGCAGCTTCTCTTTGCTGTGGCACTCTCTGGACGCTTGGAGACTCAGACTAGAAACAAGCCAAGAAAAAACACATTTCTATCTCATAATATCATTTTGTAAACAGCCATATTTAATGTATCAAATCTGATTTTGGCACTCATACTGTCTTAGCCGTGCTGAGACTTGTTGGTTTGACAATCGTCCAAGCAGAAATCATTTACTCTGTCACGCAATAAATACGACCTTTTAAGTTTTGTTGACAGTGTGTCTAAAAGGTGTTGAGTCACTTATATAGTAACTAATAGTTACACTGTGTAGTTTGTGGTTTTCTGTGTTTAACCTAATTGTGCTGTTTCCAAAATGTCTGCTTCTCTATATTGTATATGCAAATGTGGTCGACCAAAATACCACAAAATAAAGCCTCATGCGTTCTACTAAACATGTCCCAAACATTGAAAGAAACAACTTGTTATTGTAAGAAATGACAAACCTTTATGTAGAGTTGTATTTATTGTGTGGCTATTATATTGCATTGCACTAGACTGTATGCGGGTTACAATTTTCCTAGTCACTTTTGGTCTGTATTTTTACAACAGATCTTGCTTTAATGATCTGGAAAAAAAGTAAAATGTCTGATATATGCTTGATGTAGTAACAGTTTACCATATTTGCATTTTCTCACCTGTTGTATTCCTTAATGAGAGCAGACACTCTCTCAGACTGCGTTCCCATTTCTCTGGAGAACCGGCACAGATCATTGAGTTGGGTCTTCAGACTATCAGACGTGGGCTCAGCTTTGACAAGTTCCTCCAAAGTGTCCTGGATGGAAAACAAATACCATGAAGTAACAAACACCCTCAAAACATGAATTAAATGCAGCATTTGATATGCTTTAGTCATCTCCTGCTATCCCTGCAAGTTTCAAATTAATGGTGGCTTACGCATGGAACTAAACGTAGCCAAGACTTGCCTTTGCTATCTGCCAGCCTTTAACAGCTTCCTCTCCATCATTTTTACCCTCCACTTGGTTTAGTCGCAGTCGCCAGGACTTCAGCTGGCGGTTGAAGTCCTGCAGGTCCTGCTCCAGTTGTACTGACAGGCTGCTGAACTCTTGCTCAGAACTGGCTATCTGTGAGAGCGTAGTCTCCAGACTAGCTCGCGTCTGCAGCGCCCCACGTTCCCACTGATCCCATGACGACAAGAGGGCTGCTTCTTCTCGCTCCAAGGCCTCGTAACCCCCTGAGCCAGTGTAATCTCTCGCCACTGCTCCACATCTTTGAACCCGGTTCAGCCTCTCTCTGCCTCGCTGCTTAGAGTCGAGCAACTCCTGGGAAGATCAAAATTAGTGGTAAACAAATTAAATGAAAGTTTCTATTCACCACAGGTCAGCTATTTTTCAATTTGTGCGTGGGATTAATAAACAAATTTGCAAACCATTTGGAAACCATGCTTGCACATTTACACATTCACCTTCCTAAACTTAGTCTCATCAGATATACAGAGATGGTAATCTCTCAACTGTCCTGTAAGTAGGTAACGTAGCCCACTGAATATTTCGATTATCTATTACTTTTAAACTTTTGAATACAAATTTTTTTATGTTTGTCAATTCATGCATTCAATTTGCCACTCTGTGTCTTAAGTTGTGCACACGGTCTGAAAAACCAAGTGCATCATTTAATCATTTGTTCCAATAGATTCTCACCTAAAGATTTTTTCCTACCCCTACAGGCCTCCTCATCAGTCACACAAATCTTTTGACATTTAGTGGGTTCTTAGGAAGTCCTTACAAGTTAATGTCTCAGTAAATAAATAAAAAATATCATGAGCAAGTCATGAGTTAAGGCTGACTGAGTGAAATATTTATCTTCACCCCTTGATCGTGCCAGTAAAACTGTTGCTGCTTGTGTCAGAAATAACCGGGTATTCAGAGCACAATCGTTATTACATGGCAGAGAACACAGAGTGAAGACACCACAGAGACATCTAAGGATGTGCCCCACATGTCCTTAAACTAAAGGACTTCTCCCACCAGGTAGCCACAAACTGTTATTTTCTCAAGCACACCGTTTTGAGATTCCTCACCTGCACTTTGGAGAGCTTTCTTTTGATGGAAACTGAGTCTCCTGAAAGGTCAGACCAGCGCTGAAGCTCCTCTTTTGCTGAAACCAGCCAGTCATTGAAGTCTCTCACAGCATCAAGATACTGCTCATGTTCAGATACAATGTTTTGCATGGACTGCACTTTACCCTGTGGGGACAGAAAAGACAATGTAAACACAAACTATGAGCCACTGTCTTAATATGAATGTGTCAAACAGTATTTGTAAGTATTTTATTGTTTGCTGTTGGATGGGAATATGCAGTTGTAGGCATATGGGTGGCTTTATATCATACTGTTATTAGCATACTGTCTTCATTTTCTTTATGTAAATCATTTCTCAGTTGGGGCAACAGTTTGACTCTTTAGTACACGTTGCAAGGAAAAGATGCCAAGACACTAACTATCTGGCCTGTGGGAGTGTTCTTGGATACCAGCTTGTCTTTGGCTGGCCTCGTTTTCCTGAATTATTCATCAAGGATTCAGCAGTTATTAGTAAGCACTATTTAACTGAATTTAAATCACCTTGACGACAGCTGAGATATCGGCAAAGTGTGCATTGAGCTCCGCCCTTGACTCTGGTCCAAACGTCTGGTCGCCAGTTTTTTCATGCATCTCCACTGCTTTGTCCGTTAGACGTGACAGTGCTGTTGCATGAGCGTCCACATCAGCCTGGATGGCCCTGAGGCGCTCCAGAAAAGCAGATTTCTCTTTGAGGCCCGGTTGCTGAGGTAGCGTCATCCCCACCTCCTGCTCCACTGACTCCATCCACTGCTGCATCTGGCTCTTATTTTCCTGAAAGCTGGTCCACTGGGCCACTGTCCACTCCAGACGACTATAGACAAAGATAAAACATTATCCAGTTATTAAGTCATAAAGATCTGTGGACATGGTATCAACCCTCTACCGGTAAGCTCTTTCTCAAGATACTTTTCCTACCTGTGGCAGCTCATAGAAGTCATCAACATATTGGCCCAGGCATCCTTCAGGTTCTGGAGCTGTGAACAAATAGCCTCCTGCCCTTCCATCCTGTTGTGCTTTAGGACCTGTTCTCCTTTTCCTACTGTCATGTTGAGCTTTACCTCACCTTCACCTTTCATTAGCAGGATATCCTAAATATACACAAAAACAACATGAAAGAATGATGAGTCAGCAATCAGATAATTTATGTGATTCAGAATGTGCCAAAAAAAAACAGTGGAAAGCAAATAGCTGTATTTTTGGAGCAGGGCTTTATTCACTGACCTGCACAAGACCTAGTCTTTTCTCCAGAGTCTCTTTATTGCCAACTGTGCTGTTGAGTGAAGCCAGACGCTCCTGAACACCATTAAGCCAGATCCAGGTAGTCTGCAGCGTGTCTTCAAAGGCTTGTTGCTCCTGTAAAGTGAGCTGGCAGCTGCGCAGCCTCTCTCTCACACGCCTCTGCAGGGCCTGGTGCTGCGACTGCAGCTGAGCTGACACTCTAGTTTCACTCCCATCGCCTCGCCCACCTTCGTTCAGCGCCTGGCCCTCCTGACAGAGACGCTCGAAGGAGTCCCTGCATGTAAAGAAGTGCAATATTAAAGGAAGTTCTTAGATGAAGACAATCACTGGGGATATTCATTCATTCAACCTTTAAATTCGAGGTGCATTTAGGGTATGGAGGCGTCGTTTACAATGTAGGCATGTAATAAGACAATAGATGCAGCCACACAAATAAGAAACTTGGATAAGAATAACAAAAACATTACAGGTAAAGATTGTTAATATAAATATATACATATATATATATATATATATATATATAATGATTAAGTAGTGCTCCAATAACTGCTGGAATGCGCCTGTAAAAGCATAAATTAGAGTATTTAAGATCTAAAAACAAATCCATTTAAACATGAGCAGCTGGAAGCAAAACAAGATGAAATATAAAACCAGAATTGCTCTAAAAAAAAAAAAAGAGCTTTAGATTGTTTTGCATATTACTCAAGGTTGCACAGTGAGTGCATCTGGATTTTTCAAGGACAGAAAAAACCAGCTGGCACCTGCAGAGTAATCCAATTACTCGAGAGTGTTCAGTAAAGGACAGTAATGTAAGGGAAGGCCATTCAACCTCAGCATACAGCTCACATTGATGGGTATTGTAATTATCACCGGTGATAAAATTTAATGCGGCGAGATAAACAGTATCCAAGGGCTTACGGTTCACAATCCGACACTAATATAAAGTTGCCTCAACAAGCATTCTTCTACAATGCAGAGATAAAAAATATTAATTCCTGTGAAAGAAACCATTTTTGTTGTAAATTAGTCACTTGATATTTAAAAGCCAACCACTCTTCGATCCAAATTCACAGATATTTCTAGTCTGTGACTCAGTATTTGTGCCACTCATAGTAGCGCAGTGGATGCAACTTGAACTCAGAAAATACTCAGAGAAGAGACATTATTAAGATCTTTCGCTTATTGAAAAGTTAGTCGCCTCTGCAGAGAAAACTAACTGAATTATTTGCAACCTCTCACTCCTGTTCTCCACCTCAGGCTCTTTCTGTCAATTACAATCCTCCATCTGTGGTTATTGACAGTTTTAGCTGTCCAGTAGACGATGAAGTATCTTCCGCAGTTTGTGTTGGAGGCCTTTTGGAAGGTTAAGGACTTTCTGTTCTTTTGGAAATCAGATTCTGTTCACAGCTCGAGAAAATTGCCTGAAGCAATATTTTTGGCTCATGGATCATGAATTTCGTTTTCTTTGCATTAAGAACTAGTTTACGATTATTGAGTGCAACAGTCAGGGATAATGAAAAATAAAAGCACCTATTTTCTTTTCCTAGGAAATACACAATCAGATTCAGCACCTTTCTTTGAGCACCTCCTGCTGATATTCCTCCACTTGCTCGAGCACAGCCTTCTCAGGTCCTCGTTGTTTGGCCTCCAGGAGATCTGTGGTCATTCTCTTTTCCATGTGTTCCAACCACCACCTGAGCTTCTTGAGGCGACCTTCAAACCTAGAAAGAATTCAAAATGCCTTGCTTATAAACCTTGGGCTCACAAAGTGCATTACAGAAGTGGCTCATGTCACTCTCTTACCCCTTCATGAGGGATGCACTGTCCTCCAGGATCTGCTGGTTCTGTCTGCACTGCTCCACAAAGCTGTCCCAGTCCTGCTGGATGGAGGACAGGTGCTGCTGGACCTGCCCAGCACTGGCTTTGGGAAGATGAAGTAGCAGCTTCTCTCCTTCTTCACAGACCTGAGTAAGGCGTACCTCACCCTCCTCCACGCGATCCATGGCACCCTGACAGATAATCACATCACTTTCAGCTTCCTTGCTAGAACTCCTTGAAGTTATTTTCATTCACAGACAGACCAGTAGATTCAGATTCAATTGTAAAATCTTTTCTCATTCCCATCAAAGTCTGTGATTTATTGAACTTACCTTTAGTTTTTGTAGTTTGCGTTCCACAATCTGAGTGTCTCCTGAGCGATCAGAGCATTCCTTCACTATCTCTCTCTGTTCTGAAAGCCAGCGGTGGAACTCCTGAACTAGGTCTGACGAGGCACAGGGGATAAACAGAAATAATATTTGGTCTAGAGTCAGACAGAATCAATGTTTTTTTTTTACTCTCAGTGGCCACTAGATGAAGCATGGATTCTCATTTTAAAAAAAAGCCATTTATTCGATTAAATTCTTATTAAATTGCACTTCTTACCATTGAACTGCTGCTGTAGACAGTTCTGCAGTGAGACCAGCGTCCTGGCAGAAAGCTGGTTCACAGATTCATAAGTCTTGATGAGGTCAGTGAGAGCTGAACCCAGACCAGCCAGCTCCTCGGAGGGATATTTTCTACACAGTGTGTTGAGGCTTTCCCTGGTAGAGTCAATACTCCCCTGCTGATTTTGCAGCTCTTTCTGAAGGTCCTTTAACAGATGTTTAAAATACAGTTTAGCTGATTAGCTTAAATTCTCAGCTCTGTCCTCTGCAAGAAAACAACCTCCTATCTGTAACGACTCACATTAAGTAAACCTTACATGTCAAAGACTAACATGCTCAGTTTTATAAAGGTACATTGCAAAACTTTAAAATGTTTTTTTTTCATCCCACATTTGCAAGCGTTTTAATTCACTATGTGACTATTATTTAGGCTGTACCTTCACTCTGCATATGTCCTCAGGATCTGATCCAGTCGGAGATGAAACCAGAGAGTCTTCCATGCTTTTCAGCCATGCAGACATCTGTGAGATGTAGTCCTCCAGCTGTTTCCTTTGGGAGCTGAAGTCCATGAGGTTTCCCCTGGCCTGCTCATGTAGCTTCTGAACTGTGTTGATCTTCTTTCGCAGGTCATTCTCCAAAACCTGATGTAATTAGAATAAAAGTTAGTGGTAAACTGAAGAGGGTCGGAGGTTTAAAAATCTTTTAAATCTGATGACCAGTAAGTGCAAATGCAGTAAAATTTGTGAAAAATGAAAAAGTAGGATTCTAATTAGCTTTATTACCTGCAGTTTGGCAGGAGTCTCTTGACTTTGACTGCACTTCTTCAGCTCTGACACTCTGCTTTGCAGGGTTTCAAGTTTCTGCTCCTTCTCGCCCATTTCTGCCTGTGGATGTATCAAAAGAGAAACGCATGTATTACACCCTGTCTGGCTTGCTGTTTCAGTGTTGTTTGGTAACTTGCAAGATAATACGTTCTGTCACTGTGGTTGCACAGCTGTCTGTTAGTCTAAGCATTTTTGCATTGTAAAGCAGTGATTTATCAGGCATCTCCGATCAGAGATGTTCGTGGTGATTAGGACAATTTTTTTGGCTAAATTAGCATGTGCACAATATTTTTGGTATTGTGGCATTTATTTGCTATAACATTAACTCCCATGTAGTATCGATCAAAAAAAAATTGAAGTAAAACAAATCAGTGCCCAGTTATACTAAGACATCATAAGGTTTACTGTACCTGTAACACTGAAAGCCTTCCTGACACCTTCTGACTGTTGTTCAGGTTGTTCAGGCTTTCATTCAGTTCAATCACACAGCTGCTCGTCCAGCCCTCGATGTCTTCGTTGATTTTCCGTACATCATCCCACAGTGCCAAACTCTGGTTCAGGCAAACAATGTTGTCATCGATCTTCTCAGACACCTGGTGGGCAGATTAAATCAGTCAGTAAAGTTTGCTATGCTAGCTATGTTAAAATACAAAGACACCAAACAGACGGAAGTCACATCAAATCACATCACATTTGGTGTGAAGAAGGGTAGCAAAAACTACATCTGTAGAGCATCACTAATAAGGGAAACAAAACAATAACAATCATACTAATTATACTTCTACTATTCCTACTAATTATAATAATAATTACAATAAAAAAATGAAAACAATGATAATACATTTTACTACTACTACTACTACTACTACTACAAGTACTATTACTGTAACTACTAGTAATAATAATAATAACAAAAACAATAATAATGATAATACCAAACTGTATGTACATAGCATCTTTGACAATAAAAACATACAAATAAAGTAAAAAAGAAACTTAACAGGCCTACTAATACCATTACTACTACTACTACTACTACAAGTACTATTACTGTAACTACTAGTAATAATAATAATAACAAAAACAATAATAATGATAATACCAAACTGTATTTACATAGCATCTTTGACAATAAAACATATAATGAGATTATATAAAGTAATAAAAGAAACTGAATTGATCCTATAAACAAGTACTGCCTGTGTAATCAATAGAGCTTATTCCTCTGTGCCACAGCCCTTCATTGTTGTCCAAAACAATAACTACACACCAACGCATTAAGTCAGACTCACGTCCAGCCACTGATCAACAAGTGTCTCCATGTCCTTCTTCATCATTTGAAAGTCACACTCAGGGATCTTCTTCAGTTCAATCACCAGCTGTTTTCCTTTGCTGGAAAACTGATCCAGCTCATGATGCTTGCTGGCCATCTCCACCTTTACGCCTTCATGCTGCAAATGAAGCAAAGGCAACAAACTATTTAGGTAAATTAAATAGTTTACCGTTGTACTAACCACAACGGAGAAAAAGTAAAACTTTTTCTTTTTCTAGATTTGTGCAACGGACATCTTAATTCCATGAAAGTGAGGTGAAGCACAACCCCAAAAAGCAAAACTCAGTGGATAAAATATTTATCTGTTCTAACCTTGGTCAGTGATCTCTTGGTTTCCTCGTGGTCCTTCAGAACAGAGTTTATCTCAACCAGAGGTTCAGCACTCTCAATAATGCTGCTGATGGAGGCTTTCAGGATTTGGTATTCTCTCATAAGCTCGGCAAGAATATTGCACTGGTCCTGTCTGTTATAAGAAGTGAGAAATTTATTAGATACAGCCTACACAGGCTTATACATGAATGAACAGTAAAATATAATAAATAACAGAAAGATGCATTTCACACAAACAAGCCACAAAGCTTTTGGGGTGTTAAAATGATGGAAAAAAAACTTTCTGGACTTCCAGTACCTCTCTGTGATGAGCTTCTTGGTGTCCTCCCATGTAGTCTCCAGCAGGCTGATTTCTCTCAGTACCTCCCCAGCCAGCTCTGCATCTCTCTGGGCCAGCTGGTTGCCTTTGTCCCTCAGCCACTGCTCCTCGTGCTGATGGGATTGGAGTTCATCCTCCAGTTGATTAAAGAAGCGAAGTCTGACAAACAGAGGGATAATGTGTTGTTGCTGTATGTGTTCTCATGCCTACCCATCGTACCAGCACATAAAGATATCAGTCCCACTAACTCAGCCTCTGACCTCACTGACCTAAATCAGATATTGCTGTAATACTTTACCTCTGCTGTACAGCATGAAGGCTGGGCTCTTTAAAGCTCTGGTGGTCGGCTTTTTCTTCAATATCTTCCACCGCTTTGAGCAGCTGTTCTTTCCGCTGTCTAAATGAAGTCCACAGAGCCCCCAGGGCTTCTGCTTCACTCTGTTTAGTACCAAGCAAGTTCCTCACAGCATCCAGCTCAGCACTGAGCGCATCAGCCAGCATGCGGCATGTCTTACGAGAACCCTCATCAGCACCGATGTGGAGGTGACTTTTGCAGAGACTGCTGTCCAGATTGATGGCGAGAGTCTCCAGCTGAGTAATGTCTGGAACAACAGTGGCCAGCTCCTGCTGCAGCTCCTCGACTCGTCCACGATCCCAGCTCCCAGCACTTTCCACTGTCTGTCTCAGACCGCGCAACACTCCAGCCGCCACACCGTGGGACTGCAAAAAAGCCTCGAGTCTTTCCAGGCACTCTAACTGGAGCTCAGCTAACTGCCTGGCCTCCAGGTAGGGCTGCAGGCAGCTGTCTGCTCTGCTGCGGAGGAGCTGAGCATCGCCAGGCTCACAGAACTGACAGAGCTTCTCGGTCTGCTGCTCCAAGCTCTGTCTCACACTGGACTGCTTCTGTAGGGCCACCTGGGTCTCCTGTCAAAGGAAAGTGAAAGAAGACAAGCTGTTGCTCTGAAGCAAAGCACTATTCATAGGATTTTAAGTGGTCCAGGAGAAATGCAGAACTCTAGACACGCTAATTTTCTGTTTGGTTCTTACCTTTACTTGTGTGGCGGCAGACTGCAGGTTGTTAATGTTGATTTGAGAAGCTGAGTGCAGATTTGAGAGCATGGTTTCACTCCACTGAGAGAATTTGATCAGAGCCTGGTCAAACTGCTCCACCAGAGAAAGGTGGCTCTGAACCTCTTTGAATCTGGGGAAGAAAGTGGCTCCACAGTGAGTCTACAATTCAGTCAGGACTGCTTTCATTAACATTTGCCCTGCATACTTTATGTAGGTTATTACACTGAGTTTGGTGTTAACCCATTTGTTGGGGGTGTCTGTATAATTTTGTAAGATCCTTGTAAGGTGTAATCAAAGACAAGGTAGTCTCTGAACCAACATGTGTATGTTTGACCTGTGAAGAAATTACAATGAAAAACATAATTTTCAGCTAGACTATCTTATTGTACCTTTGAGGGAGGACTTCATTTTGGACATGTAATCTCTTCTTCAGGGTCTCAAGCTCATCTTTAAGCTGACTGACTCTCTGATCAGGTGCAGTGGGATACAGCGATGTCCCAAGAGATACCAACTCAGCATGAGCCCTCTCAAGGGACTGGACCTCTGAGTGTAGTGCCTGCAAGGAAAACCATTTACTTCTCTATGTATTCATAATACTATAAAATGAATTTACTACCTATTTTAGGGTTAAGACACTGATCTCCTTGTGTGTACGGTGTACCTGCAGATCCTGCATCTCGCTGCGTAGCTTGGCCTTATCAGCTGACAGACACCGACTTTCTGGTTTGGATGTAGACTCACTTCTCTCGAGGCAAGAAAGCAAGTTTGAGCGCTGTTTCTCATACCTGCAGCACATTAGAAAACTGTTGTCTCAAACTGCAACATTTATTTTTCAGTTTACGCTGCTGGCCGCACATCACTGCCAGTAGAGACACACTTTGCATTGTATCTATCTGACCAGGTTGACTTAATTATCAGCATTTTTTCATTTCATATGGCAACAAAATCCTACATTATGTTAAGTTCATTGTCTGTTTAACGACACATACTTTTGCCAGAGAGACAGCAGGTTCTCCAAAGTGCTCTGTTTGTCCTTTGCCTCCTGTACGTTTTGGTCATAGCTGGTGTTTAGCACTGTCACCGTCCTCTCTGCTTGCTCTTTGTCACTGAGTCGTCGGGCGCCAGCTGACAGCGACAGCAAGGTTCCCTTCAGCCTCTCCAGACACTGACAGACATCCTGGGGAACAACAGAACATGACAAAGCATTACCAGAGAGCTGAATCACTGGCACGGAGAGGAAAACAATACTTTGCAGCTCACTTCTAAAATGAGCAATAAAAAAAAATCTTGTTTTGCAGAAAGGTACTGTGATTTTATTAGTAAAGAAAGAATAAAAAGAAGTAAGTACCATGTGGGTTTGCAGAGCTTTGTAGGTCTCTGATGAGGAAGTGCAGGATTTGATGGGATCCTCCAGTTTTGTACGTAGTTCACCAAGAGATGCTTGAGCCTGGGAGACAATTAAGACAAATTGTATGCCTGTATCTTCAGTAAATACTGCACTGTGTCAGTATCAGTGAGTGTATTTACCTCCTCCAGGTTCATTTTGAACTTCTGCTGGTGAGAGGAGCTTTCCTCCAGCTGTCCATCAAGCTGCTGCACGCTCTCCTTCAGCTCCTCCCAGTACCTGCCGATTTGGGTTAGACGGGCCTTGATGCGAGCCGCCTCCCCTGACGACACAAACTGGGCCAGTGCCTGGGAGTCTGTCTCCAGCTGAGAAAGAACCTGAGCTCGGTCTTGAAGCTCCGTCCCAACAGCCTGAACGTGCAAAACAATAAAAAAGCAAAACAGAGATAATCACTGAGTCTTAGTGGAGTTGTAGTTGGGGTGAAACACTGCAGGATTTTACTGAGACTGAAGAGATGTGTTCAGTGTGGTAAAATTAATGAAGGACTTCTCTGATTTGACACTCCATTGACATTATCAGACTCAAAAAAAATATATATATTGAGGTGTTTTTTCCCCTAATACAAAACCAATTAGTGCTAAATAGTTAAGATTTAAAATCAAATCACCATTTGAAACAGTGCAATTAGCAAAACAAAAAGGCTACAATAGAGGCTACAAACAGGCTGGAAGTTATGCAGCTTGTCTGATCTTGGGTTTAAAGTGACACGCCACTGATTTTACAAACACAGTGTGACAGTCACACTTTTCATATTATCTTATGTGGCAAAGCTCCATCACATGTTCTAAGTTTGTTACATTATGATTATTGAACTGAAGCTTGACTTTAAAGAGAACGCTCTTTGTAAACTCGTTTGTAACAACAGTGATTTTTCAATAAATATAATAATTAGCAACCATTCTTTGTCCTTAATGACAAGCTTGTATGAGCCCAAAAACCAGAATAACTCCACTTTCCCTTGCACTTGGTTAAAAACTTGTTATTGTCTAGAAAGGGCCTGTGGTATCATTTAAACTCTCTTCTGTTCTTCTTTTTTTTTGCTGCTGACATGAAGTGACTGCTGGACATGTTTGTAGACAAGTGGGGGGGTCTGGTTTCAGACTTTCACCAAAAATTCACCTGTGTTTAAGATACATACTGTAACAGAGCCAGTTGTCATGCATTATTCAGATTACTGCATAAACAACAACTTAGAGTAAGAATGCATGCAGGAAACAGCTATCCCGCTTTGTCAAGCTCATTGCTTCAATTTACAGAAAAAAAAAAACATTACTTGTCACTGTAAACTAACAAGAAAGCAATCAGCTGGATATAAACTTGCATAAAGTAGTTATTTTATGTTTAGAAAGGATTAATAACAGTCTATATATTAATGTCAGGAATCTCACAATGACCTGGTCATTGTGGCAATCTTTAGGAGGAAGTCTTGTGAAACAGCAGCGAGTGAGACTGGGGTGTATTTATTGTAGCAGCATCCAATGTAGCCGCATGAGGATCAGTCCCAAGCAGCAGTGACTTGAGTGGAGCCAAAATCCGTAAACACACTGATGTGTAAATTTGGTGAAGCTCCCCATCAAACCTACCACTCAAGAGCTGCCATTTAACTCATTATCAAAAGAAATTATACATTGTGGGTGTTTATCTCACATAATAGAGAAAGTCATCCTCCGAATGAGCCTTTGGAGGCTGCTAATACGTGACAATAAGCATGATTGACAGCAATCTGTACTTCCTATTATTTCTGTCTGTTTATTTGATGAGCAAAATATATGTGACGCTTGAGTAAATGAGAGCCCAAATGATTAAAATTGGCTAAAAAAAAAAAAAAGTGGAATTTTTATTTTTCATCTCACTTCTTGTCATTTTGGTGCTGAGTAAAACCTTTCTGAAGGGTGTCAAAAAATCCTCTACACAGGAAAAATCCTAAATATAATCATCAAAAATGCCTGAGTGCTTCCTTAATTTGCTTTTTTTTTTAAGTTACACAAAACTTGTGTCTCATTGTGACAGCACTGAAACTGCAAAGTCAGACACAAACCACAGACTTCATAAATAGTTCCTCCTGTCTATTCGTGTTGAAGACAGAGGGTTTGATGTGGGTGTCCAAAACAGAGACAGTCTGTCAGTGCTTGGACAGAGCAAAGCTGCAACACTGGTGCTAATGTCTCCTTAGGACTGCCTTATTGATTTTCGCTGTAGTGTTCTGGTTTTGTGGTTTAAGCTTGCTGGCAAAGACTACTGTAGGTACACCGTGTGAGAGGATTGTAACTTCACAAGAGACACTACTGTACCTTGACTGTGCTGATCTGTTCCGCAAGAGGCAACGTAGAAGATTTCATCATTTCCAGCTGCTTTTCCTTGTCAGATATCCACAAGGAAAAGGCTTCAAATCCAGCTCCGAAACGATCCCACTGATCTTTCATTTCTTCTAGAGTCTTCACACTGTGACACAAGAGAGAAAATTCAAAGGACTTGAGCATTAGTTGCACGTAAACCGTGGTATTCATGTACGATAGCGACTTAGAGATAGCTGGATTTACCAGAGAATATATATGGGTCTGTCAGAGCGGGTCAGGTCGTTTATCAGACAAAAATATTCTCAACTGACATTCAAATATGTCTTCATTACAACTACAGTTTTCCTTTGTGCTCAGTTCATCTAGCATCGCAATGGAGGAAAGCCACAGAGTGTTTGGAAACACTAGCGGACAGTAAATTGAATCTAATCCATCATCTTACTCTTTTTTCAGCCCAGCCTCCACTTTGTCCACTTGCTCACTGAGGGAACGAGCTTGTTGTGAGAGCAGAGTCTTGTTTTTCGGACCAAGCTGGATTTCCGTTGCTCTCTTCAGCAACGTGTTCATGTGCAAGGCCTCGGCTTCGCACTGCTTCAGCAGCACCTGGTTATGAAATGGGGAAGTTTAGTTTTATATTCTACGGTGTTAAGAAACAGTTGCAGGATATTTATCTAAAAGTAAAATTTACTCACTCTGGCCTGGTCGAGTTCAACCGCCAGGCTCTCTGGACTGCTGAAGTTCAGGTCTCTCTCCATTGTTGAGCGAGCTTTGTTGACAAACTCGTGCACTGCTTCTTGTTGGCTGTCAAACTCCTGCCAAGCTGCCAGTGTGACCTGGAACGACAGTGTTTCAAAGTCGTTGAGGTCAAACCAAATCAATGTTATTTCTATAGCCATTTATTCACTTTTAATACATATTTAAACCAAAGGAAGTCTTTGCACATCTATTTCAAGAGGTAGGGGCATACGAGGGACAAGGGTACATTTTTTTTGTCTGTTGAAGGTCTAGCACCAAAACATGGTGCTAATTAATGTGTCTTTGCAAATTTAATAGTGTGCAGGAGTCTGACGGAAACTTTAAAAATGTATAAAAAACAAAAATTGGAGGAGACACTGATAATATGTTTCTTTATCATGCAAACAACCTTCTTTATTTCTGATATCAAACCATCCAACTAGCACTTGAATGCAGTATAAATGTTACAGCAGGAAAATAATTAGCATCCAATGTAGGGCTGAACAGTTAATTAAAATATTGTCAAAACTGCAATACAATTAGTGTAATATCCATATCTCAGGAGCTATAATTCTTTATCAGGCTAAAATGTGTCACAATATATTGTTATAAAAGAAGGATAGTGGTGCTTCAGAGATGACCTGAGCTACAAATCACATTATCCATAAAAGAACAAATCACATCCAGACATGAGAGAACATGCTCATTTGCTACATCATCAGCTTTTTATTTGTTTCAGTAAAAAAGAAAAAAATCTAAATTACCATTCATGCTAAATCATTTCTCAATATCTGTAAAAATGGCACTTATCTAGATTGTTTTCGCCTGACTAAATCCTTGCTTGTGTTATATCCACTCTCAGATGTATGTCGCTTTGGATAAAAGCGTCTGCTAATGAAATTGTAGAATTACAGAATTGTTGTAGAAAAATAACCACAACATGATGCTTGTTACTTCTCATTCTGTCCAGTCCAGTAGCAGAAATCCCACATCAAGATCATCACCAAAGAACAAACTGACACACGACTGTGTTTGCCAAACCAGCTCACATCAAACCATTACGTACACAGATGCCACTGTCGCTTTTTGGCCTTATCAGCAGGGCCGATGAGCATATTGACAGAGCTCACACACACAATATTCTGCCAGCTTCTCACCCCGCTGCACATAAACAGTTCTGCTATTGACAGAGTCAGAAACTCGAAATTCACTGCTGCACACCTTACTGACAATCTGTTACATGGACGTGTAGCACAAAAAGGCCCAACAAAGTTTCCATTTCAAGACTGCTACCTCTGTGTTGTCAACATCCTACAATAGCACCATTAAGGGTAAGAAGTCTGACTCACTCCGACGTTATCTTCTTAAAGCACTGTAATGCCTCGGAAAGCAATTCCCTCTAGCGGAAAATATCAACCAGACCTTTCTAACCTGTAGTCAGAACATTTTCCATAAATGCTGCATCTGCACAACCTGCTGCATTAACAGTAATCCCTCCTGTCCTTTACAAACACTAACTTATTCTATCAACAGCTGTCATTTCGTTTACTTTATGTATTTATAGAAGGCAACACATGTTCATTTATTGATATGATGATATTGTGCAAGAATAAGGCAAAAGGCTCATTATCATTATTATATTATTTGCAATCCAGCTGTACAGGTTGATGTTAAAAATGCAAATAGATGCAAAAAATAGACAAAACTGTGTCAAAACATTACACAGCAGACGCCTACAAGCTCATAAGACATCAGAACTGCACACAGCAGATACGACTAAACAAACTAAGGACTGCAAAACTATTGAGAGCATATTATAGCACAGATCAAATAAACACTGTTTCGGTAACTGACAGATCTAATTCTACACTTTACTCAATTAAGAAGGAAGCACCTAAGGAAGTAGGGGAAGGAGACAGTTTGTAGTGGCGTAATTCAATAATAAATTGATCATGAGATGAAATGTGTCAGAATGAAGCTGACACCCAGACAATGACTCATCATATTTTCATCTCACAGTAATAAATCAGGGCAGCACGTCACGAGACATATAACATTTTTTACTTTTCAGGGAAAAAAACAGCTCAGCCAATACAGGGTGGGGCTGTCTGCTTTGCCACTGTTTTCCAAAGACCGCAGCAAAATTTCCCTCTTCTACATTCTAACTTTACAGGTTAGTATTCATAGCAACACTGCTGACTTTACCTACTGTGAAATAATATTGATTATGAGTTTATCAAAGATTTCCAGAATCATTTTGTGAGTATCATTTCTCACCTCGAGGCTTTGCTCCTGTGAATCCATATTCTGTTCCATTTTGCTGAGTGTGTTCTCTAAGCTCTGCAGGTCCTGCTGCAGAGTCTCGCCCAGTCCCTCCTCAGCCTGGAGCTGCTGGCCTCTGGTGATCAGCTGCTGGACGTCCTTTCTCTTCGGCTTCAGCCTTTTTAACAGTTGCTATGTGCAGGGAGACAGTCAAAATGTAAAATTATTGATATCCTATTAAATTAATTTGGATTAATAGTCATTAATTATTTTTATATTAGATTTACTAATTTGTTTGCGTCCTACAGTACCTGGTGGACAAGCAGCAGCTGTTGGGCTTCTCTAGCAGTTGAACAGTCCAGTATTTTGGTAACTTCAGCCTGAGCTTCTTTCTGGCCCTGAACGAGGTCATCCAAAGTAGTTTGTACCTCTTCCCTGAATTGTACACAATCCCCAACTGCCAGCACCATCTTCTCAGCCTGTTAGATAAAATATAACAGAGAAAAACACAAGACTTTTACATACAATACTACTGTGAATTTATTTATAAAGTTGAAAATTGATGATGACGGGCTGCGTATATCGTCATTCCAGTACAGTGACATATTATGCTTTTAATATTATTCAATGATTGTATTTAAGTATTATTTACATTGCTAGTTTTCTTTTTTGTGGCACATTATGGTTTCATGTTTTCAGTGAGAGCCAATGTGTTAGTCCATGTAAAATAAATTCAGAGACTTGTTTCTAAATACGTTGTACGTGTCAGAACATAACTGATGTGCTTAATTGCAGCATTCTGTGTTTAGGGTTTTTTGGACAGGCCACAAAACATGGCTTGATAACGCACTGGAGCCATAATTTGAATGAAACCTTCCCATAATACAATAACATTATAAAAACTACAGTGTATTAGCATCAGTGGTTCTCCTGCTTGATCTGAGTTACTACCCTTACTCCAGCCAACAGTTTATGCAAATGAATCTTGCCTGGATGCAGGAATTTGCAGAGTAGCCCAGTCTCTGTGTCTAAATTTCCTACAAATGATGAGATGAAGAGGTAGATTTTGTGAAGAGCTGCATTTATGGCAACACTTTACACTGGGTAGTTTTATGAAGTTTCATTGCTAGGATTCACAGATAATCTGCCGTCCCTGACATCTACTGCCATCGACCGCAGTGCACGTCGACCAGTGATCATAAAATGCCTTTTGAACTTAGTTTATTATAGTAGGTGATTTAGTCCACGGACTTAAACTGACAAAAGTTCCTGTATCTACATCTAACATGCTTAGTTTAGTTAAAATTAACTCAGGTCTCTTTGCATGGCTAGTTTGGCTCAGTGGGACTGATGTGAAACCTCTCAGTCAGAACCTTCAGCAGATCCACCCCCAGCAATTCAGAGCAGACAATGGTGTTTGTTTTTTTTATTTCTTATTTTTTAATTTTTTAATCATAATAAATCTTAATTGTTTAAAATTGGCAATCATTCAGATTTGTCAGGGTGGTTAGTAAGATAGTTTCCTGTGAGGTGAGAAACTCAGAACATATACTTTTTTTTTGCTTTACATAAACTTTATGAGGTTTCTTAAATAAAAGTTTTACAATAACAGCTCCAATAACATGCACACATCTTAAACATATTATTATGACATACATGTATCTGCAAGCCTCGATATAGAGTCTCAGAGGGGACATAATATCAAAAGTTTGCCTGGCACCTTAATAAAACGTGAAGAACTTCACCTACCTCGATGAGAGAAGCTAGAAGACCCTTAAAATCAGTGGAGAGCTTGCTCAGTGCACTTCCTTGCCTCTGGGCATCGCTGTCAGCACAGATTTCGATCAGTACGGCCATACGGGCTTTCAGCCAGCCGAGATTCCCCTCCTGCAGCTCTGCGTCATTTCTCAGCTCCTGCACACAGCGGCAGAGTGTGATACAAGCCATGTGGACAAAAGAGTCATCTGACACAAAGTGGTTTTACACTCCCATCTCCTCACAAGTGACATTGACAAGCCAGTAGTACAGCACAAGTGAGCCACCACAGAGGAGGTGAGGAGGAGAATGTTGTTGGACAGTTTGGAGTTTATAAAAGGGACAAACTCACTGTGATGGTCGCCTTCACTTGCCCATATTTTCTGGGATCGTTGGCTCGGTTCCTCAGCAGCCTCAGTTGGCTTTCTTTAGATATAAGCCAGCAAGAGAGCTCAGCGTACCTGTTTTACATCATAAATAAAAAATTCAGGATATTAGGAATGATCTCATCAAATAATGAAAGATTAAAGCTCTTTTCTAAAAATATATATAATTAAATATTGGGGCCAACTCGGATGAGCATGAACTATAATAGCCAAACTGTGTTTCCTGCTTCACTGTCAGCAGTGTGTGTTGATAGGAATGTGAATCAGAATGTATAAAGGATCAAAACTTTCCAGTAATAATTTTTGATCTATCAAAAACATCTGCACTGAAAAATACAATTGTTGCTCTGTATTTTAAATGGCTGAAGGAATTTTAACATGCTTACTTTGGCTATGTCAAAAATGTATGACACTGCCTGGGAATGCAGAGCACACTGTTTTATTGTCACAACAGCACTACGACAGTCTTCGATGAAATTCTACACCACAGGTACCTCCTTTCCATTAACAGTGCAACACCTTTATAAGAAATGACTAAACTTAAGTGGACTTCACCTATATAAGTAATTTCATATGATTGCTGCACCTTGCATTGTAGTCCTTCCATTTATCTGGGTGCTGCATTAGCTTCTGATGGGTGCTTTCGATTTCCTCCCGGACATCAGCGAAGTCCTTCCTCGCCGTTTCCAAGGTTTGGTGAGCTGGGTCGCCCTCAGGGAGCTTTTGACAAAGTTCCTCCATCAGCTGCAGCCTTTTCTCGCATATGGAGTGGGGGCCCTTTTCCCTAAAGAAGGCCTGAAAGCCATTTTTACACAGAAAAAGATTTATGTGAATCCAAGACAACAAAATGCTGCTGATCCAGGATAGTATTTGGTTGACAGTGGAAAAGCCTCAGTTCTTTTGGGTGGATCAATATCATGAAAATCTTCCCACACTGCTTACTGTGCGAGGCAGTGAATTTGCACTGAATTATTTTACACTCGGTTAATCAATATGTGTAACTCAGCCAGCGACACTGTGCTTATTACCCTGTGCTCCTTGATGAGCCTCTCGCTCCCCATGCTGGCCAGGTGGCGGTTTTCCCTGGTCACCTCTGCCTGGCACTCCTGCAGGGACAACATCAGCTTGCTCCTCTCCACCTCCACTTTCAGGTGCAGGAGGTGAAAGGGGGAGTTTGTCTGAATGTCCTGGTAAAGCAGAAGAGCAACAGTGATGAATTCAGTTTCAGAGCTGTGCAGTCCGCTATGAGCAATATTTCAGAAACTATAGAAAGTGCAATACAAACAGCTCTTTATTTCTATCAGTAAAAACTGTTTTTTGCATTATGACAACATTAAGATGTTAAATATGTACATATGGATTATTAGCAACTATTCCTGTAAGTATTAACGATATTGTTCAGTCTTTGTTAGACACAGTGCTGTGATTTATAAAATGAAAATCAGGATATTTTAGGTTTATAAATTAGACTCATGGTACCAACCTTCCAGTGTTTATGCAGCTTCCTGACAGTTTCCTGCAGTGACTGCTGCTCCTGCTCCGGCAAAATATCCGTCAGCTCATCACAAGCCTTGAGGAATGTATTCAAGACCCGCTGGTCGAGCTGTCCAAAGAATTCCTGCAAAAGAAAAATTAGAAAGTGTTCATAATGTTTCACAATTTGCGTCGAACAGATTGTGTCTCATTAACATGCATCCTACTGTAATTATTTTCTAGGTCCTACACCAAAGCAAGAGCCAAGGCGGAGTTTGTTTTTCTGTGTATCTGTCAGCATGATTACACAAAAACTACCAAGCCAAATTTAATGAAATCTGGTGGAAAGCTGAAACCTGTTTAATTCAATTATATATCACTTTTCTTCGTGCATTTGTCCCATGATGTTCCAGTACTGCTTATGTAACATGTTACATTATATGTACAGCTACATTTGGTATTTTCAACCTTAAAGCAAGTATGTTTGTATGTATATTTTCTGTTGCCCCCCAAAAAAAAAATGTAGAGAGAAGAAAAACCACCATAAGACCCTTACTGTGTGTTTCTTGAGCAGCTCCTCTGGGTTGCCTCTTTCTGTCAGACAATTCTGCGCCATTTTAAGAACCTTCTCCAGCTCTACCCGTGACTCATCAAATCTTTTCATAAGGCAGCTGTTTGCCTCCACGTGTTTTCGCCACTCTGTGGATTCCTTGATCATGTTCTAAAAACAAACAAAAAAGAGTCGTATTTAAAAATGTTAAACACTTCTAAAGGCTTATGTGTTGAATTGTAGCAGATGTTCAAGTTTACCTGTGAGGAGGTTTGCAAGTCTGCCACTCGTTTCTGCAGAAGACTCATGTCCATGTGCTGGAGGGTTTTGCTGCTGTTCATTGTTTTTTGGATGGTTTGGTGGTTTCTCTCTATTACTGTCAGACACTTCTTACAGCTGTGAGTGAAGGTCGCCAGCTCCTTCAGTGTTAAATGAAAGCAGGGTGTCAGACATTCATTCATATATTGTATAAAATCATACTCTTGCTGAAAATGACAAATTGAAAAGGCTGAAAATTCCTTCATCTATTTAAAAGTCATTCAGTTAAAAATAGAATGCAACTTATAACAGTCACCTGGCATTTCTGCTTGAAGTCTACTGGTCCCTCAGAGTCAGGGCTGCTGGTGATATGACTAGCCTTCTCCAGAGCTTGGTAGAAGCCTGTGATGTTCTTCTCCATTTCCTCCAGTGGAGGTAAAAGAGACTGAGACTCCCTCAGCAGAGGCAAACATCTTTCTCTTATCTAATCAGAGGACAGCGTGTAAATGAAAGTGTTATTTTGATCGTAAATCAACAACATCACCAATAAAAAGCAATCTTTTGAGAAGTACCCAAGCATTTCATTTGTGTTTCAATGAAAAATACAGGCTCTGAACACCCTCTACACAAACTGGGCATCAGTATTGGCCTTAAAATTTCTCATCAGTTTAACAATGACATATTCACTCATGAAAATAAGAAGAAGATACACCTAATGTACATTGATCTGCACACACCTTACTCAGCTGCTCTTTGATCGAAGCCATCACAGCCATCATCTGTGAAACTTCCTCTTGTGGCGTGTCTTTGGTCAACAGCTGAGCTGTACGGCTGGCTGCCTTACAGGCTGCTTCCATAGCTGGCACTTTGTGCTTGATTTCCTACAGGGCAGGTGAAAAATGCCACATGATATCGCATAGAACAGAGATTAAGGAGTTGTGGAAATGAGGAAGAAGATGAGAGTACAGGTCGTTTACCTCAACATCTTGAGAAAAGGCTCTGACGTTGAGGAAAGATACTTGGACAGGAGCAGTCATCTTCTCATTGGTTGCATCCATGAACATTTTCAAGGTATTAATCCCATCCTGGTAGTCTTGTCTTAGCTTGTCGACCTCATCTGCTCTTGCATACTGCCGATGAAATGCAAGAAGATGGATTGAATATTTATTTATTTATAATTACTTTTAATATTAAACCTGTTTGCTTTGGTGGCACATTTAGAGCTCAAAAGCATTGCACTCACATGTTTGACTTTGACAAACAGCTCCCTCCATCTCCCGTTCAGCAGCAGAAGCTGCTGCTTCAGATCCCGTGAGACCGTGTCGTCACATGTCTCAATGAGGAAGTTGCCAGCATCATTCATGTCCATGTGCTGCTGAATCCAGTGAGAAAGGTTTCTGAAGAAATCCTACAACAAGGAGGAGAAACAGGGAACACAGGAGTTTAACTGCACATCCGATGAACAATCAGACACATGTGCTTTTCCTTAATGTCTCTGAATGTACTTACACGTTTGGCATTCTCTGACTGGTTGAGCATCTGCTCAGCGTCTTCTAGCCAGGCCTGCAGAGATGCCACTGTGCCACTATACTTCTCCCAGTTAGCGATGACCTCCTCCAGCATGCTGCGAACGCTCCGCACCTCCAGAGCCAGGTTCTTCCACTGAGCTGTAGTATCACTGAGGAATTTACTCACCCCCTCTGCTTCATCAACTGAAAACAAAATGTGGAACAACTGCATTTTAGCTAAAAATCAATATGGATGTGAAGTGCAGCTGATTATGTCTGATGATCATTCAGCCTTGTGGTTGATGGTATTGTATGTTAGGTCAGAAAAATCATGCTAAAATAGCATTCCAGCTATGGTTACTCCTTCATGCAGAATGCAGTATGATTTTTCAGTTCTGGGAGTTCAAAGAATGTTAGAAAAGAAAAGTGCAGCCCCAAATTTACAGAGAGAAATGGCTCAGGAGACAGGCACAGTTAAGGTTTTGAATATTGTCAGACTGTTTCTAGACTTACCTTTGTTACAGGTCTTAGACCCTGTAACATGAAATCAATAGTAAAACTGTTTACTAGGAGCCCAAACAAATACACATGTAAAACATGTATAAATAACAGACAATTCGGGAATAAAACAGAAAAGAGTCTTACTTGAGCTGTCAGACTTAACATAAACCTCTGCAGCTTGTTTGAGGGATGTGAAGATTATCTCATACTGCTCAAAAAATCTGTGGCCTTCAATGAAAGTCTGGAACAGAAAGGAAAACATGAGATGGTCTGACAGATGCAGCACCATTCAAATACTGCATCTACAATGACAATGGTTTCAACTTACAAGGTAGCTTTGCAACAGGAGTTCAACTGAATCCCGTCGGCCGTATTTAATGATCCAGGACTTGAGCTTTGACTCAGCCAGCATCAGAAACGCCATCAGTCGATACTTCATTTCCCAGAATTCCAGTTTGATTAAGTGAGCGTGTGACGACGTAGACACAAAGTTGAACCTGCAAATTAAACAATCATCATTCAGATGTTGCTTTGATTTTACAAAATTGACAGAAGAACAACAAAGAAAACACTGACTAGAAAGAGTTCATAAAATTAGGCCAAATGACAAAAAGGAATTTCAATTATTTGGATAAACATCTTACCGTTCTGCCATATCTTGAAGCTGTTCAGGTGGGACAGGCACTCCATTTACTGATCTGTCCCTGTGTATCTGCTGGAAGGGCTGCCGGTGTGATTCCAAGTTTTTTAACACCTCCTGCAAAATTAAAGAAAATGATGTCCTCATTGGCTTTGCATCCTATTTTACTTATATATAATAATGCTAATAGTCAATAGATATCCAAATATACTAGACAGCAAGCTATCTTACTTTATGCTGCTCTAGTTTTCTGTGAAGAACATTGGCTGTCTCCTCATGAGCATGCTGGATGGGAATGTCCTCTCTCAGAGCCATCTCTGCTCTGTGAAGCCAGGCCCCAATCACTCCCAGAGGACCAGGCAGGGACTTGTCCAGATGGATGTGCCAGTCCAGCAGCTGCAATTGACATCCATTTAAAAAAAACACTCTACCAAAGCAAGAGGAGGCTATGCTGATCAAAACACTTCCACATGTTCACAAGCAATCGGGCTACAAAAGAGTTTTATGCCCGTCTAGACAAGCCGGGGATACCCAGAGAGGAAGACTGCCCGATGAACAAAACCGCCTCTGTTCCCGTCTCCTCCCCTCTGAACAAACTGATTCAATCGCTTGCACCCCACTGAACTTTCACTGGCACCGAGTAAATAGTAGAACCCTGACATGTGTTCCTCTCAGCTTCCAGAGCGATGATGCAATTTATTTAGCAATGACAAATAACACAAACAATGATCTATTATTAATCCTTGTGTTTTGTTTAATCTACGTATGATTAATCATCATAATTAATTCAGCTTTTTTTTTTTTCGTGGCTTAGTTATAAATTATTCATGTTGTACAGAAGCATGCAGTACAATTACCCTGGCAGACACACGGTCCCAGGCCTGCTTGACCAGAGCTTGATCCACAGAGAGCTTGCCATCCTTGTTAACCGGCTGTAACAGTGGATCTGTCTGCTTTTTCTTCATTTCATACTGTACACGGAAGCTCTTGAAAGCCTGGAAAACAACAGGAGACGCACATGTTGAAAAAAACGTCTTTGTCAAAGCAGAATGTTATATAACAATGCACTTCTGTCCCTCCACATATGTCCTCACCTGATATTTGTCAGTGAGGTTTCCCTCGGCTCCTTGGGCTCGCAGCACATCTCTCTCCAGCTGATCTAAAAACACCTTCAGCTCTCTCAGCATCTTCCGCTCCTCTCTCTGTCGCATTTAATAGACATGCAGTTTAGATTGGGAACAAACTTAATCCTGTTTTCTAATCAGCATGCCACTGGAAGACTCACACCAAAACAACATTCCAGAAACACGCAGTTAAAGATTAGACAAAAGACTTAATCTGCTAGGATATAACTCTACATTTTACAACTAATTAGTCTTACAAGCTGAGGTAGAAGTTAAAGGGTATGAAGAGGGTACGGACACTAAAACTATCATCTTCAAACCTTTGATTTAGTATGTTTAGTTGAACATACCTCAAGCATTTGCTCTATATCTTGGGGGCCAAACTATCCAGGAAAGCAGCAAAGCACACAGAGAGATGCAAATACGTCATAAAGGCATTAGAATAGTAAGGGGGAAAAAAGAAGCAAAGTGGATAGGAAATGGGATGAGGGTGAGGTGGGCATGCACTCCAAACAGAAAGCATGCAGCACTATGACCTGAACTCTCACCTGAAGTACTGGCACTGACAGTGCAAAAGTTGGAATTGAGCCAAGAAGCAGCTTAATGTGCACAAAAGATGAGTAGATGGAGAAATTAAATGAGTCCGTGATGATGGAAAATAAAATGGTGATGATTATATGACTGCCGTGATCATGCTATGATTGCTTCCATTCATTTAAGCTTCATGTGATAAAATGACACATATGAAGAACTGCAGGTACAGGCTTGCAATAGTTCAACTCAGCAGCAGGTAAAGCAGTTTTCATATACTGTTGGTATGATGTCTGTGTGTGATCATTCTCTACAGAGGATGATATGCAAAGTGCGATTCAAAAGTTCAGAGACTGCACCTATAAACAGCAAAAATCACATCTGATTTATATTTGGCAGACCTCCACGTCAGTTTAATTGCCTTGCACAGCAATACGCTACTTTCTAGTGCTGCTGTCATGCCTGAAATGGTACCTGAAGGTCCCGTTCTGTAAACATAACAAGCAGCATCTGTGATGGGTGATGAGTCTCCCAAACTGTGTCAAAACATCAACCCGTCAAGTTCAATTTCATTTTGGGGAAGAGGAAGACGTTGCAGAGAAGGAAATCTGGTGACTGGGGCAGGTGGGGAGCAAAGAATGCATTTTAGGGCCAAAAAACCTGTGCATAGTCACCGTGCTCACACAGAAACTACATGTCATTGGGCCACTCTTCAGGTGATTTACACCGAATATGTTCCCTCAGACGCCTTAGGACAGCGTAGCAGAACTCTGCCCTGACAGCCTGACCCTGAGAGACTAATTCATGGAGCCTAGTCCTGTAAAATGTTGGGGTAAACGATGAACATGCACTTGGTGTGCTCCTGATCTGATGCGTCAGGCTTTTCCACTGCAAACACTGCTGTTTGGTCTCTGGATTGTAGCCATTGATCCAACTCTTGTCACTCGTGATGATCCTTGACATAAAGGTTTGCTTATTCCAAATAAGATGTTTGCTCTGTGGTCTAATTTGAGGTCCACGGTGAAATCACAAAGGTTTACCAGTGGTCACTAAAATGTGCGTAACTCAGATTGATAGAACAGTCTCAAGTGGCATCATGGCTTGGGACTGTTGCTGCTCACTCATGTGGCATGACCATTAAAAAGTCAATGCACACGTCACAGGAACAGTCTTGGAACATTTTGATCGCACCTCATACCAGGCAGTTATTGGGAAATGTGTATGGCAACAATATGTACAGCTTTAAATATAATAACACATGGAGTTAAACACAGTCTAGGCAATATAGCTAACACAATGACATCCCCAAAACTCCCCAGAGTATTACCTGCCTTACATGCACTTAATATAGTGTATCATAAATTCAAACAAAGTACCTCATCCTGCTGCCCATCTGTTTCAGAATGGTGTGGGTTTGGGTAGTGCTTGAGAAACTGAGCCACATATGTCATGATGGATTTCTCATCTGGCTTGTCTACATCCACATCTACAGAGCAACACAAACAATGTTACTGAATGACGGAAAATCAACTAATCCAGACAACAGAGACAAATGTAATTTAAGCCTGAAATATTCATGTCACTACCACACTTAAACCATGCCCTCATGCCAGTAGAAATGAGAGGAATATATGACAGACTCATTACGTTTGATACTAAGTCAATATGACACAAAAACATTTTGTGTCCTCAAGAGGATAAATCTACTGAGGCATGACAGCTAATTATACACGTCTACTTTCATCTCCATCCCTGACCTGATGTTTCAAGAAATCAGGGTCAAGCTCCTGTAAAAGCAGAGACGTTTCAGTGCAGCTCTTTGTGCAATAAAGCATCACGACTCTGCTAGTGAAGACAGGACTGCAGAGCCACTGCAGGACTGCTTCACTTCTACAGACTTAAACTCTGAGCCACGGATAAACACAGAATTTTAATCCTCTGCGAGGTGGCTTTGGTATTTTCGGCACACATTTCGTCAAAATAGCTCATATAGAATTGATTTGCATGATAACACAATTTGATTTATCTGACTAATACTGTTGATCTTATGTCCAAAACACACAAGCAAACATCTACAGAATTAACAATTTTACACACATACCCAATGCTATTTTGGTATATTACACTATAACTCAGCAGCAGAAAAGGTCAAGGACACACCTTCTGGATCCAGCAGACGGGGAATGCCCAGCTCGTTTTCTGCCAGTGCAAATGCCTCCTCCAAATTCTCCTTGTTGCTTCGCCGCCGTACCACCTCCATGTCCACGAGGTCTGGCCTGATGGCGTGCACCACCGTCTGGAAGGCAACGCCATCGCGCCAGCTGGGACCGAAGTCCTTCACCTCAATTCCATGATACCTGAAAAACACATATGCAACCATTTATGTCTTCCAGGGCTTCAATAAATGTGTATAAACTCTGAAACTTTTACAATATGGCATGCAAAGTTAGGTTCTAGTCATTTCCTTGTATTGTCTGTATAGATTTGCATCCAGAACTCTTTTCATGCTGGTAATTTGAAAAGGCAATTTGAAGGTGACATACTTGGCTGCTGTGCACTGCACCCATCTGAGCAGGGCCTTCTTGGCATTGCCCTGAAATTTGTTAACCACCTTCCTCTTCATGGGAGGGCTTCCTGTTTCAGAGTTGGGTATGCTTTCCACAGAAGAGTTGCTGTTGGATAGGGCCTGGAGGGCTGGCAGGTTGCTGGTTAGCTCCTCAATCTAATTGAGACACAAAAGGAAAAGAAAAAGCAAATAGTGTTTTGCCAAAAATCAATACTGGATTAAAATGTGGAGCAAAAAATATTTGGTCTGAGAGGTTTACTTGCAGGGCAGCAACTCACCTTGGAGTGAGCACAGTTATTAAACTCTTGGACGAAGTATTACCTGGAAGTAGAGGATAATGGTCCATATCAACCCAAGGACAATTGATGGTCGTCCATCTGCGATGTCAGTGGCGTGAATGTTAACAAGTTTGATCTGAAACAAAAACACAGCAGAGCATTACTCTGAAACGCAAGTCACACGCAGATAGTTTGAAAGTGAGAATTTTCACCCAGAGAAGTCCAGTTTCATACGGTCCAAAAAACTGCAAGCTTTTGTTTGCCCATCAAAGTCAGGTCTTTGATGCAGTTAAGTATTGTCACTGGCAGAAGGCAGAAACAGCCACAGTGAAAGGTCAACCAGAACAGAAAAGGAGTGTTAAACTAAGCATTAAATAACAAGCAGATGCACCACAGCATTGCAAACCTTGCATTAGGGAACTGCTAGAATTTTACATTTCTACTCTTGAGCAATTCAGAATTGCAGCGAGCCAGATACACCAGTAACCAGTGTCCAAGTCAAAATGCATTGAACTGCACGTCAATAGAAAAGCGTAATAACTACATTTATGGGAACACAATGGCCGTATACAAGCGTTGCATAGCATCATCGTGCATCAAATGAAAAGAATGCATACAGTATATGATCACACAGGGCGTTTAATGGCGACTGACCGGAGATCCTCGATACACAGACTGAAGGCACACATGATGGGAAAGAGATCACAAAAATATAAGTCTGAGTCCTCAGGGAACCCAGATGAAAGTGGGACACAGGCTTCATGGAGCCGAGGGATTTAGAGATGGGTTATGTAATCAAGAAGTCCTCCTCCCGCTACTCTGAACATACAGCATGTTGTGCAGCCAAATATCCAGTCAACAGCTTTTTCTCATGGGTTCTAAATCATACCTTTGACTTCTTTAAGACATGCTACTGTTTCTTTCTAATAGGATATTTAGCTTAGGATGAAAATTACTTCAGAACACTCAAATGCTTGTTATGGTGGCCACGCTTACCTTCCTGCCTTCGAGGAATTTAAGTGCAGTGCCGATGTTGGAAACCCAGTGGATCCTCTTCAGCTGGCGGCCTTGCTCGCAGGGCTTAAGACAGACAGGACAGAGAGTGAAAATGAAGCTATCCAAGGAAGCCATATCATGCAAAGCTGGGGATATTTTCATTAAACCGTCTGCTGATTAGAAACATGGTGCAAATTTAACTGCAGATGGCAATTTTGTTTACTGTACCAACCGCTCACTTTGGCAGCTGAATAAAGCATCACATTTGGTTGTAAATTGCACTGTAAGATGGTGAACATGTCCTTTACTTAACATCAATGCCAAAGCCGTTTTAAGAGAGAGAACAATAACCCTGGGTTTTAAAGTGTGAATTAAAATCAATGGGATCTGTCCAAAGCTCTTTTCTGACACTGGATAACATTGTTGGCTTCCTCAACCTGTCAAAGCGATGCCATTCTGTCATTCAGACAGAGGTCACCTTTACGTAATGTTGCTCACAGATATACCCACCACAGTGACAGAAAAAGTCATGACAATTCTGGTGTTTTTTTGTCATACACATGAGATTGGCCTGAACATCAAGTGCCATAATGACAATAATGCAATTATGACGAAAAGGATAAATCTAAATTCGCTACGTAACAGATCATTTGACAGTAGCGTTTAAACTGTGACTCTCTGATATACTGCTAGATCCTGATCAATCCCAGTCTCCATGTCAGGGATCATTTATAATTATACGCATTTAAAGAGGTTACCACTGTTGTTTCACATGTGTAAATGCCCTCTCTCTTTGGAGACGCTCCTACAGACACAGCAACTGGTTGTCTGATGCTGCAGGGATTTAATAAACTCAGAGGAAATACTTTTAAAAACAGCTGGAAGCAACAAACTAAGTGTTGAGTCTTATTAATCTGACCTGTTGCAGCCTCTGTTTTTTAATATTTCACATTTCTGTGGGCAATAGATGTAAAATTGTAGGATAACATGCATGGGAAAGATGTTTTGTGACACCCAAACTGTGTCTTCTGTGCTCTGTGATATACATGTACTAATATTTGTGCGGAAAGTTGAAAAAAGCTTTCCGAAACTACTTGACACCACTCAAAGTATGTAGCTTGTCTGTGTCTGTTCAACGAATTGCCATGAGACTGGGTTGGTCTGTTTGTTAACATGAAAGCATGCAGCTGAGGCTTGTGCAGACTTGGTGAAAGTGACACAGAGAAGTTATTATGTCATTAAGATTGCTGTGGCGACTTTTACGGTAAAGTAATCAGGGTGATGATTCAGACATGAAGACGACTCATTCAGAAGCCATCAGATTAATGAAAAGCACATCTAAAAGAGGCTAATGGTAAAATTTTGGCCGATATAAACCAGTAGCGCTGCACTGACGAAAGCAGCAAATGTTCACTATAAAGTTTGGCTCATTTGCCAACTAACAGCTCTACAGACGACATGGCAGTTTGCATCAAGACAGGTCTAATTACTAAATACCAGAATCTGGGTCAGTGTTTGTGTGTGTGTGAGTGTCAGGGAGAGAGATAGGGAGAGTGGTGCACTAACAGCTTCTCACAGTGGGAGGCTCAGATCTAAATCATAGCCCTGTAATTTATGCGCAGTGATCCAACACTAAACGCTTTTTGTCCAAACATGGGCTTTTTAACTTTTGTTAAATACATACATATACTGCATGGATCCACCATATGTTGCCTCACAACAGCAGAGTACACCGATCAGCCACACCATTACGACCACCTGCCTAATATTGTGCAGGTCCGACTTGCTTCGCCAAAACAGCTCTGATCCATGAGGGCAAGGATACAGGACCTCCTGGCGTGTCCTGTGTGGGACGTTGGCAGGAAATCCTTTCTATCTTGTGGGTTGTGGGGTGGAAACTGTGTATCCCACAGATGCTCGATCTGATTGAAATATGGAGAGTTTGGAAGCAGGATTTTTGGATTCTCTGTTGGGTTCCTCGAGCCACTTCGGAGCAGTTTTTGCAGTATGGCAGGGCTCATTGTCCTGCTTTGGGGAAAGCGCAACCATCTGTGAATACTGTTGCCACTGGGGGTGTTCTTGGTCCAGAACAATGTATTGGAGGGAGGTATGCATCAAAGTTACATCCACATGAATGCCAGGACCCAAGTTTCCCCAGCTGAGCATTGCATTGTAACAAGACCACCAATGCTCTTCACTTCACATGTACAATGTGAAAAAGGTACAATGTTGTGGCTGATCGTTGCATGCAACATTTAGTGAGACGTCCTGTTAGAAGTCAGAGACTAAGTTAAAATAAATAAGAATTTGGTAGCTTTGAATAAAACAGAAATTCAAAATGTTCATGCCTCTGAATCGGAGTTCGCATCTGTGATTTGTTTAGTAATTCCAACAGAATAAATAAAATAAATCGGTCTAATTTTTGAGAGAATCAACAGCAGAACAAAAAAATCTTCAACGTAAATAAATGAATAACAATAAATAAGTCCATGTACCTAAACTTGTATGCAGCTTATGTGTTTAACACTGCAAAATGCTGACTTGCTGGAATATGGAAGTGAAAATATGTGCCCTGCTTTGCATATTTCTTATTTCCAGTACATATTATAAAGGGTGGTGCATCCCCTTGGGTAAATCCACACATGAAATCCAGAGAATGTAAATACATAAGCATGCAATTTATGTTTCTACATCCTCTGCAATAAACAAATAAGACTTACAAGTCTTTGGCCAGACAGGACCTCCAACAGAGCCAAGAGTTTCACCCCATCTTTGATGTCCTCAAAAAGGTCGTTAACCTCTAGTGGCGGTTTATGCTGAAGGAGAGAAGACACAGGTTTAACATGCAGAAAGAAAATATTGCAAAAATTTCTTGTAAATTGATAAATTGTGAGAACCCACGAGAAATGCATTTATGCTGCTAATTCTACAGTGTGAAAGGATTTTGGTATTCTAGCACATTAGCAGCGATGAAGAGAAACCAAGTGCTGCTTGTGAGAAACAGGCTTGTTAGCAACAACCACAGAGCCTCCCTGCAGCTGAAAAGATGGTGCCTTTTCCTAGGCAGTGGCCTGGTGCCCGGTCCTGAGGCGATGGTGCTCGTTTAACCCTAGCTGGATACTGTGTCTCCATAACATTTCCCCACATTTACAGGGCTCCACATGACGAGTGACAGCGCTATACCCTACTGTATCACACATTCAGCACAGAATTAGTAAATGAAACAGATGTTTATTTATTCGGCAGAGTGAAGCTTTAATTAAAAGGAAGGCTCACCATGAGAATTCTTTATTTGGCACTGTATACAGGCCATTTCACAACTCAACATATTCCATGACAGGATGCAGTTGGCTGCCTATCTGGGGCAAAACAGTGTGAAGAGGCAAGCGTCTATCCTGCTATCGGGTACATGTACTCTTTTTTTTTCCTTCTTGTGAAAAAACAGCTTGAGAGAATGTGTCATGCAATCTCTGTTTAAACTTAATTTGCTCATTATAAATTTCTAAAAGCAAGAAGCTGAAGGCTCACTATTGCAGTATGCAAAATACAGCTTTGTGAAAAAAGGGGACACTTTAAGAAACATCTGTTAAATGCAGAGAAGCACTGGTTTGTAATAATCTACCCTGTTAGTCAGATTCAAATAAAAAAAGAGCAATGCTTTAGTTTTCCAGCCCTTGTCATTTGGAAATCACACCCACCCTGAAAACTTAATTGCCTGAGTCACATGAGGGAGTGGAAAAAACTGTGAAAATCACTGAAAAGGCGCTTGGTAATACAATATCAGAGGAAATGGACACAAAGGCTGAAGGGGAAGTGTGACAGCTGCCGGAAGTTCAGGCTTAGATAATGCACACTTTCACCCATAAAACAGGGAGATTTTATTGAAACCAATATTTAACATTTATCCACAATAAACTTACATTTTTCAAGCCAAACCTTTATTATCATTACAAGCGACACTGTGTGTACTGACAATAAAAGTCACCACTGTGAACTTTCCTGTAAAACAAGGCAGTCACTGAGGAGCTGTTTGCGGTGTGAGATTGCTTTCATGATGTGGCTTATGCTACATTAGCCCTATTGGTATGCACAGTGAGCGAGCCTGAGCGCAGTGCATGAATAATGATGAATAGACCAACAGAGCGTCCCAACATTGGCCCACCACATAACTCAGATTCTTCTAAAGTTTCAGAAGCCCAAGCTTTGAACTATCGTGGGCAGATCAGGCCCAAACAAAAGACCCCTCGAAACCAAATCTCTTTGCCAGATCCCAGACTTAAACCCTGCAATGCTGTCTGAGTTGCACACTCTGCTGTGTCATCTGTAGTTACAGTTATATAAAGACTACCAGCTACTTATTCGGAATTTTGAACAGCTCTCTGGAAGACCTCTGACAAATTGCACTTTTAAGGTTTGGTGTGGTGCATAATCTAATTTCACCGCCGTTATTTTAGGGTCACAGTGTGATGTAATACAGCATGCGGTCTTGTGTTATTGTTGTGCACTCGCTGCATCGCAATTTACATGCATGATCCTTAGAAGCAGACGACTGCCTGCAGGGAACTGTCCTCACCCTCTTGTTCTCCATCTGCACACCGCATTACTGTCCCTGCCAATCCTGTCCGCAAATACACACACGTGCCAAACACCGACACACATACTGACATACACAGCACACAACAAATACATAACCCACACACCAGTGTCTGAATAATTCCATTAAGCCCCCCATATGTCCACACAAACACATTCTGCTGGTGGTATGGAAGCTCATCTGAGTATAAATCCCCCTAGTGAGATTTATTAAACTAAACTGGCTATGAGCTTTTTCATGTCTGTGTCATCTTTGCAGCCTCTGCCCACACCTTTCAATAGCTCTTGTCACAGCATAATAGACCAGGAGAATCGCAGGTGTATTGTGCAGTGTTCCTTCCACACTGTTGGATCCAGCACACTGTCATTATAAACAAACCCTGTTCCATTAAACAGGATTTGATTTTGAATCGAGCTAAATGACGCCATTATTTACAGTTAGCTGGATAAATGAAGTTATCTTGTGCTCTATTACAAGAGGCCATTACGGACTGCTGCATGGCAAATCTCACCAGTTCTTTCTGCAGGCGTGACCGGTCAGTAGCCTGAAATACAACTGACCGAAAGAGGAACTGCATAATCATGACTGGGAATAAAATATTACGAGTCACTCCGAGGGTAAAAGGTCATCACAGCACAACTTCCCACTTACTTATGATGTAATTGTTTTGATGGTTTGTTTAGGACGTAAAATCCTGCAATCTCCAGCTCCTAAGAAGTGATAGTGAAGTAGACAGAAGCAGTGGATGGATGGAAATTCCCACCTACCTTGGCTAAATGAGAATTGATCCATTTCGTGAATGTCCTCTTCTGCACCGCCTCTTGCTCATCTGAAAATTAAAGGCACACAGGGCATGTCAATACATGATAGCTGCAGCACGTGCTCCGATGGTGGACTGTGGAGTCGAAGGCCCACTTTCTGACTACAGAAACATGCAAACAGATGGACAGAACACACATAATAGGACTCACTGTTCAGATTTGTTGTTGCAAAGAGGTGGCTGTTAATTGAAATGGATGTGGTTGAGTTTATAGCTGCCAGAGAAATATAAAAACGCATAAAATATTTATTCTTAACCATAACTTTTGTCAGTTACAGCCTTTGTAGGACTCCCACAGCCAGGATGCAACTTCATCTAACCTCAAGCTATGTAATTTTACACTGCTTCCGGGATGTCAAGCAGCATTACAGCAGTCCTGCACCATGTATGTTAAACTGCACGCCTTCTGCAATGATTAGACGTGTGCAGCACGATTAACAGACGCTTGCCAGCGTAAGTATAAATGATGCTCCTGAGAAGTGTTCTCAAAAAGAGGTCATACGAGGAGATTAGAGAGTGAGTGGGGAGGAAATTTCTGCCAGCACGTCTCACGAGCCCTGTCTCTGTTCAGTAATAACATGCGTGATTGTTTCGGTCACCCCCAGCCTCCTTTTGTGGTCTATTAATATATTCAGCCACAACGCCTCATGCATTATGCAGCAAGTACAACAAAACAACACATTTCTTTGCTCTGGTGTTGCTGTTGTTGCGTCGGGGGCTGATTTCTAACACCCTGTCACGCATGCCGGCTGGCTAGTGCTGCACACCGCGCAGAGTGGCCATTTTTAAACATCCACCCTCAGAGATATAGACAGTGGTCACGTGTATAAGGAAGCAATGCGAACACTATACAGGGAGCAAAGGCATCACGTTAACCCACAGGCAAATGCTTCATCACTGATGCACAGGGGATGCCCACTGAAGCATAGCACGCACATACAGATACACACACACACAGAAACACACACACACACATGCAGCACACATACAGTACAGCTGTGTTTGTGCAGCATGATAACTAGTTCACAAAGCAGGGATTCGCCTACAAAACATCAGCATATGTTGTGTCCCATATCAGCTACACAGGTCAACACAGATGAGAGATGAAGGGTGCTGCTGCCCTACTTACCACGGAGATACTGAAAAAATCCAGTCACCAGATTTAAAGAAGTCTTCCTGACAGATACATCCTTATAGTGAGCCATTCTACACCCCACTCTCCGGCTCTCGCTCTTCGCATCTCATGAGTTCCAGGGTACATATATATGTATGGGTGAAAATAAGATCCACAGTGGAAAAACTGTCACACGGCTGTCCTTTCAACCTTTTCTTTTTTCCAGCAGGAAGCAAAACAGATCTGGCTGCCTGGTTTCCCCAGTGAAAGCAAAAGAGCTGCTGGAGGCTGAGATGAAAACGTCCCCTCCTCCCTGACACTCACACACACACGCACACAAACACACACACACGCACACACACACACACAGTCGGCAAAGCAGAAAACTCTAGCAGAGAGGGTGATTTACAATCCCATCCTTCCTTCTTCCTGTGTTTTTGCCATCCAGAGGAGCCATGCCTGTGTGGATGTGCACAGCCCCCGCTGCACTGCCTCGCTGTATCATCGTACCATCTGAGGCTGGAGAGAGCTCAGCTTGGAGCGTGGCTCGACCAATGAGCATGTGGGAGGCGGTGATGTCACAGCCTTGGCTGCATTATCCCGATTTAAGCTTGGTTTGTGTGTGTGTGTGCGTGTGTGTGTGTCTGTGTGTGTGTGTGTGGGTGGGTGTGTGTGTGTGTATTGACTTGTGTTTAAATAAAAGATTTATTTAATCTTCCATGAGACTGACACATGTAAAAGCATTAGTGTCCAAGACAATAACAAAAACAAAATCTATATTTTTTTTTTTAAAAATTACTATTATTTCTCTGGCTGTAAAATTAATTCAAGTCTCCACAGGCCTATTGATTAAATGGACCTGAACAAAATTAAAAGACTGCTACACAAAGCTCACCCTGCTGCAACAAATCTTAATAATTAATGCCGAAGCTGGTGAACGACACCCACCACCTGCTCCTTCTCAGTGCTATTGTGACGACAAAGCAGACACACCCACGTCGGGATTCCCTTTGTATCATGTAAAACCTCTGAAGCAGACCCATGTTTGTCCTACAAGACCTTGCAGAACCACTTCAGCTCTGACCAGTCTGTTTTTCTACCCAACTGTTCTGAATATAACTCACAATAGTTAGTAAACCTGGTACTTGATAGCTTATCATCTCCTGCAGAAAACTCCCCTTTATTCTTTCAAGACCACCAGCTTTCTAAAAGCCTTTCTGATATGCTAAAAATAGTCCTGAGGTTGTCGTTCTATTATTACTCTTCTATAGACTGCTGGTGGAAGTGGCCCAGAAAAGCTGTTTGGCTGCAAATGTTTTTTTTTCCTTTTTTACATCAAAACAGCAAAAGGTTAGTAGTGCCATTAAAATCATGTTGACAGCTGCACACACTAAGAACAATGAGCTTTTGGAGACACGAGTCAGATAAGCCCCTAATAAAAAAAATTAAATAAAAAAAAAGATTAGGTACTCAAACCAGTTTGTCAGCTAGGACAAAAAAATAAGATTAAACCTATAATTAATTTGATTTTTATAGCATGTATTTGGTTTGGAGAATTAATATTTTAGAATTTATATGTTTATTTTTATTTATTTTCTTTTTACAAGTTTTTAATCTTCTCACTCTCCCGTAAACTGTATTTTTTAATGCTAAAAAAATCTTTTTTAAATCATCTACAACGGATAAAAGCACAAGTCTAGTCTATCAATGCATGTATTAACTGTTGATATAAATAAAACTTTTCATAGCATTAGAGTCCCACATAATGTTACATCTCACAGGACGAACAGCAAATACTAAAGGGCTGTAAAAATGTTTTCTTTGCTTGCTTCAACCTCTGTCCTTACTTTTCCTATTTTAAAATCCAGACAGATCCAACCCAGGAAAAATCCTCTGCTGCACAGGAAGTGGTGTGTTTTTATTTCCATCAGAATCAGCCAGTGGAAAATTGTGATTACTGGTGCCAGCGTATGAGTTTTAGTGCCAATATCAACTCGAAACATTTTTTTAAACGTAACACTGAGAAATATACATTTGTTTTATTACTAAACCATTTCCTAATGAACACAAGATGCCAAAGTTCCCAGGCTTTTCTATGTTTATGTAATGCTGTTGTACAGGAATTCCTGCCTTAATAATGTAAAACTGGTTGAAACCCAACTAAACTTGAAACTTAAACTAATTTGCCTGTAGTCCATATATTCTTTTCACTTGTTCCCAAATGTCTTCTTATTATAGGATCAGTTGTCTGTAGTCAATATGCTTTATGACTATATTACTTTATAATGTTATTATGTAATCCTATCACTGACATTTTTTTCCTTTAAATGGTGGATGACTGATTGATTTTTAGGATTTGTTTAGAACTTGAGCTCATAATTCTCTGTTGTCACATTTGGTGTTGTCTTACTGTTTTGTTGTTATTTGTGTCTTTGTTAAATGTTCTGTATTTATATTGTGTTATTGTTGTTCAGGACCCCTTTAAATCTGAGACGACACATTTCAGGAGGTTATTCCAAATGTTCAGGACCCCTTTAAATCTGAGACGGCACATTTCAGGAGGTTATTCCAAATGTAGAATTTCAAACTTAGACTAAGTAACTCCATCCTGTCAACAACAACAATGTGGGTGTAAACTACACAAACCACAAGTAAGATCAACCTGGACAACTACAAAAATCTTAAATATAGCCCAACCTACATAAATTAAAAATAAGTAAACAAGATGACCAATCTGACACAGCATTCAGCACCAACTCTGGGACAGTTCACAGTACTCAGTGGACACACAGAAGTATCAACGTCCAACACCGCACCCTAAAATACTTTTGTAATCCGATCATCAAATCATCACATGAAACAAAAACCTTCCTGCCATCATAACTTTTCCTGATATTCCAGCTACTCCGTGCTATTCTCAGCTATCAAGGAGCTGTCCAGAGTCCTGAACTCAGTTGCACGGTTCACTTTATGTGATAAGGTGTGCATATGTAGGTCAGGATATACTTACTCTGACATGCATGAAACCTTTATGCAAAGCATCTCCCCATTATTGAGTCATTATGGTTTTGTCAACTGATTTAATTACGCCTGATGCAGTACCAGCAGCTAAGTGCCAATTATAAGTGGACGACCCCAGCAACAAACACCACGCAGCGCATCAAACCACTAAAGCATGTGCAATTCACATGAGTAATGGAGTACTTTAGGTGATCTTAGCACAGATGATACCTCTGGCAATAGTATACAGTAGGTAGGTGCATTTACACTGGCGTGGGTTGGTCGCCTGGGAGCACTGTGAAAGCCCACTCACTCTGCTGTTCCATTTAGCGGAGAGCAGGCCTAGTTTTAGCACCGACGGGCCGAGCAGGACAAGAAATGATTCCGTGGCTGGACTCTAGCCAGTCCACTCTGAGATACTTGACACTGAGGGTTTATTACTTACTGAACGGCTTCCTGGGCTTCAAAACAATATGACAACACTGTAATGTAATAGTCAAAAACAAAGACAACAAATGAGCACAAGATCACAGAAAAGATATAGGTCCTAGCTTCTGCAGGAAGTGTTTAAAAGAGGCTGGTGCTGCTTAGCTGAGTGCAGAGGGGTAATTAGGCTCTCTGTCATGTCAGTGTGATGGCTGTCTGTCTCTGGCAGCTGTTAGTGACACTGTCGAGTAAAAGCATCTCTCACAGCTGACAACACGCATGCTTCTTTCTTTTTCTTGCCTTGATGTAACTACTCCACCCCCTTTGGCGAACATAATGGCTGCACTCCACCACAGTGGCTCTCAGTGTTTTTAGCTTGTGACCTTTAACAACAAAGCTGCAATCTTATGATACTGGCTCCATGTGCAGGCTGGGGAAGTGATTCACCAAAAACAAAATATATGTTTCTTTAGAGAGGAGAAAATGAATGCCAAACTTTTCAAATGGTCAATTAATCGCTCTGATCATTTTCAAGAAAAAGAAATGTAAGGTTTTATCTGCTTTTATCAGTGCTGACAGAAGTGTTCAGATGCTGTACCTAAGCAAAAGTACCAATACAGCAATGTAGAAATACTCCTTTACAAGTAAAAGTCCTGCACAAAAAATCTCACTTATGTAAAAAGTATGTAAGTATTATCAGCAAAATGTAGTTAACGTCCATCCATCCATGCATTATCTATACACCGCTTAATCCTCACTAGGGTCGTGGGGGGCTGGAGCCTAACCCAGCCGACTTGGGGCGAAGGCAGGGGACACCCTGGACAGGTCGCCAGTCTATCACAGGGCTACACTTAGAGACAGACAACCAAGCACACTCACATTCACACCCACAGACAATTTAGTATCACCAATTAACTTCAACATGTTTTTGGACCTTATGGGAGGAAGGTCCGGGACGCGACCGGCAACCTTCTTGCTGCGTGTAGTTAACGTATTAATGTAAAATTATACGTTTGGTCTCTGATTGATATATTATTATACATAAGATCATTAAATAATTAACAGTAAAACATCAGTATATCAGCAGCATGTTATGTTGTTGCTGCTGCAGGTGGAGCTAGTTTGAACTACTTTATATTCAGTTTTATATAGAAAGGAACATCAGATAAATCTGGTCGGATTAGTATTGGAAGTGCAAAGAAAACTATTTTTTTTTTTTAAATAATAAAAAGAAGTAAAATACCTGTTTCCACTTTGTGGTTTCTTTCTCTTATCATTGATTTTTAGTGAGACATTGGTTCATTTGTATTAAAATGAGACCATGTGTAAAGTTTACAGGATAAAAACCACCATTTGGTGGAGCTGTTAACAACCCACAGACGCCTGAAATGTGAGTCTGACTACAAACTGCTTTATGTACAACGTCAAAAGTCTGAATGGTTGGAAACTACTGGTTAAATCTTTAGCAATGTCTGATTTTTTTAAAAGCTCATATTATAATTATATCAACTACTGTATTAAATGTTCATCTTAAAAGTAACTAAAGCTGTCAAACAAATGCAGAGGAGGAAAACAGTATAACGTTTCTCTCTGAAATGTAGTGGAGGGAAAGTGCAGTGTTATATATAATATGGAGATCCAGGTCCAGAGGAATTGTGTTGGGCCTTTTCTTTCACTATTTGTCGACACTGCGCTGACTCAACTATTGAGGAAATAACAGGTTGTTGCAACCCTAATTATTTCCCCTTTCAGACAGTGAGCCTTATGTACTGACTTATCACAGGAAACAATCAGGTGTAATATTTTTCATATAATTACTGGAAATCAGGTACAAATGTTTTTTTTTAATATCATAAAAACAGCGCCATTTTTTCATATCTGTCTGTATGACTGATTCTCCAAGCTTCCGGGGTGGAGATTCATCTCAGCACATCACGGCATGACCACAAACCCTTCACCAGCTTCACCAGCTCTATGTCTTCATATCCTGTTTGACACTCGACTAGTGAAACCCACAACAAACCCGGTTTGGAGGAAAGCGCCTGTCATGCACACTCCACCAGGCAACAGACAGACATCAATTGCTCCCTGAGGGCATTTAAGGCTGCAAGGTGTTGGTGCATCATCATAAGGCCCTGAAATTAATTACAGAATACTGCCACAGCTTGATGGCAGCAACAAGATAAAACAGGTGTTTAACCTGATTGTTTGTAAGATTGGGATGATTCTTCACAAATCTACTTGTAGTGTCTACTTGTAGATTTGTGTATTCACAAGACTGGAGACTTATCTGTTGTCAATAATTCATCCACCAAGATGGACTGCTGCTCAAGTCAAAGTGATTCTGCAGTAACCTTCTCTTCAGGATGCCTTTAACAACAGGAAGCTGCTTTTGATTAAGAGCAAAAAAAAGCCCAGACTACTTTGCTGTCTGCCATTTACAGGGCACCTAAAACCACTGGCACAATAACATCTTCCAGATGTGACCTGACACCAAATTCCACTTCCTGTGACTGGCGCTTTGCAGAGCAGTTTGTGCCATTTGTGCACTATAGTGGTTAAAAAAAAAAAAAAAAAAGAATTGATTGAGTTCTGACTCTTTTTTTTTCAATAAGAGCTACAAAATGCAGCTTTCATTTATTTCTCTGCAATTAACAAAAGCAAATATCTACCTAGACATTCCTCAACATCTTTTAATTCACTCTGAGTGAGCGTATCCTTCATATCATTCACATCTGAGCCAATTTGAGGATAACATACTGTTAAACTACCCAAATGGCAGGTGTTCTTTGCCATGACACATTTCTCCTTCAATGTGCTTAGAATACATATTAATAATAAGCAAATGGAAACAGCTGTGCAGTGCACAGGAAACCAAGTGTCTTAGTAGCAGGAACTGGGCAACACTGGCAAAACCACAGACAAATGTTTCATAACAGTAGCTATGGAAACAAGCCATAAGGTGTGAAATTTCTTGCTATACTGTACATCTAGAAACTCATCTAAACTGAGTACAAGATGCCAGAATTGACCAGACTCATGTAGTGATGGCTGTGGCCTAATGCTCTTGTAACAAAAGGGGGACACCAACAAAACGAGGCTCCTGCTATCGATCTATTCTCCTTCCAAGGGCAAAAAGGGTGTCAGGTTTTAGTCTTGTTCAGTGCATTGTCTGTGAATTCATGAAGCCGCAGTTGTTGTGACTCAGTATCTCATGTCAAGACTCGGCGGATTAAATGTTCCTGATGATCCGTGACCTGCTTCAAAAAGAACTAAACTAAATTTTCAAATAAAGATAAAAAAGATAATTTGCTAAGAAGTGGTTAAACAAAAGGGCAAAAATTACCCAATTTCTTGAAAAACCTAAGTGATTTGATGCATCTAAGATGCATTAAGTTCATTTCCCTGGTGATACACGGCTGACATGACATGAAAACACATGCCTCTTTGCTGCAAATATGCGTTACTAATCTCTACAGAAAATCAGATTTAAAGACGGGACGGCCAACTTATCAAAGGCCATGCTTTGAAGCATGTGTCGAGATCAGGAGTTTCACAATATTCAGCGAATAAATGTCATCATGTTCCTCTAAATGACTTCTAAGTCACTCAACATACAGTAGGCCACGAAACAATGCAGTATGTCTTCTTAAAGTTGGGTCACAAGACATTACATGTTTTTTTATTATTTCAAATAAGATTATGTGCTGTCTTGTAAAGAAACAAGTCTAGTGACAAAAGAGACCATGTGCACATTAAATCTAATTATACAAATGTGACATTCTATTGTGCTTTTAAAGACTACAAGTCCTTGAAAACACGCTGTTTGCAGAATGCAGGACTGTAACTTAATATCAAATTATGCTTATCTGCTAACAATCTATTTTGAAAAAATTAGATCAAAAAAATAATTTTAATCATTTTACTACAATAAGTTTTCTAACTATACGCTGCCTAAATGCTCTTGTTTGACTAAGTGTGTGAGCGGGTGTGTGTCAGCATCCTGCCTTGCAAATGCTGGCAAACTTCAGATGGGCATGCAGCCCAGGCGTTGAATCAGCACTATATTACTGTGCAGCAGCGCAGGAGGAGAGGATGTTCAGTCCGTAGGCCATCTGAGCAAAAAAAAGTGACACTTACCCTGCAGTTTTTGCATCACATTAGCTATGTCCACGGACCCTCGGCCGAAATGCCTCGGAGAAGCCATGTTGACTCGTCGCAGCTGTATGACAAGATGGGTCACTGATGCTGAGAGCAAAGATCCTTCACAACTGTCCTGAGTGGGACATCCCCTCGGCCCCTCCCTCCCCCTGCTTCGCTCTTTCTAATTTCACTGCAGGACCAGGTCCAATTGAATCTCAGGTTTCACGCAGGGACAAGCAGGTCTACTGTCCAATAGAAGCACTTCTTACATTCACTGCCTGCAAAAGAGAGGTGTGTGAGAAAGGTTTGACTGGAGGCACCTTTTCTTTTTCTTTTTTTTCAAGCAATTATTTCATTACACTTTTTTGCTCAGCTTATTAACTTACAACACCAAATGTTTTAAAAAGACATGATCTGACAACATCATTCAAACTGAATGTTAAAGCATTGTGTCGTAGTTAACTTTTAACCTTATAGAACCACTTCTTTGAAATGATAAATATCCTTAAAACTTGAACTGAACAGTAGATGAAAATGTTTTCTGTAAAACATTATTAGAACTTGTAGGTATTGTTAGCCTTTGTTGTGGGTACATTTCACTGAATTTGGTTGATTGCAAACTGTCAGGAAGTGGCATATATAAAAATAGCAATAAAGCTACACAAAGATAAGCAAACACAGCATTAACAGGGAAGTAGCAATTTCATAGTATGGTCAGTCATGAACAAAGTTTTACACTTATAAAGACCATGTATATCATAGCAATCTTGACTTTCCAGTGAGTCCTGTAACTCTTGACTTTCTGTAATGGATATCATTTAAACACGAATACCTTAAAATACAATCATGCTTTTGGCTCTTTTGTAGATTTTTATAGGTCTTCTGGAAAAATGACAAAATCTGCTGGGTCAAAAATATACATACAGCAACTTGAATGATCAATTATGATGATGTAGAAAGTTGTGTTTATCCAATTTCATTTGTATCATGGCCTTTATTTATACTTTCTGTGGGTGATTATGATTGACCACAGCTGCTGGCTTCTCTGAGCAAATTTAAATAGAGACCACTTGATACACCTATTAAACTCAGTCACAAACACAACAGCAGGAAAGTCTGAGGAGCTGAGCAAAGATCTGAACAAGCAATCACTGACTGATGAAACACAAATTGAGCAATTTGGCCACAATGACCAGAAATATGTTGGGAGGAGAGAAGGTGAGGCCCTTAACCCCAGGAACATAAAACCTACTGTCAAGCATGGTGGTGGCAGTATTATGCTCTGGTGCTTAAATGGAGTAATAAATGATTATTACCTCCACATGCATCAGGAAAACCTAGAATCATCAGCCAGGAGGTTGGGTCTTGGAAGCAGTTGGGTGCAACAAGACAATGACCCTAAGCACACATCAAAATGGTGAAGAAATGGCTAAATCAGGCTCGAATAAAGGTTTTAGACCGCTCTCCTCAAAGTTCTGATTGTAACCCCATCAAGAACCTGTGGACTGTGATGAAGAAGCAAGTATGTATCGAGCCCAAATGCACCGATTCTACCAAGAGGCGAGGTCATAGATACAACCAGAAGCATGTGAACAGCTTGCACAAGCGGCTTGTTGAGCTGAAAATAGCCAATGAACATTTAAATAAATACTTCTAAATGTATATTTTTGACCCACAGATTGCATCATATTTCCAGTAGACCTATAATAAATGTATGAAAGAAACAAAATGCATCGTTGTTTTTGTGTGTGTGACAAGGACACATGGGTTTAATGACTCCATCATAGAAAATACAGTTACAGGAGATATTGTAAACTGGAATGAATGACTGTCATGATACACAAAGTCCTTACAAGTGTATGGAAACTTCAGTTCACGGCTGTAAGAATAAAATAGTGAAACAATTTTAAAAAGTACTATTAGTGTATTAGTGAATAGAAATTTTAGATAAGTGAAACTGTTGAGTGAGAACATGTCTGAACTAGCTTAAAGAAGTTAGCTTGGCACTTCCACTTATGGGAGTTTCTTCGACACTCAAAGAGTAAAAAGCTTGCGACAGACATACGTTTATATTTATAGCTGTCTGCTGTGCGCTTGCTACACTATTGTGAAGCTGTTTTTCAGTTAACTAGCATTTACCAAACCAAACTGAGCACCGGTGCAGCTATTTGAACGCCGGCGCGGTGGTACTAGCCACCTGTTCAACACGGGCCAAAGATACCGACAAAAAAAACCCCTAAAAACCTACAACATAGAAGCTCCCCACGGATAAGTAAACACAAACGCCATAAAACGCTGCTCTATCAATGAATTTCAAAGTTGTACGCGGACATTTCATCTTACCCCTCTGAGCCCTGCGGACCATCATAACTTCACTGAGGAAGTGAGTGCGTGTGTTTCCCGGTTGCCACGGCAACTAAGAAAGTGAAACATGGTGGCCGAGAGAAGTTTGTGACCGCAAATTGCAGCATGAGATGAGCAGGAGGGTCGGAAATGAGTTGGTTAGGTCCGTGTCCGCATCGTTTGTAGGAACAAAAGGCTCCATTCATTCATTCATTCTTCAGCTGCACACAGAGGAATCCCTGGTATCTGGTTCTCTTCACAATTAGTTAACACTGACAGTTTAACTTCCGGAAATGAGTGATGACATGCAATCAAAAATAATCTTTTTTTTTTTTTGAGCTCAGACCAAAAAAACAAAAAAGAAGTGTGATTACACTGTAGCTACTCAATGATGGAGTCAAGTAACTGAGACCATCCTCACTTTGTGGTGGGTCAAGACGTCATTTTTCCATTTCAGGAACTTAAAAGCTATTTTGAGGCAGCCTGAACCTTTAACGCAACTGCAGGAGCTGTCACAGGTAACTCAAAAGTATTCAGATTAGATTACATTTATTATTATATTTCTATACTTATGTTATTTTACTTTTTGCAAACCATGCACCTAGGGCCACAAGTAATTAATTCTGTTCATACCCTAAGGACCTTCCTGAGGATTTGTGCAGATCCCAGCATGCTGATCTTTTGGGTCTCTGTTGCTATTACTATTATCATCATCATCAATATAGCTCTTTTCAGAATCTAGGCTACAAAGTGCTTCACAGGTCAGCAAAACAAAACATTTGAATTTGAATTTAAAATGTTTAAATTTAAAACTGATAAAAGCACAGCAAGGTGTTAAAAAGTTCAAAGTGTATGAAAACTTGTTATTTACATGTAGCATCACTTTGGCCAACAGCTAATAGTGTAGATCTGCTTAAACACTATGCTCAGGAATGAGAAATAAATATAAAATTTGCATGGACAACTTCTCTGCATAAATGATGCTTCTACCTTATAACAACCCTGATGACATGGTTTCATTACATTAGAAATGTTCTCTTTATTGGGGTATATTTACAAAGTGGTGTTGCAGCTTTTACTTAGGTAAAAATAAATCTGAATATTTTCCCCAATCCAATGGCATAATGTGCAGTAATATCATTTACGCGACATTATTACATTGTGCAGAAGGGAAAATGGTTCTTCCTGGGGTTTTTTTGTTTGTTTGTTTGTTTGTTTGTTTGTTTGTTTGTTTGTTTTTTGATGTCATTGTTTATATAGATAAAGGGTATCAAGATTCAAAGAAAGCCAAAACTAAGGACCTTTTTGAACATGAATGGCTAATTTCACAATTTTCTCTTTAATACACCCTGTTTTCAACTGTCACGCTTCGACTGGGGTTTGTGAAATCTTCCAGAACTTGTGACTTTGCATGTGATTACTACATTTCTTGTAATATTCTTCTGGAGGCTCTCCAGATCATTATAAGGAGCTCACTGAGGCCATAAAATGTGCAAACCTGCAGTTCCATTACAAGTACTTGAGCGCCACCTGCTGGACTTCTCTGTGGCATGACTTCCTTAACGCCTATAGACACTGTTTACACTCCTGACACTGGAAAAGTGCAAATAAAACTTGATTTATTGGAGTCTTATATAACATATGAATAAGTACATTCACAGAGAGGGAACAGATGAGTTTTGTAGCAGCTGTTGAGCTGATTTGTGGTTTTGTTCTCCTGAAATCTCTGAGGGCAGCAGGATTGAAGTGGGAACAGAGCAACAATTGAAGGAAATCCCCACAGAGACTGAGAGCTTCATACCCTGCAGACTCTCTAGTGGATGGTTGCTTTTTGTCAGGTTAGTTTATCCAGAACCTTGTCAAGACACTTGAAAGCTTTCCAAGACATCAGAGGGAAAGCTGCATTTTAATGGGCTTTGTTTCTTGTTATTTCACCTAAAAGTTCTACCGAGAACTCATGTACACCACATCAGGATGTTGTGTGATCATAAACTTTGCAGAAATTGTGCCAATAGAGCCTTTGTTAAAGAGTATCGATCCCAAGGAAGTGATGCAAAAGGAAACAACCCTGTTTCCCAGTGTTATGTCCCACACAGATAAGCAATGCATTTGCTAATTTTAAAGCCAGAGAGGGAAGGAAGCATGACAGCAAAGTTTCCGCCTCAGCAAACACTGCAGGGGGAAAAGGGCCTGTCTTGGAAAAAGCTCAGTGTTTGTCCGTCCGTGGGAGTCAGAGTGGAACCTAACACCAGCTTATGGTGGAATAATGGCACAGAATGAAACACATCCCATTTTGGAAATACTACAGTCATTTAATCTTGGTAAGTGTGTCTGTGTTTGTTTCTTGCAACGATCTGGAGACTTTTATTCCCCTCAAAACCGCAGCCTAAACTATGTAAGTGTTGCACTGAGAAATGTAGATGGAATAGTTCTTCATTTGATTCACCTGAGTTCCACTATTAGATTATTAAAGACTACAGAGACACAGTTTTGGGAAACTCATCAGAAAAGTTCAGACCAAAGAACTGATTGCTCCTAAATAGATTTCGGCTGCCTAATTATGACTGATTGACATTATTTAGGTATTTTGAATGTGTCTCCAGGGTCAGAACTGTTTGTATACATCATTTATTTGAACCAAATTGCTATAAAACAACTTAGTTCTCCTAAATCACAGCTTAAAACTATTATATTTGCATAGTTATTAAGTTAAATTTAGACTATCCAGACATATCTAATTACACTGTTATGTTTCTCTTTCTGGTTCTTATGTTTTATCCCCTTGAACTTGCTTTTTTGTAACTTCTATGGTATTTTAGCCTCTGAAATCACATTCATATGGAGTAGAACTCTCTGATATGTCTTGTATTGTGTCTCTTTGTCGGCTATGGTGTACGATAAACTTCCTGTGATCAACTTTTCCTGAGAATCCAGGAAACTTTTGCAATCAGGGTCATTTTACAGACGTCATCACTTCAAGATGAGCGTAACCCGACTTATCTGTCATGCGTCACTTTAATTTTATGATCGGTTTGCTCTTCCACACAAAGATCCTGCCGCACATAGTCGGTGAACCCACACAACAGGTATGATGTAAGATTTTATGTAACATCGTGCCCAGTATAGCAGCTCCCAGCAATAATAAATCAATACTTAACCAAATCTGGTATATATGAGATCTGCTTTGCTGCATTGATGCACCTCTACCATATTCCTTGTCTATGTTAATAAGGTTTTGTTTCCGCCGTCTGGGGAAATAATTTCCCCTTTTTTAGAGCAACACATTGCATCCCCGCCTCTTACCCTGCTAAATATTTCCAACCGTTATTTTGATCCTCCTGTATTTCCCCTTTTTTTCTGAGACTCTGCATTGATTTTTCTGCTTCCAGGCGATATGATCCTGGCCTTCTGTTTGTCTGTGATCGTGGGCCTGGTGCTGGGTGCTTTGATCTACGTTCTGCTGACCTGGGCGTCGAGGCGCCGGGCCACGGCCAGGATCACCAGACGCTCCAAAAAGAAATCTCGCACTTCACAAGCACGCGACCCCTCGGGCAGCCAGCTGGGCCTGTACAGGAGCACTTTCCTGAGCGTCTACAGACAGCCTTCCCTCGAACCGGTGGGGCCTCTGGGGAGCAAACCGGGCGCAGACACCTCCACCTTCCGGCCACTGGCCAAGAAGAGCAGGCCCAGTCTGGACATGGGAGATGACACCCAGGTGGCTGAGGACACAGCAGCTTCATCCGATTCCACCTCCCTGGTGCCCAACAAGAGACATTCCTTCTGGTTGGGAAGCAACGGACTGAAAGGATTCCTGCCTTCACAGACGCCCCCTCCCGCATACGACAGCGTCATCCACGCCTTTGAAGAGACGTGCACTTGAAAGTGTCACCAAGAAATGACACTGAGGAGAAAATTCTGGCTTTACGATGGACTTCCTGGCTTTGTAACTGGCCTTTAAAGGGGCAGATATCTAGCGTTTGAAGCGACGTGTCCTTAACTGAATAAGATGCCTCCACAAAGCGTCAGTTGAGCTTTGTATTCAGAGATATAAACAAGGATTGCAATTTCTGTAATTGATGCATTTGCACGATGTTTTCTTGACTAATTGCGAAGTTCTTTTCTTGATGCAAAATGTCACAAAAATCACAGTTTCTGAGAGGTCACAGCAATTTCTGTAAAAAAAAAAAAAGAAAAAGAAAAAGAAAAAAAATCCACAAAATGGAAAATGTGACATCAGACTTAACTTCTTTGTCCAAATACGTGAACACATAGAGTTTGGTGTTTTCTTTGCTCTCAAGACAAAACACATACACAGTTTTAATATGTGTTAAAATACAGAAGGAAAATGAGTGTTTAACTACTATGTACAACTAGATGTGTGTAAGAACAGCATGTTTAAAGTGAAGAGCGTGGGAGTTTAGTGCAAGATACAAGTATTAACAATAAATACGGAGATATTGTTGCCTTTTATACACGAGGTAGGTGGATGATGGCACAACTGAGAGCAGTAAAGAATGTTCTGTCATCTGAGGTCTCAATAAGATCTGGAAAATGTTTTCTGAATGTTGCATTGCGAACGTCCTTCCTTTGTTATCATAGTGGAGACATTATAAAGAGGAACGTTCTATCATGTGTTCCCTCAACAGAACGACTAAATGTTCCACCTTTAATACATCAGATTGCAGGAATTTTATGAAGTGTTCTGTATGAGAGACATCTGAGGCCTCCATTACACTTAGAAAACGCTTTCTTAATGTTGATTTGGGAACGTTCTTCCTCTGCTATCATGGAACATTGTGAGAATGTCTTATAGACAAACGTTCTATAATGTGTTCCCTCAACAACAAGGCAAAATGTTCCACCTTTAATACATCAGTTACGTCACAGAACGTTGCAGGAACAATGTATAACATTTGGAAAACGTTTTTTGAGTGTTGCTATGAGAACGTCCCTCCTTTGCTATCATAGAACATAACCTGTTTTTCTGACAACCTTTTCTGAATGTCAACATTAAACCAATACATTAACTTTATTCGACCACTATCGGGAATGAAAAATATTCTTAAAGGAGTCTTTAAACATTTAATTAAAATGCTTTCTTCAAAACATTATTAGAACTTCTAAGTAATGTTAGCCAATGCTGTGAGAACATTCCCTATTTGCTGGGTATGCACCGATTTGTGACTTTTCTGCATCACTTTATGGTGGAAATGTTTTCAATGAAAACATAAAATTCAGACACAGTGCAGGTAATAAGTCAAAATATAAAGTAATAAAATATAACACAATGTCATGAGGCTCTCGGGACGTCTGCACTGCTTTCATATCAGCTTTTCTCATTCCTCCCCTTCAAAATCTTCGCCTCTGATCGCAGAACATCTCATAGCCCAAGATATAAAACACCCAAACAGAGACAGTGCCGGTTAAAGACAGTGTGTACCGATGAGGGGAACATTGTGTACTGGATAGTTGTATCTACACAATAAAGATTATGGACATTTTTGTGAGAATGCTTGTGATTTGTGCAAAGGTCAAACACCTAATGGAAATCATATTTTATACATACAAAATGTTTGAATGTGCTGTTTTAATATATTCTGCTTAAATGAAGGAGAAATGTTAGAAAATCATCTAATTAATTAATAGCACTAAATTCTGTATATAGCAGAAAGGTTGGACACTGGTTACCTGCACATTCATCACATCAAGGTCTTGTGTCAAGAATGTCACTTGTACTTAGATTAGAAAGCTGGGGTGCGCCTGGTGAGGTTGCCATTGTGACAGAATTCCCCTTTTTAGGTGCAGCAATGAGTTTAATTTCCATTAAATCAGCCATGTGGATAAAAATTCATGCAAAAATGCTCACAAGTGAGATTAAACTGCACATATTCACCTTCAGGGATTCCTAAGTTGCATTTTTATGGGTGCTAGTGCTTTCATTTTGGCTGTATTTGGAAATTCGTGGTGTATTTTCCGTGTTACCTGCCTCATGGCAACCCGCCTTTAAAGCCACAACCCCAAAGTGCGCCTGCGGAAAAGTGCCTGGCAACACTACCGCACTGTGCGCCGACCAGACCTCCGGATTAAAACGTTATTATAGCGCTGTCAGGTACGTAGAGTCACACAACAGGACTGTTCGCTCGTGTAAATCTCTGCGCTGCCATTCATCCTCCACCGCAGCTTGTCCGTCTCGGCAGCTTTGTCTCATTCAGTCCGGAGGTGCTGCATGCGGTCAGATCCAAGACGCCTTTGAATGAGAAAAATGCATTTGATGTCACGTCTCATGTAGATAAAGGAGGTGATGGCTCTTTTACTTTCATCTGACGCTTTGGATCAACCTAAGATGGGGAATTAATGGGTTTTAACCGCCTTTTTTTGTTGCATTTTTTTGTCATCATTGGCTGCATTTGGATGTGTTTCATGTGAAATATTCCACATTTGAGTTGATATCTTTGTGTGGCTGCTGTGGTGCTGATGCTGATGAACGGACAGTATCAGTACCCATGGAGACTGCGAGTGCCCTGCTCTCCAATGCAGTGATGCTGTTGCATAGAGACTGAGAAACAGTGTGGATTTCAAGGTTGATGCACTGAATGACAAGGCTGCTATTTTAAGCAGAAAAAGGAAAAAAAAATCCCTCTCTCTTTTTTTTCTGTCTCTCTCTCTCTCTCTCCCCTAGATTGCCTTACTTGTTGAATAATACAGAATTATTATTTTTCTTCCTTCACTGCAACAGGATTGCACAACTCTCCCGGAGCCACATCAGGAAGACATGGGATGGGCCACTGGCATCAAAGGAGCCTCTCATCGTTTCATGGCTAAACTCTGAAGTGCAGAGCTGCTTGGATTTGACTGAATGTGGAGCTGGACACCATCTGGCCGTATGATGAATTTTACCTCCCCGTAGGTTTTACTGTAAGCAGCGAGAGCAGAGCAGCCATTACCCTTCAGTGCATCATCTGAATGGAAATATGGACACCTTCAATGGAGGAATTTTGACTCAACATGTCCAGGAACTATGAGGTATTCACACTAACCTTATTGCACATTTCCATTTTTTTAGCCATTACTCAACACACAGAAGGGCTTCAGTTTGTCAGGCATATTCTCTATTAACTGATTAATTGTTTAGTTGATAAAATGTCAAAAAAAATTTTGAAAAATGTCTATTTCTCTAAAAGCTAAGCTGACAAATGTGTTGTTTTGTCCACAACTCAAAGATATTCAGCTTTCTGTCATAGAGGAGTAAAGAAACCAGAAATGATTCAACTTTAAGTAGCTCAAATCTCAGAATTTTGATTTCTTTACAAAATTACTTAAACAGATTATCAAAATAGTTGGTATGAATACATACCCTGAAGTCCCACCATCTGAATTTTAAATGGCAGAAGAGATCCCAAATGAAAAATAACTACATTTGGGTACAATACAAACATGGAGCTTTAAGTTTACCTAAACTTTACTTATAAAACATCATGAAGCTTCAATGAAAAGCTGGAATAAGATGATTTAAACCAGTGATTTCCAAAGTGGACATTGTGAGACACAGAGGAGATGATTCCAGAAATCAAATAGAATTCAAATTGAGTAGAAATCATCTGTTTTAGCCATGATTGTTACAAAAACATGTGAGTCTGCTGCTCTTACATGCTATGACTGATGTACTAGCTTATGTGTAATTACTATAAAATAATACTGTGGTTGTGTTCTTTTGTGTTGTGGTTGTGGAGAGGCGTGTTTTTGTTTGTGCCACCTCTGGGGATTGTGGAGGTCACGATTCTCCAGCCCTCTTATTTTCGTGCTAAAAAGTTTAGAAACCTCTAATTTAAGCGACCTTTAAGCTACTTCAGGGGAAATAAAAGGGCAAAACTGTATGTTAAAGAGGCTGATGTGGCAGTGTGGGAAATGTAGGTTTTCTGTTTCGAAATGTAGATGTGAGCCCCAGAAGGCAGGAATCTATATGAGCAGGAAGGACACCACCGGTAGTCAATGCAATCTGAGACATGATAATGAATAAGAAATAACACTGGGGAGATGGGAAAATGTCAAAAGCCTAAATTAGAATTCACATTTCATCCAAAGCTGCAATTATTAAAGTAATCAGCGATGATTTTAATAATTAGTTTATGTAATTTTCCAAGGAAACAAAATCCAAATTCTCAGATTTCAGCTTAAAAAAATGTGAACATCTTCTGTCTTCTTTCCTCTTCTGTGGCATTAAATGGAATATATTTGGCTTGTGGACAAAACAAGACATTTTCAGGGAGCACTGGTGGACGCTTCTCACCATTTTCTGACATATTTCAAATCGAACAACGAATCAACCAGGACAGATTAATCCACGGTGAACATAATAACCTAGTTTTATCCGTACTCCTCTCATTTTCACAGTCTGTACAAATAAAAGACAGACTGTGTGATGATGTAATCTAGAGACAAATCCTGGAGCCGCTCCATACACAGTGAATAATAGAACAACAGCTAGAACATTATGAGCAGCAGCCATAGATGATTTTACTGGTGTCAGTGGACATTCAGTGATTCACTTGTACTCGCGTGAAGTCTGTTCAGTCAAATGCAGCTCGTCAGGATGGACATTCTTAAACAACGAGCTCCTGGTTTAAGTCGCTGATTTGATCCTTTTGTGCTCGTCTGCTGATAGATGTGTGTATGTTCTGCAGGCAGCACCCACACAGTATTAGGTTTTCTTTCAGTTTTCTTTACTTATGCAACTTTTCACCATGGTAGGCAGCATATTCAAAGCTACTTTTTCATTTTTTTGGCTGTTAAATGTTTTTAGTTTATCACCTGCATGTTGAAGCTTCAACGCTTCTAAGCAATTTAAAGGCTTTTTGTCTTTGTTGGCTTATAAGTTGATGTTAAAACTTAATTCTTGGTTGCTGATCTGAGCTTTTGCATGATCTTTCCGAGCCGACGGAGTCACCTCAAGGTCCAAAAGTGCTCAGAAAGAGGGAATTGGAACTAAGCAGAAACCATCTGCTTTGGAAGATTGTGTGATACGACTGAAAGCATCAGAATAACCTTGTGCTGAGAGTCTTCAGTCAACTTCTGCTTCCGACGTCTATAAATAACTTCAAGTGTAAACTATTTCATGTTTTACAACCACAACCCAGCTTCCTGCCGACCATAACAATAGCCCTCAGTACACAATAATATCCAAAATGTCCCAAACTTCACTGAAAAGGCAACTGTAGAATCACGCGCAGTATGTGGTTTTATTATAAACTGAAGCATGGCTCTGATAGCGGCGGCTTCAACTCGTCTCTGTCTCTGTTTTGCCCACCAGCCTGGTCACTCAGTAGGGATGTTGGCTGCCGTGGAACATGGTCCCATCCTCTGCAGCGACTCCAACATCCTCTGCCTGTCGTGGAAAGGCCGGGTCCCCAAGAGCGAGAAGGACAAGCCGGTGTGCCGCCGACGGTACTATGAGGAGGGTTGGCTCGCCACGGGGAACGGGAGAGGAGTCGTTGGGGTGACGTTCACATCGAGTCACTGCAGGAGGGACAGGAGTACGCCTCAGAGAATCAATTTTAACTTGCGGGGACACAACAGCGAGGTGCGGCCATGACTTCATCACTATCGCTGCTTTCACTGTCTTCTTTTGCTTTATATTATAACTAAGAGCAATTCAGGTTTATTCCATGTCAAATCATCACATTTTTTCCTGTTCAACAACTCTGATTTACCTGAAATTTCCATAGCACAACATGTGAATATATGAAAAGCTGTCTCTTAAATTTTAGCTTGATACATCAAATACTTTTTGAGATATGATTTTTTAATTTAATTTCCCATCTATCTACTATTAACACTGTTTTAGTGCATTGAGAATTCAGGCCATGTTTAAATGACAATATCTCAGAAAATCCTAAAGATAAAAGCCTGAAATTTTCACAGTTATTTCTCACCATGGCAGTCATTCAGAATCTCCAATATTGTACAAATAGAGCAAATAATCTCTGATTGTGATTGAGTTGAATTAGAAAAAACGATGAAAAGTTCCACCCTTGAGCACAGGTTAACAAAAAAACTGATTATGCAGAAGCGAAGTAGTGATGTTTTCTTAACTGAACGTAGTTGCACGACTAAATAACACAAAACAAAACAAATAGAATACTTTTTAATATGAAATACCTGATCCTGAAATTGAAAGGAAAGTTGTTTTCAGAAACTAAATGAAACCCCCGGTCCCCTACTGCATATAATACCTCTGCTTTCCTTCCTAACATATCCCACTTGTCTCTGCTCCTTCTATCAAAAATGAAGGTAAAATTCCTCAAAAAGCAATAAAAGCATAAAAATATAAAAGAAAATTAATAGAAATCCGTCATATCTTTGAGCTTCGTTGGGGAAAACATACAAAGACGGAAATACAAATCCGTGCAATATGAGATTGTAGCATAAAAATCCTACTCACAGTATAAACAGTGCAAAATAAAGTGCAAAAATAGGTGAGAAGGTTGCAAACATGTTGAAAAAAATGTAAATTTAGATTTGCAAAACTTACAGATTGTGCAATAACATGCTTTATAAAACTATATCTCATCAAATGCACTGAGTTTATAGATTTAACAGGATTTCTTTTTTGCTATATTTCCATGTGTGAATCAACATGCTATACGTAGAGAGAAAGTGACAGAAAGTGCTACCGATCTAATGATTAGAACATATTTACTGCTGTTAAAATCGTTCCGTTTTGTCTCTGTGTGCTGACTCTCCTTCCGTCTGCACTTGCTTCTTAAAATCACTTTCTGCCTAAAATGCTTTTTTAGCCTTTGCGCTCATACAGGACATTAATCATGAATGTTCCTCTGTGCCGACGGCCACCTGGGCTTGTGAAAAATAGTGACAGCGTTTCGGGCCTTTGCAGGTTGTGTTGGTGCGTTGGAATGAGCCCTTCCAGAAGCTGGCCACCTGCGATATGGAGGGAGGCATTTTTGTGTGGATCCAGTATGAAGGAAGATGGTCTGTGGAGCTAGTGAACGACAGAGGAGCCCAGGTAGACACACTGTAAAAGACTTTTTATAAATGATGTGTTCTGTTGTAGACATATGCAAATGACTCGTTATCTCTATCCTCCAGGTGAGCGATTTCACTTGGTCACATGATGGCACTCAAGCCCTCATCGCGTACAGGGACGGCTTCGTGTTGGTCGGCTCGGTCAGCGGGCAAAGACACTGGTCCTCTGAGATTAACCTGGAGAGTCAAATCACCTGCGGCATCTGGACACCTGATGATCAGCAGGTAAACATAAATAAGAAAAGAAAAATCAAACGTGGGGTGGGATATTTTCCTCGAGATGGGTGTTTTCTCAGAGCTTTTTAGGCCATGTGCTCAATGAGACCACATTTGTCTTGTCAACGATTAAATTTTAATGTGCAATGCGCCCTCAGGTCTTGTTTGGCACGGCAGATGGTCAGGTGATCGTGATGGACTGTCACGGACGGATGCTCGCCCATGTGCTGCTGCACGAGTCTGATGGGATCGTGAGCATGTCCTGGAACTGCCCCGATTTCCTGGTCGAGGACAGCACAGAGAGCGACACCGACTCCGATGACAATATTCTGCCTTTAGGTACAATCCCAGTTCGTCTCTGCTCAAATAAAGGCTCGTAGTTAAATGTGTTGCCAGGGGGAAACTCATGTACACTTTTCTTTCTTCTTCTAAGTGCGGAGAGTCAAACCTTTGCTGACCGTCACCTTCTTATCGGGAGATATCAGTTTGATGAACAACTACGATGACCTCTCTCCTGCCATAATTCGCTCAGGGCTGAAAGGTATGAACTTATATCTACAGTAGAGATATCTGGGTGATCAAAGCAGTTTTTACCTGATCAGTACATCTGCTGTCCCACCTGTTTACATAATGTGTGCAGTGATATCAATAAATACTTGATTAGTTAATAGATAAATCCATCACTCTTGTTATCGGAGATTCACTGTTATTGCTGGAAAAGCCACCAACACACAATACAGGCTTCTAAAGTAACTGTTACGTATATCACTGGGGTACAATAGCACTTTCATATTTGTTTTAAACTTAATTAAATACATGTGTGTTTGCTGGGGGTCATTAAGCCTTCCAGAAGACTTTGTCCTGGTGTCCCTTTAGTAGTTAAACTCCCACCATGCTCACTGCTTGCCAACTGAGATTTAAACATTTCCCCCCTCACCACAGTATTAATAGTACAAGGGTCCACCTGGTGGCACAATCAGGTACTACAGCTACTCGACAATAAGTGCTTCAGGTTTTTATATTTCTAGAAGCTTTACTAGAAAGCAACTGGACTTGTCGTTTAGGTTTTTGAAGATGTTTCCCCTCTAATTCAAGAGGTTCCTTCAGTTCTTTGTATTATCTAGGAAAATGGTGTTGGCAGAATACTAAATATTAAATGGCTTGGATTGGATCTTGGGGGGGAAACAATTTGATTGGGACTCCCCTAATTTACAAGTTTGCTGATGAGAGCTGTTGATCATGTTCCCACCACAGATGTTGAGGCCCAGTGGTGCTCCCAGGGAGACCTCCTGGCAGTGGCCGGTATGGAGAGACATGGACTTCCTGCTGAGTCTGCCTGTGCATCCATCATGAGGAACGCCCTCGTTAAGTTCTACAACGTCCAAGGAGAGCACATCTATACTTTGGAAACTCCGGCACAGGTTGGTTCCTGTAAACTGAGACATACAAGTCTCACTGGACAATATAGAAAAGAAGTACTGGTTCGGTGACTGTAAACCTTTTGAAATTGGTATCTGTTGAAGCATGGAGATTACAAGTGAATACCTCCAGCTGATGCCCATCAAACCAGACTGGTATTTAGAAGTCAAATTGGAACTGTATTTTTTTCTTGCGAAAACTAAACTTATTTCATGCATGTAGTGCTGATTACTCCACTGAATGTAAAGCATTCTCGGGGTGGTTTTTGCTCCTGTCTTATTGCTGCTCATTGTGGGGTAATTTTTTTGTTGTAATACAAAGTCCTGCACCTCTACAGAAACAGCACAACCATGGCTGTAGGTAGAGAGAATGCAAAATATGCTTATGTCTTAAAATGACATGCCAAACAATGAATACATTGTAAATGATAAAACTTTTGTTTATTGCATACCATATAACATAGCTTGGCTTTAACTGTTTAAAAAGACTTGGGTCCCATGAGAGGCACCTGTATTTGAAATGCCCAGAAGTAGGTGGCAAATGGTAAAAATTCTTCGCTTTCAAATGCATTTTTCAAACTTTGTTTAAAAGTTTTGCAGAGATTAAGACTAATGGGTGGTAACTTTTTTTTCTATTGGACTATTCAAAGAAGCAAAAGTGCTTGAACAAGTAGATGAATAAAAACAACAGAGCAGATTAAAAAAATATTCTCAGAAATGGGTACAATGACTGGCTGAGAACTGGGACGCCACAGGAATTCTTTGATTGTGAATGGCTGTCTTTCAGAGGCCCATCACCACCATCTGTTGGGGTCACAGAGACTCTCGCCTCTTCCTCGCTTGTGGACCGGCGCTCTACGTGGTCCGTGTGGAGCACAGGGTGGCCAGCCTCCAACTCTTATGCCAGCAGGGCATCGCCAGCGCCCTGCGAGAGGAGAAAGACGTGGGGAAGCTGAACATGCCCTCGCTGCTCTGCTCTTATGTCACCACCGCTTTCATACCCACCATCAAGGTACTACTTTAATGCACGACGCTCCACCCTTTACGCCTCGTTTGGCGCCGCAGATGGTCAGGTGATTGATGGACTGCTTTCATCTCCTCTGTCAAGGTGCATTGATCCCGGCTTAATTAGTGTGCAGAGACAATCAATTTCTCGCCCGCTTTGCTGCACAGTCTCTGAAACCGAAACTGCTGACAGTGACATGTTTTCATTCGAGTGTCCAGCAACCCCACAGCTTTTTCCTCTCTTTGTTCCAGCCCCCAATTCCTGACCCAAACAACATCCGTGACTTTGTCAGCTATCCCACAGCTGGCAACGAGAGGCTCCACTGCACCATGAAGCGAGCAGAGGACAGTCCAGAGGCCGGCGGTCCCTGCTACACTCTCTACCTGGAGTATTTAGGAGGGCTGGTGCCTATTCTCAAAGGAAGGCGCATCAGTAAACTCCGGCCCGAGTTTGTCATAATGGATCCAAAAAATGATGGCAAGGCAGGTGGGTTAAAACTCAGAGTCCCTTAAATGTCTCCATAATTTTCCATAGTGACTGTTAAGTTGTACACAGCAAGGCGTGTGGATAAAGCAAAGCAACAACAAGGCAGCTGTAGGGTGATGAAAACAGACCTGCACAGGGTCAGCTTGTTTTTGCCCGGTTGCTGTGCACATTCATACTGTGTTCCCATCATGCACCTGGAGGGAGAACAAACACAGACTCTGGTGATGAGCACTTCTCTCTGATGTAACATGGTCTGAGGCCTGATACACGAATAGTCTGTGTCATGACTTCGGGTGACTTTTAGCTTGTTTTCCCAGCAAAGTTGCTCTGAAAATGTTCTTTGTACAGCACAGACTCATGTCACGTTAGTATGTGTACAGTGTAGCTCCTCGTCAACCTCATCTGTGCTGTTTTTTTTTGTATTTTCAGAGGAGGTGTGTGTGAATCCCATGATCTCGTACACTGACAGCTGTAACTGCTCTGACTCCAGTGACATTGAGCTGAGCGATGAGTGGGTTGGAAAAAAGTCACCGAAGTTATCCCGAGGAAACAGGTCACCGAAACGCCACATGGCAGGAATTATATAAATTAACTTTTTTTTTCACTGCATTTGTTTACCATGCTAATAGATTTAGTCATGATATTAAAAGAACACTGAAGGATGAATCTCTGTTTCTCAAAGGTTGAACATGGAATCGAGAAAATCTCCCAAACTTTCTCGTGCCAATCAGGAAGGTCAGCGGTCGCCACGGTTACCAACAAAGAAGCCTCCAGTTCGGTCGCCCAGTCTGACACGCCGAGAGTTTTCTATGGACGGAATCACAGAGGTGATGTTTATTTTATTAATTTAATCTGTATTATCCAGAAAAATACTCTTTGAGATTCAATTCAATTCAATTCAATTCAATTTTATTTGTATAGCGCATATTTACAACAACAAGTCATCTCATAGCGCTTCGCTTTTAAACAAACGTCCTGGCCAAGCCAGGGAGCAGCACAAATGAACAGGCTACAGACAAATAACAATTTAAATAAATGAGGTTTACATAAATATTACAAGTGTATTTCAGTATCAGAAAATTGCACAAAAAAAAAAAACATGTTACAAGTCATCGATGACGATGATTAAGCGGAGTCCATCATAATATCTTGGTCCAAATGTGTCTGCGTCCAAGTCGCGTAAAGTTGCTTTGATTTCAATTAGAGATCAGCTATTTGAGATCCAGGCAAATTTGCAACTGATTCCACGCAAAGGAGGCTTGGAATGAAATAGATCCTTTTTCCCTATTCAGTAAGAGTTCTGGGAACACACAGCGAGAATGAGTCAGTAGCTTCCTGTACTTTTTTGGCTTTTATAGAGCCAGTCCAAAAATAGCTTTGTAAATAATAAAAAGCCAGTGATCGAGTCTGAGTGGACAATGCAAACCATCCAGCTCAGATGTATAGCACAGAATGGTGCGTGAGAGACGATAGATTTGAAACATGTTTCAGCAATACATTGTAGACTATATCCAATACATGTGGGCACTGGGAGGAGGCATGCATGCATACGGCATCATCGTAATGCAGCACAGGGATAAAGACGCTGGCAACAGGCTTCTTTTTGGCCTTAAATGATAGGCAAGACTTAATTCTGACATAAAACAACTATTTCAACTTAAGTTCTTTACTAATTGCATACATGCAGCTGCAAATAATCTTATTTTTTATTTGATTGTAATGTCAAAATCAAAACAAACAGTTAAAACAATAATTCTGTAATGTTGGTATACTTTTCTCTTTGTTACAACCAGGCTGAACTCTTGACTCATTTTCCTCTCAAGCTGATAATTGACATTTTCCTGTCTGTCATCCCTTTTCTCTTTTTTGTAGCACAATTATCTTGCACAAGTCACGTCTAATATTTGGGGGACAAAGTTCAAAATTGTTGGACTTGCTTCTTTCCTTCCTGCTAATCTTGGTGCAGGTAAATCTTGCCAAAACCACACATACCACACATTTTGCCTAACTAAGCAGACGAGATATGTATTTTTCCTCTTGATTCTTCTGTTTCAGTCATTTATAAGACCAGTTTGCTTCATCTGCAACCGAGACAGATGACCATCTACCTACCAGAGGTGCGAAAGATTTCGCATGACTTTATGAGCCTGCCAGTGTTCAACCCCAATGTGTTCAGTGAGGATGAAGATGATTTACCAGGTATTAAAGATAGCAAAAATATTTTCAGTCCAGAAACATATGACAGTGTTGATAAAGTAGCATATGTGTTTATTCATTTTGAGTTTACTTTTTCTGTATACTTATACAGTTCTTCTTTGTGTTCTTATAAAGTAATGGGGCCGTCTGGAGTGGCAGGAGACAACCCTCCGTGTACCGTCAACATTCCCATTGCTCCCATCCACAGCCCAGCTCAAGCCATGTCCCCAACTCAGAGCATCGGCCTGGTTCAGTCTCTTCTGGCCAATCAGAATATTCAGCTGGATGTCCTGACCAACCCAACGGCCACTGCAGCAGCTGCAGCTGCAGCAGCTGCAGCTTCTGTCCCTGTCACCGATCATGGCCAGGATGCTGTTGCAACACCATATCCCGTGCCAACTAGATACTCAAACCCTGGTCAGGTGATCTTCAATGGGTTGGAAATGGGTCCACTACTCCCTGGTACTCTACCTCCCCCGCCTCCACCTCACCATCTCCCACCGCAGCCTCACCCGCAGAGGTCACATTCGCAGCAGCCTCGCCAGCCGCCATCCAAACAGTCCCAACAAATGCAGACACAGCAGCAGCAACAGCAGCAGAAAATGCATCATCATCAACAGCAGCAGCAACAGCAGCAGCAGCAGCAACAACACCATCATCAGTCGCAGTCACAGCAGCAGCAACAGCAACAGCTGCAGCAGCAGCAGCAGCAGCTACAGCAGCAGCATCAGCAGCTACAGCAGCTGCACCACCAGCAAACACTACATCAACAGCAGCAACAACACCAACAACACCAGGTTCAACAGCACCAACAAATGCAACAAGCTCAACAGCAAGTGACGAGCCAACAGTTGCAGCACCAACAGCAAATCCAACAGCAGCAGCAGCAGATGCAGCTGCAACATGAGCAAATGCAGCAGCAGCAGCAACAGATGCAGCAGCAGCAGCAGCAAATCCGGCAGCAGATCCAGGAGATGAGACAGCAGCAGCAGCAACTCCAGCAGCAGCATCAGCAGATCCAACAACAACATCAACAGATGCAGAGACAGCACCAACAAATGCAGCAGCAGCTGAAGATGCAGATGTCGCTGCCTCCTCCTCCATCTGGTTATCCAACCATTTCTCTACAACAGATTCATCTGCTGCCTCAGATTGCTCCTCCTACCGCTGACCCTGGGCTCGACAGGGGGGACCATGTACATACCCTGAAGCCAAGTCTGCCCCGGACTTTGCCCCCCTCCTTCAATGACACAGACGGGCCTGTGGAGATTCAGATGAGGAAGGTGAACCCTCCTCCTCCCTACCCAGGGACTGTGGTTTCTGCAGCAGCAGCTGCAGCAGCTACAGCCTCTGCCACTCCTCAAACTCTTGTCACAAACTGTGACAGCCCAAGTGTCCTGGCGCCAGACCCTTGCCTGAAGAAGGACGAGTTTTTGCTTCATCCTGTCACCCTGCAGTACCCAACTCCTCTGGGATATGAAAGGATCACGACCTTTGACAGCAGTGGCAACGTGGAGGAGGTCTGTCGGCCACGCAGGCGCCTCATTCGTAACCAAAATGCCTACGCTGTCCATGGCATTGGGGGCTCAGCCACGCTTAAAGTCACTTCCTCAGAGAATAAAAAAATTCAGCTTCCGTACAGTTCTGCAACATTAAGTCGCCTCTCTGTCCCTCGATATTCTATACCAAGTGGAGACCCTCCTCCTTACCCTGATCCAGCCAATCAAGTCACTGCTACACTTCCTCCTCCCCAGAGGATCGATAGCAGTCTGATTCATGCCACTCTGCGTCGTGACCGCAGGGATGTGGGGCTCAAAGTACCACAGATGATGGAAAGCTCAAGGACCCTTCCCTCCAAGGCTAAAATGAACAGTGCATTAGCACTTTCCTACCAGCAGAGGGTGCCAACTGCTTTGTACACTTGCACACAGTGCAGCAGTAACAGCAGCAGCACCAGTGTGAGTGTCAGCGGTGGTGGAACTACAAGCAGCGGTATTGCAGGAGGCACGGTGGTGAGGCAGGACTTCCCACCAGGGAAAGGTGCACATCACAGTACCATTATAGTGCACTCCAAAAGTGCCTCGCCTCTGGCCTCTCAGTCATCATACAGTCTGCTGGGTGCTGTTGATAACAGCCGGGACAGGACAGTGTACGTGAACTCTGCCTTCACCGAAGACGAAACTTTAAATCAGCAGTGTCACCTTGAAAAATCTGTACGTCAGCTGACTCTTGGCGACGTCAGTTTGACAGTCAAACGCCCTCCGCCTTACCAGTGGGACGCCTCCACCACAGAGGAGTTCTGGCTCACCCCAGAACAAACTATGCTAGGCCCCCCACCGGGACCTCATAAACCGCCTCCACTCATCATCAGTCAGGCTCAGCACTTGGACGTGACCCGACTTCCTTTTGTCCTTACGACTAAACCTCCAACCAGTCCGAGCACAAGCACTCTCACTTTCCCGTCAGGTTACCAGATATCCTTGTCGCCTTTCCCTCCAGGTGTCGGTCACAGTGGACCCCCTCTCCAAACCTTGCAGAACCCTCCTCCACAGTGTTCCCCAAATGAAGTGGTTGCTCCAGTCCCCTTTGCCCAACAGGACCCCAACCTGGTCTTGCCACCTGGCTACCCTCCAAATCTGGCCAACTTAGCCTGCTGCCCTCTGCCTCCACTGTACCCAGGAGCCAGCTCATGTGCCGGACTCCAGCTGCACCCTGTCAGCCTCCACCCCTGGAACCCTTACCCCTGCCCACCGCCCATGCAAGACCCTCCTGCACCTCCTCTCCCCACCAAAACTCACCAGATCCTAGAGAAGCCAATCCTCTCCCCACCTCCGCCTACTGCGCCGCCTCCGCCACCTCCTCTCCCCCCTCCTCCCCCACCGACTGAGTTGCCACCATCCAAAAGTGCCGCAGAAGACCTAGCCGAGTCTGCCAACAACTTCCCGGAGCCGTCATCCCTGAACGAAAGCCCCGTCCCACAGGAATCCGAGCGTTTCAACAAGAAGAGCCGCAAAAGACTGGACAGCAGGGCCGAGGAGGCCAACATGCCCAACGTCTCCGAGGGCAAATCCAGAAAGGAAGGCCGGGCGCTCTCCGACTTCAACACTCTCATTTCCAGCCCAAGGCTCGGTAGCAGAGAGAAGAAGAAGCCAAAGGGGCAGAGAGAGCAGCTCAACAAAACAAAGAAAATGAGCAGGACCACAAACGAGTTCCAGGACAGTTCAGAGAGCGAACCAGAGCTGTTCATTAGCGGCGATGAGCTCATGAACCAGAACCAGAGCAGTAAGAAGAGCTGGAAGAACAAGAGGAGCATGCGCATGGCGAGCGAGCTGGAGGAGATCAAATGCCGCAAAGCAAATGAAAGAGAGGACCGGAGTTTAGGCAGCCAAGGATTCGTCTATGTTATGGCCAATAAACAGCCATTGTGGAATGAAGCCACCCAGGTGTACCAGCTCGACTTTGGAGGTCGAGTCACGCAGGAGTCAGCAAAGAATTTTCAGATAGAACTGGATGGTAGACAGGTAACGTGATGCGCAATCATTTAAATCTTATCTGGAGATGGAATGATCAGTCGTGTTCTGCACATCATTGGTTTTGATCAGACAAAACAAACAACTTGAACGTCTTGTTTTGTCTGTTCGTGAGCTCTGGTGATCAGCATGTTTCACTTTGTATGAAAGTCCCACCATGTAATGAGCACATGAACTGGAAATTGAAAAAGGAATCAAGTAAAAGCTGCCGATGAAATTTCTTCTTCTTCTGTTTTTGTTTCAGGTGATGCAGTTCGGAAGAATAGACGGGAATGCTTACATCTTGGATTTCCAGTATCCTTTCTCAGCAGTGCAGGCATTTGCTGTCGCCTTGGCCAACGTGACTCAAAGGCTCAAGTGAAAGCTGTCGTTGTAGAGTCATTCAAAAAAAAAAAAAAAGCCACAACGGTCTCACGCTGCAGCTCGTGGGACTCTCGCTGAGTAAATGTTCTTTCTTTTTAAAGAGGAGATTAATGTACAAGTTAGTGTTGCACATGCAGATAATTTACAATCAGTACTTTAAAGGCAAAGTGGAGGGCATTGATCCTGGAGGTTAGATCAGTTAGTCCATAATTTCCATTTGATATATTGAATGTAGTCGAGCTGATTTTATTATTAGAATAGTATTTATTGGAAATCTCAACAAACATGTGTTGCAGTGAATTTTAAAAGCAGCCTGGAGGTTCAGTGCCATATGTAGTGCCAAAGACATCTTCCCACTCTTGTATTGCAAATTGATAACTACTTACATTTGTGGCGTTTATGAAATGAAATTAAACCGAGCGAATATGTGAAGGTACAGTGGCATTCAAAATTGACAGTATATTTTCACTAAGCCATACCATATCTGACACAAACGCTGCACTATTTTAATTCAGATTTAATTAAGATATAAGTAAATAAATTATATAGTTTTATTATTTAATAACATTGAACCTATTGTTGTTGGTATTTCACTACCTTTATTTGCACATTTCTTCACTCAGAACCCATTTTTCAAGGTAGTATGTTTATTTTTGGGTCGTCTTCTACATTATGTTGAAATTGCTTAACATGCAATAGAGGAATATATTGATTTGGTAACTGCAACGTGAAGAGTTGAGGTCAGTTTACCACAGTTTGTATATTTTCTATCCATGTTACTTCTATGAAGTGGTGCAATGAACATATTAAATCATATTCTTTTGGGAACAATACTGCAGATCGCTCTGCAGAGCCATTAAAATCCTACATTTTACATTTGTAAATTTAAACACAAGTTGTTTGTCAGACGTTATTGACCTTATATATTTGAAAAACTTCCCTGTATGATGAATGAAATTGTCAGTGATGGTCTACAGTAAGTCTATGAGTGCCAAATATAGCTGATGGTGTTTGGCTGAATGTAAGTTAGCAGGGGATAATAGTAGAAAATGATGTCACGATGGTGTCATCTCCAAACGGAACAATTTTATACAGTAAAGATCGATATTTTCTTTAGGGGTCGACCGACATGGTGTTTTCAAGGCCGATACCAATAAAAATTAATAGTCATCAAGGACACTAGTACCCAATATTTGTAACTAACATACGGTACATTTACAATAAAAGTGAAAATCTTGACAAACTCCAACACAAAACATCATCAAATGCTTAATTAAAAGAGAACTTTTCAACATTTATCCTTCCGTATTGATATGCTGGTCAGATCAGAGCCAAAATATTGCATTTTTAAATGTATTTATCTTATCAGGAAGTGGTTTTTAACAAATAACAATGCAAAGATAATCTGAAAAATTCTGGATCCGGCAAGCGGTCGACCCCTAATCTTCTCAATCAGTCTCTCTTGGTTGGCTCAGTTTTGTTCTCATTGAGTGTTTATGATGCTACTTGAAATCTGCATTTGAATGTGAAGTACAGTAGTTTGCCTATTTGGAAATCAGTGCTGCTTTAGATAGATAGAGCTTGTGTGCAATAACGCTAAATACATAGAACTGATGTTGTACTTGCAAAAAGAAAATATAATGCTGCTTGCACTGTGTATTTAGTAAGTGGCCTAACATCATTATACGCTTAGAGAAACGTGCTTATATGTTGCGAATTTCAGTAATTTTGTACTTCATCTTTGCTTTAACATGTTACAAAGAGTTTTTTGATGTTACACTTGTAGAAAAAAAAAAAAGAAGACTGAGAAGATCACAAACTTGAAAAGGTATCAAATATTCATATTCAGAAGTTTAACTGTTAGTAAGAGTGAGATTCTTGTAGATTTGGTGCTAATGTATAAAGAAACAAATGTGATAATGTCGGGACATTTGTCATTTGTTCTTCGGAGATTATTTATCGAGAAAGTATTTTGAGAGGAGCTACAGGACGTTTAGTGAAGAGATTTCATTTAAGAGCTTTTTTTTTTCATTTACAGCAGCTTCAGAGAATTCAGTGTGTGTCAGTTATCAGCAATACTGCCTAATGAATAGTTTGCTGCCTGATTTTTTTTTCTCTTATTTTGTGATGGAAACAAAAATTATATGACCGTAGGTTTACGATGACCTATAGGCTGGATAAAATGTAATAAAAATCTATTGTTCCGAGTGTTTTGTTGTTGTTTTTCATTTCAAATGTAGTTCTTTCACACAGGCTTTCTCCTTCAGGTGAGGTGCAGTCAGGCAGGAATAGGGTAGTTTTGCATAAAGAGAAGGAGAGTAAAAAGATTTTTAAATGATTTTTATTATATAAATTCAATTTTTGTTTTCATAAATCAGAGAAAGTGTCTCTAAAATAAACAAGCGTAAAAGTTTTGGAAAAACTTTTATTTACTGTCTGTACCTCAGTCTTGTTATTGTACTCTGACGTTATTTCTGTTGGCAAAATATTGCTGCTCCGGTTAAGCTCCATCAAATGAAATGATTATGCTTCTATTTAAATAAAGTTAGGATGAGAAGAGAGCCCAAAAAGTATTCTATTTGTAAAATACTGGGGATTAGGGTTAAATCTGCAGCAAATTTATTTTCCTAATAACTTTAAAGTCCCACTTTGGTGAAAATCAAGCTTTTAAACATGTTAACATGTTTATTATATACGCTGGAAGACATATTTATTATACACGCTGTCGCAGAGCATTTTTTACAGTTTTTCAAACACACATTCAGACTTGTGGAGTTTTATATGTCACACAAAATACAAAATACAAATTACTGAAGCTCCTAGGATTACCATGAGCCGGATGACTGAGAATCTACAGAGACACATAAGTCCAATACATTACTTTAAAAAAATAAATAAATAAAATGAAGATAAAGTAAAATGAGAGTAGAAAAGAAAAAAGTAATGCAAGCAATGATTCTGAAGTAGTAAAGTAATACAATGCATCATAATTAAATATTAAACATAAAATTTAAATATTAAACAACTAAAGTTTGTAATGAAATTAAAATGTTAAACATTAAAATGAAATATTGCACAATATTAAATTGAAATAATGGTAAAGAAATATTGCACATTAATTTGAAAATATTACACATGAAAATGAAATATTGTAATGATAAAGAAATATTGCACATTTGAAATATAAAAATGGTATTATCCTCATAATTAATAATAACAAGAAGGATTATTATTGTCAATAATAATAATCATATATTTTTATACAGTCCCTGGTCGATCCGTATCACTTCAGATAAATGTCAGATTTGTACACTTGAGATTTATTGCAATTAAATAATTATCTGTAATTTTCCAATTGGATTTGCAATATTTTAATTTATTTTTTGTATAATTATGTGTGTACTATCTTAACTTCATGTACAATACTTCTTTATCACTATAATATTTCAATCTTATGTGAAATATTTCATATTCATGTGTAATATTTCAGTTATTATTATTGTTTTTACATAGAGTCTGTGGGACTGACCAATTTGCTTCCTGCTAACTGGGCAGCTTCTATTGTGAAGCTGGGGCTTTTATTTTGAAGGGGGCGCATGTTGACGGCTTGATTTGATATCAGACGTTAAACGTCGTCGAGGAAACGTCCACGGAGCTGTTCAGTGTGAGTTTGTAGCCGCTGACCGGGCGGTTGGAGGCTGTTTTCTGAGCTCCGGCGCTGTTCTCGGGGTTCCTGCTCGGCTCTGACCGTCGAAATGTGTCCGTCTGCGGCGGCTCGGAGCTGAGAAACACGAAACCAAACTTTGCGGATTAAACATGGAGCAGCACGTCGATGTGCAGCATGAAGGTGAGCGACCTTTGCAACTCTTGTTCACATCAGAATTAATTGCAGGCTGTAAATCAGCTCACTTTAAATGCGGGATATTGACATGAACCTGGCGCTCCTCTGAACCCCTTGTTTCTGTTCCTCTATTTTTATTTTGTTGACTCCAGAGCCCGTCCCCCCTCCAGCTGAGTCCTCTGAGCCCTCCAGCAGGATGACCAGGAGACAGGCTCTCACCTTGATATCTATGGCCTCTGTCAACTTCAGCTCCATGATCTGCTACTCAATATTAGGCCCTTTCTTCCCTGCTGAGGTAAGAACAGTGCACCACGGGCTGCACATCACATGTGACAACATTCAAGAGCTTTGAATGGACAAACACCACACTTTGTCTCAGGAGTTGCACAATCTGCACTCATAACACACACAAAAGTCTCTTTCCTCAGGGGATTTCCCTGTTTGTGTATTTTGGCATTTATTACTTTTATTTTTTAAGTTTTGAGGCTGGATTTAAGCACATCAGGAGGAATAAATCAGTTCTTTTAAGTTAGTCTTAGTGACCTTTGCTTTTATTTTCTCTTCATTTTTGAGATCAAAACGAACCACTTCCAGATGTGTGACTACTTTCCTCTTCATTGAAAATCAACTTCCTCTTTTTCTTTATTTTTTTTTTAACCTTGTTAACATTCACATATTGTTTTTCTATTTTATTTGCTTAAAAAAAAGCAAGTTATAACAATTTCCATATCATTTACAGCATTAAAAATGGCATTGTTGCTGTTGCTTTCCCACAATTTTCCTTTTTTAAATCACTTTTTTGATGTTGCATAAGAACAGCAGAATCAGGGAGCGTACTCTTATCTTCACATCATTTTGAACTGCATTCATCTTTCCTTCATTTATGTGTTTTTTCTGCTTTTTTGAAATCAAAATAAACTAGATGCTGATAATCAACTTCTCTTTTTTTAACCTGTTAACACTCCCACACTCCAAGCAAATTATTACAATTTTCATTGCATTTACAACATTTACAAACATCTTTGTTACTTTCCCCAAATTTAGATTTTATTTTATTTTTTTAATCTCTCTTCTGATATTGCATAACAATTGTATAACCAGGGAGCTTACTCTGTATTTATCCTCACATTAAAAAGAATAACAGTTCAAATAGATGGAGAGGCCGGTTGTATCTAATTACAGGTTGGTTCAGGTGAAATCAGACCTTATGTGTTTAAACACTCTGTTTAGTCCAGATCTGATAAAAACTCATCTTTTTACTTTCAGGGAAAACGTCAACTTTTCCATAATATCAACCACGTTTTCTATTTTTCTCATATGTTTTCTTTTACTTGCTGTAAATACTGTACCATATAAAGTAATTTCTAGTCTTTGATGTTCCAATTTTTAAACAATATATCGCCTAAATCCTTACATATTATGTTTTTTATGTTTGAAGACACATTATGAGATAACTACCGGTCATTTCCACCTTGAAACAGCAGCGTACACATGACAGCCTCAGAAACACATGACTTACATGTGCAGGGTTTCATATGCAGCAAACGTAAGGAACTAATCCCGTCTGTCGGTGGAGTGGGGCTTTCCACGTCATCGTTCTTCTACAGAATCAGGTTGTGCTCCAGCATCCATGCTACCATACTGCACAGTAGGCCAGAAAAAAGATTTAGCAAGTCTCAAATGTAGTAGGCCAGAAGTACCAGGACGTTGTTCTGAAACCGGTCAGATGTTGCAGTTTGCATTTTTGTCAACAATCCTCTGCACGGTTACGTCATGGCGTCTCACAGGAGTGTAAACGAGCTTAAAACCGCCGAGAAGGGCCAGACAGATGTCAGCTCATTTCACTCCACAGACTGCAACGGATGTGTATGAGGAAGTCACAACAGTATGACCAAGTACAAAGTGTTGTTATGTGCATACCGCCTTAAACAGAATCAACTTTGCAAGGAGAGCTGCGGACATGTATGAACAGCTCCAATGTTATAACTTGTTTTTACTTAGGAGTTGTAGGTGAGCTGGTTCGCTCGAGCTGCAGTAGGTGGTGTAAGGGTTCATGGAGCGAGAGGTGGGGACTTCATTGGTCTAAATGTTCCATTTTAATTCTTACAAACAGTTTCAGGTGAAATTTGACCCATTTTGACATTTGACTGCAGTTAAACATACCCTAAATGTCTGATGACTTTTCCTAAAGCGACTCAAAAATGATAATATTTAGAAATGTTATACTTTTGTACAGATGCTACAAATTTTTGCACACTGAGGCTGATCAGTTGTGACCCGTATATCCATTGAGATGGGTTCTAGATCTGCCAGTGTGGGTCAGATCAAGGAAAGTGGTGGTTTTAAGGAAACAGGCCATGTTTTATGCATATTCTTTAGACATGATAGACATGATAAGTGCTCTCCAAGTTGTGTCAGGTTTAGTCAGATGAGTGGGGCGTCCCTATAGCTCACCTCGCTGAGCTGTGGCCCATGAACAGGGCTGTAGTTCCCAGACGCAGCGGTCGTGGGTTTGACTCCCGCTCACTACCCTTTGCTGCAGGTCTCTCCCTGTTGTTCTCCCCCCTTTCCTGTCTCTCTCTACTGCGCTAAAATAAAAGCAAAAAATATATTTAAAAAAAAAATAAATAAAAAAAAGAAGAATCAGGCAGATGAGTTCATGAACAATTGTTTTTTCGATTAATTGATTGTGTTTGGTTTATAAAATGTCAGGAAATGGTGAAAAATGTCAACCAGAGTTTCTCAAAGCTCAAAATTCTATCTTTTTTTAAAAAAATTATTATTATTTTTTATCTACAACCAAAAGAGTCATCATAGGGGACTAAAGAAACGAGAAAATATTCAAATTTAAGGAGCTGAAATCTGAGAATTTTGACCTTTTTTTCCTGATATAATCACTCAAAGCAGCTGGTGCTTCATTCAACAATTGACGACTGATCAACTAATCATTGCAGCTCCAACATAAAATAATGCTTTCTCAGAAAATGGAAGTAAACAGACCCTGTAATCCTTTATGCGCTCCACGTCATTGCACAAATCAATCAGCCACCCCTTTACGAACGCCCTGGTGGCGTCGCCTCATGAGACTGAATAGGTGATCATGTGCTAATATCAGAAAGCCTCCCTGAATGACTGGTTGTCTTGTGGCCATCCAGGTCTTCCAGACAGAAGGTCAGATGTTCCACATGCTGATGTCGACGCAGAGACGAGTCACTCAGCAGTCATCTGAGGCTTTCAATCACCTCATCTCTGTCACTTTTATTGACTTTGCATGTTGTATTGATTTCATGTTGTAAATAATCAGTTTTCATGCTTACATACATAAATATTTCCACACAGGCGTTAAAGAAAGGAGCCAGCCAGACTGTCGTCGGCCTCATATTCGGCTGCTACGCCGTGTGCAATCTAATCGGATCTTTGATACTGGGGAGATATGTAAGTATATGTCAGTGTTTACGATCGCGGCTGTGGTGTGATCTGCTGCACGAGTGTAACGGATTTCTTTTCTTTTTTTTTGTTTGTTTTTTCTGTACCAGATTGTTCAAATTGGTGCAAAGTTTATGCTTGTTGCAGGACTGTTTGTGTCGGCAGGTTGCACCATCATGTTTGGGTAAGTGTTAGACACAGCAGCATATCATTACACCGACGGATTTCATACAACTAGAACATGTGTCAATCAGTCAATCAGTGTTTATTTATGTAGCCTTTTGTTACAGCTCAAAGGGTGACCAAAGTGTTAGGTATTAAAAGCCATTTTAAACAGAAAGGTTTTGAGCTTTGATTTGAAAAGAGCCAGGTCAGTGATGGTGGAGCTTGTTCTTGTTCCAGGGTGCGGCTACAGAAAACGCCTCAGTGTTTGTATTTCCACCTTCAAGCAGATGCTGATCGGATGACCTCAGAGCTCTTTTTTTTTGGTTCTGTAGAGTTAACAGCTCGATAAAATGAGTTTAGAGAGGTTTCTCATTTCAAAAAGACCCTCTGATTCAAAGGTGTAAGAAAAAATGTCCTGTTTTTGTAATTTAGCTCCTTGTAGAAGAACCATCGTTCACTGCAGTTGGATAAAAAGCATTTTAACCAACATTTTTAACTCTCAGTGTGCCAAATAATTGCTCAGCTTGTAAAATTGCATTTAAGCCTTTGACACAGTGTAAATACACAAATCTACTTTTTTACAAACAACTGAATAAACACAACCGCAAATGAGAAATATTAGATTTAGTGTCGGCCGCTCTTTGTGTCGAGGTCTTTCGAAGGCGAGGCTGGAAATATTTAGCATTCTTACTGTCAGCTGATCTCATGAAAAGCAACGAGACAAACGAATATTATTTTTCTGTTTCGCAGAGCTTTCAAAAATGAAAGAAAACACATTCATAAGTCCCTCAGTTGCACTTTAATATCATGAGTTCAGTATGTTTTCAGCCATTTTTGCACACAAACCATCCTGCTTCTGTGAAATACTCAGAACAGCAAGTGTGTATTAATCCGCAGATAAAAGTAGTCCCCAACAAACACACGGTTTACTCCTGTTTGAAGTTCTAAAAACTAGAGCCCGGCTTTGCATTGATAAGTAAAAGCATGTGCCTGTAACCTATCTGCAGCTTTAGTAGGAACAAATGGGCCAAGACAGGGCAGTTCCAACTTAAAGTATTAATAGATATGCTGTTGTATTGTTGGTTTTTGTATAGATAAGTGAGGATTTGTGGGTTTTAGATGATGCAGTTGGTGATTCCTATTGTGTCCTTAGTGTGCTTGACACCACTTATTATAAATCACAGCCTGCTACAGATAATGCGACACCAGCTGCTCGTCTTCTCTCCGTTTCCTCGCAGATTACTCGATCGGGTTCCCTCAGGACCCGCGTTCATCACTCTGTGCTTCATCGTGAGGTCCGTCGACGCTGTGGGCTTCGCTGGTGCGATGATCTCCTCTTTTGCCTTGACAGCAAAAATATTCCCAGACAGAGTGGCAACTGTTTTGGTGAGACTAGACAACCCCTTTTGTCTGAGTGGCATGTTGTTTAGACATTAGAATCACGAGAAAACAAAAAAAGCCTTGTAGGTGGACTTGTTATGCATCCCCCGCTGTCATGGCACATAATCAGCTTTGGTGTAGTAACAGTATTTAAGCTGAGAGAATGTTTGCTGGTTCATAAGTTACACCACGTATGTTAATCCATTTTTTTTTCTCCCCCCTATTTTTTAGGGTAGTTTAGAGATTTTCACTGGACTCGGTCTTATACTGGGGCCACCGGTGGGAGGATGGTTCTACCAGTCTTTTGGATACGAAGTTCCTTTTATGCTTCTTGGATGTTTGCTGCTCCTCATGGTTCCGTTCAACATTTACGTCCTGCCGAACATTGGTAGCAGTTTAGAGATTTTCATCACATTATTCTTTTATTTTTCTTTCGTAGACTCTTAACTGTGACTTGCATTTTGTGCTTCCCTTCACTTTAGAGGCAGACGCGTCCAAGGATTCATTCTTTACGCTTCTCAGCCACGTAAAAGTGATCCTGATCTGCTACGCGATATTCACCCTCAGCGCCGGTCTGGGCTTCCTGGATGCCACGTTTTCGCTGTTTGTAATCAACAAGGTAACGTCCTTCCTTACGATGAGTTATTTAAGTTATCGTGAGACTGACTTGTGTGTTTTTTTTGTTTTTTTTCCCACCTCTGCTTAGTTTCACCTCACGCCTGGCTACGTTGGAATCATCATGCTCGGTTTGTCGTTACCATACTGTCTGGCAACGCCGCTGATGGGATATTTCACGGATAAATATCCCGTGAGTGTGAAAGCGAGCAAAACAATCAAACTTGTGTAATTTTCTTTGCAGTTAAACTAAGTTTTTGTGCTCACCAGAGTGTAAGGATGCCGTTCATGGTGGTAGGAGGCCTCATCACAGCGATTGGGTTCTGGCTGCTCGGTCCGATCCCCGTACTTAACATCTCCGGGTGAGTGAGTGCCTCAGCTAAAGAGCAAGATGCCAGTGTGATATTTAAGTAAATACACATTTTTCCTTTCAAATAAAGTCACATTAGAGCAGTGATNATAATAACAGTAATAATAATAATAATAAGCAGTGCAAATGTAGATATATACATAAATACATATTAGAGGTAGTGCCAATGAGAGGTAGTGGTATATTAGCTGTAGGGGATATTGCACGTTGTTTGTGTTTACACACTCTGTTTAGTCCAGATCTGATAAAAACTCATCTTTTTACTTTCAGGGAAAACGTCAACTTTTCCATAATATCAACCACGTTTTCTATTTTTCTCATATGTTTTCTTTTACTTGCTGTAAATACTGTACCATATAAAGTAATTTCTAGTCTTTGATGTTCCAATTTTTAAACAATATATCGCCTAAATCCTTACATATTATGTTTTTTATGTTTGAAGACACATTATGAGATAACTACCGGTCATTTCCACCTTGAAACAGCAGCGTACACATGACAGCCTCAGAAACACATGACTTACATGTGCAGGGTTTCATATGCAGCAAACGTAAGGAACTAATCCCGTCTGTCGGTGGAGTGGGGCTTTCCACGTCATCGTTCTTCTACAGAATCAGGTTGTGCTCCAGCATCCATGCTACCATACTGCACAGTAGGCCAGAAAAAAGATTTAGCAAGTCTCAAATGTAGTAGGCCAGAAGTACCAGGACGTTGTTCTGAAACCGGTCAGATGTTGCAGTTTGCATTTTTGTCAACAATCCTCTGCACGGTTACGTCATGGCGTCTCACAGGAGTGTAAACGAGCTTAAAACCGCCGAGAAGGGCCAGACAGATGTCAGCTCATTTCACTCCACAGACTGCAACGGATGTGTATGAGGAAGTCACAACAGTATGACCAAGTACAAAGTGTTGTTATGTGCATACCGCCTTAAACAGAATCAACTTTGCAAGGGGAGCTGCCGACATGTATGACTGAATAACTCCAATGTTATAACTTGTTTTTACTGAAGAGTTGTAGGTGAGCTGGTGCGCTCGAGCTGCAGTAGGTGGTGTAAGGGTTCATGGAGCGAGAGGTGGGGACTTCATTGGTCTAAATGTTCCATTTTAATTCTTACAAACAGTTTCAGGTGAAATTTGACCCATTTTGACATTTGACTGCAGTTAAACATACCCTAAATGTCTGATGACTTTTCCTAAAGCGACTCAAAAATGATAATATTTAGAAATGTTATACTTTTGTACAGATGCTACAAATGTTTGCACACTGAGGCTGATCAGTTGTGACCCGTATATCCATTGAGATGGGTTCTAGATCTGCCAGTGTGGGTCAGATCAAGGAAAGTGGTGGTTTTAAGGAAACAGGTCATGTTTTATGCATATTCTTTAGACATGATAGACATGATAAGTGCTCTCCAAGTTGTGTCAGGATTAGTCCGATGAGTGGGGCGCCCCTATAGCTCACCTCGCTGAGCGGTGGCCCGTGAACAGGGCTGTAGTTCCCAGACGCAGCGGTCGTGGGTTTGACTCCTGCTCACTACCCTTTGCTGCAGGTCTCTCCCTGTTGTTCTCCCCCCTTTCCTGTCTCTCTCTACTGCGCTAAAATAAAAGCAAAAAATATATTTAAAAAAAAAATAAATAAAAAAAAGAAGAATCAGGCAGATGAGTTCATGAACAATTGTTTTTTCGATTAATTGATTGTGTTTGGTTTATAAAATGTCAGGAAATGGTGAAAAATGTCAACCAGAGTTTCTCAAAGCTCAAAATTCTATCTTTTTTTAAAAAAATTATTATTATTTTTTATCTACAACCAAAAGAGTCATCATAGGGGACTAAAGAAACGAGAAAATATTCAAATTTAAGGAGCTGAAATCTGAGAATTTTGACCTTTTTTTCCTGATATAATCACTCAAAGCAGCTGGTGCTTCATTCAACAATTGACGACTGATCAACTAATCATTGCAGCTCCAACATAAAATAATGCTTTCTCAGAAAATGGAAGTAAACAGACCCTGTAATCCTTTATGCGCTCCACGTCATTGCACAAATCAATCAGCCACCCCTTTACGAACGCCCTGGTGGCGTCGCCTCATGAGACTGAATAGGTGATCATGTGCTAATATCAGAAAGCCTCCCTGAAGGCCAATGAATGACTGGTTGTCTTGTGGCCATCCAGGTCTTCCAGACAGAAGGTCAGATGTTCCACATGCTGATGTCGACGCAGAGACGAGTCACTCAGCAGTCATCTGAGGCTTTCAATCACCTCATCTCTGTCACTTTTATTGACTTTGCATGTTGTATTGATTTCATGTTGTAAATAATCAGTTTTCATGCTTACATACATAAATATTTCCACACAGGCGTTAAAGAAAGGAGCCAGCCAGACTGTCGTCGGCCTCATATTCGGCTGCTACGCCGTGTGCAATCTAATCGGATCTTTGATACTGGGGAGATATGTAAGTATATGTCAGTGTTTACGATCGCGGCTGTGGTGTGATCTGCTGCACGAGTGTAACGGATTTCTTTTCTTTTTTTTTGTTTGTTTTTTCTGTACCAGATTGTTCAAATTGGTGCAAAGTTTATGCTTGTTGCAGGACTGTTTGTGTCGGCAGGTTGCACCATCATGTTTGGGTAAGTGTTAGACACAGCAGCATATCATTACACCGACGGATTTCATACAACTAGAACATGTGTCAATCAGTCAATCAGTGTTTATTTATGTAGCCTTTTGTTACAGCTCAAAGGGTGACCAAAGTGTTAGGTATTAAAAGCCATTTTAAACAGAAAGGTTTTGAGCTTTGATTTGAAAAGAGCCAGGTCAGTGATGGTGGAGCTTGTTCTTGTTCCAGGGTGCGGCTACAGAAAACGCCTCAGTGTTTGTATTTCCACCTTCAAGCAGATGCTGATCGGATGACCTCAGAGCTCTTTTTTTTTGGTTCTGTAGAGTTAACAGCTCGATAAAATGAGTTTAGAGAGGTTTCTCATTTCAAAAAGACCCTCTGATTCAAAGGTGTAAGAAAAAATGTCCTGTTTTTGTAATTTAGCTCCTTGTAGAAGAACCATCGTTCACTGCAGTTGGATAAAAAGCATTTTAACCAACATTTTTAACTCTCAGTGTGCCAAATAATTGCTCAGCTTGTAAAATTGCATTTAAGCCTTTGACACAGTGTAAATACACAAATCTACTTTTTTACAAACAACTGAATAAACACAACCGCAAATGAGAAATATTAGATTTAGTGTCGGCCGCTCTTTGTGTCGAGGTCTTTCGAAGGCGAGGCTGGAAATATTTAGCATTCTTACTGTCAGCTGATCTCATGAAAAGCAACGAGACAAACGAATATTATTTTTCTGTTTCGCAGAGCTTTCAAAAATGAAAGAAAACACATTCATAAGTCCCTCAGTTGCACTTTAATATCATGAGTTCAGTATGTTTTCAGCCATTTTTGCACACAAACCATCCTGCTTCTGTGAAATACTCAGAACAGCAAGTGTGTATTAATCCGCAGATAAAAGTAGTCCCCAACAAACACACGGTTTACTCCTGTTTGAAGTTCTAAAAACTAGAGCCCGGCTTTGCATTGATAAGTAAAAGCATGTGCCTGTAACCTATCTGCAGCTTTAGTAGGAACAAATGGGCCAAGACAGGGCAGTTCCAACTTAAAGTATTAATAGATATGCTGTTGTATTGTTGGTTTTTGTATAGATAAGTGAGGATTTGTGGGTTTTAGATGATGCAGTTGGTGATTCCTATTGTGTCCTTAGTGTGCTTGACACCACTTATTATAAATCACAGCCTGCTACAGATAATGCGACACCAGCTGCTCGTCTTCTCTCCGTTTCCTCGCAGATTACTCGATCGGGTTCCCTCAGGACCCGCGTTCATCACTCTGTGCTTCATCGTGAGGTCCGTCGACGCTGTGGGCTTCGCTGGTGCGATGATCTCCTCTTTTGCCTTGACAGCAAAAATATTCCCAGACAGAGTGGCAACTGTTTTGGTGAGACTAGACAACCCCTTTTGTCTGAGTGGCATGTTGTTTAGACATTAGAATCACGAGAAAACAAAAAAAGCCTTGTAGGTGGACTTGTTATGCATCCCCCGCTGTCATGGCACATAAGCAGCTTTGGTGTAGTAACAGTATTTAAGCTGAGAGAATGTTTGCTGGTTCATAAGTTACACCACGTATGTTAATCCATTTTTTTTCTCCCCCCTATTTTTTAGGGTAGTTTAGAGATTTTCACCGGACTCGGTCTTATACTGGGGCCACCGGTGGGAGGATGGTTCTACCAGTCTTTTGGATACGAAGTTCCTTTTATGCTTCTTGGATGTTTGCTGCTCCTCATGGTTCCGTTCAACATTTACGTCCTGCCGAACATTGGTAGCAGTTTAGAGATTTTCATCACATTATTCTTTTATTTTTCTTTCGTAGACTCTTAACTGTGACTTGCATTTTGTGCTTCCCTTCACTTTAGAGGCAGACGCGTCCAAGGATTCATTCTTTACGCTTCTCAGCCACGTAAAAGTGATCCTGATCTGCTACGCGATATTCACCCTCAGCGCCGGTCTGGGCTTCCTGGATGCCACGTTTTCGCTGTTTGTAATCAACAAGGTAACGTCCTTCCTTACGATGAGTTATTTAAGTTATCGTGAGACTGACTTGTGTGTTTTTTTTGTTTTTTTTCCCACCTCTGCTTAGTTTCACCTCACGCCTGGCTACGTTGGAATCATCATGCTCGGTTTGTCGTTACCATACTGTCTGGCAACGCCGCTGATGGGATATTTCACGGATAAATATCCCGTGAGTGTGAAAGCGAGCAAAACAATCAAACTTGTGTAATTTTCTTTGCAGTTAAACTAAGTTTTTGTGCTCACCAGAGTGTAAGGATGCCGTTCATGGTGGTAGGAGGCCTCATCACAGCGATTGGGTTCTGGCTGCTCGGTCCGATCCCCGTACTTAACATCTCCGGGTGAGTGAGTGCCTCAGCTAAAGAGCAAGATGCCAGTGTGATATTTAAGTAAATACACATTTTTCCTTTCAAATAAAGTCACATTAGAGCAGTGATTCATCTCTCATATGAGGTGTGTCAGAGAAGTTCCAGGACTGGTGTCATAAAAGATATATTTCAACCCCGAACTACCAGGTGGTTCACCCGGCCGTTTTCCAAGGGGTTCTTGGGGTTTTTGTTTCTTTCGTGGCCTGCCAGGGGTTGGGGTTTTTGGCGGGCCAGTTTTTGGTTGTTTCCTCTTGCCACCTGGCTTGTTCCCACGGCCTTGGGCTTCGCCCGGTTCTTGCTTGGGAGGACCTTTTTTTTGTTGGGGCACCTTCCTTCTTCCCCCCCCTTGGTTCTTTGGGTTTTTTTTTTTTTCCCCAGGTTCAGGGGGTTCTTCAGGGGGCCTTTTTTTGAGGCGGCCTTCAGGTTGGTTTTGCGGTGGGGGTTTTGAGGGCCTCTTGAGGATTCTTTCCGGGGTTGATGGCGGCGTGGCAGAGAAGGCTGGGGAAGTGGGTTAGACTTCAAGGGGGTTACTTGGAAAGGGAAAACTCGTAGTTTGGATTTGAAGTCTATCTTTTGTGACCCCAGTCCTGAAACTTTTCGGACACACCCCGTATGTGTCATATTATTATGAAACTCCATGTAGCTTAGCATTAATGCTAAACCTGCCACTCTGGCTCCAGCCAATGTTACAGAATCTTGTAGCATCGCTGTGAAAAGAGTCCAGGGTTGTAGTTGAATAGCCAAATAAAATGTGTCCTGTGTTTTTTTGTTTTTTTTTTTAACCTGACTTGGCTGGAAAGTTCATAAAAGCAAACAAAAAAACGACAACAATGCTAAGAGAATGTGATTGCTCTTATACTAGGCTACATAATAATGCAACAGCAGATGTTATTGACGTGAGTCAGCCGTAAGATTATTGGGACATCATTTCCTCTGCTGTCATAAACGATGAAACAGTGTATCTTAAGATAAAGGAGATCTTTACAAGCACTTTCCCTTATCATTTATAGAATTTGACAAGCTCTTATCATGACTGAATCTAAACTACTAGCAAGTTTATCAAACTGCCCCAATTGCTAAAAACCTAGCTTAAAATAAACCACAATTAGTTGATCTGATGAGTTAAATTAAAAAAAAAATAAAAATCCTAACAGCTGTGTTGGAGATAGGGACGGCTGCTATTTAACAAGTGACTTATCTGGAGCTTATAAACTGTGACTCTGTAACAGCTCACCTGTCCGAACTAAAGAAAAGTCCAAAGTGTGACTTACTGTTAGATCCTGTAGGTAAATATTAATGAAGTTTCTTCTGTTGTTCCATCTGTGCAAATGCATGTACTGTCACTTTGGAGACATTTGTAAAGATCCTGCTGCATATTATTGAATAAACTCAGAGGAAAGAATCCTACAAACAGCTGAAAACAAAAAACTGAACTTCCCCTCCCGTTAACCTGGATTCCATTCATTATTGATTAGCCTCATTAATTCGTTTCAGCCTCTGTTATCATTTAGGTAAAGCTTTAAAATCTTACTTTTGGGATAGATGTGAAATTGTAGGGCAAAGTAAATTAAATGAATTGTGTCATCAGCCCTCTCCAGTTTACAATTTAATTAAAAATAAATAAATAAAAAACTTTATTTGTCCCCTGGGGGCAATTTAAGGCACGTAGAGCAGTTCGACACAGAACTGTACAATAGTAGCAGCAGCCATATGGTAGTTAAAATAGGATAAATACAATTAAATTCAAAAATTGAAAGTGAAATATGCTGAGATAAGAATAAAGTAAATATCGTATGAATAACAAATAATGTGTAGAAGGTGACAAAATGGTAAAAAAACAGAATTACAATGTTTACATGACGTGTAATTTAATATTGGTGCAGAAATGTGGAAAAAATGTTTTTGTTTCTGCCATATATCCATCTATCCATTAATGTGACAGCATACAGTTCAGACTTGTTAAAAGTAATAAAGCAGGAGAAGAGGGACCGAGGTGTTCATTCAGACATGAAGCCGACACGTTCAGTTGCTGTCGAAATAATGGAACCGAGCGCATGTCTGAAAGGGAATTCAGATACTTTTAAGTCGTCAGTTAGGAAGCAAATAAAAAGACTATTCAACTGTAACTCAGGAATTCTTAGCACCTTGTCAAGAAACAGTCCCACCCATTAAATCCTATAAACCCTGTAAATGTTATTTGTGAACTTTGGATCGTGTATATGAAGGTAACACTGTAAACTGGGTTGTCTTGGCGCAAAGCCCGGCTGCCTGTTTCACCCAGTCTACTACCGTTATGCTAAAGTAAGATAAGCAGCTGTGACTCCGGCGACCTATTTAACAGACAGACCTAGAGCGATGTCAAGCTTATAATATTGCTCTTTGTTATTTCCAAAAATGTTGACCAGTTTCTTTAACCTTCAATGCATTGAGACGAGGAAGTTGCTGCATTTACAGTTATTACAAAAACCATAGTTTTGCTATTAAAAGCTGCTTTTCTTTGCTGTTCTGTCTTGAAATTTAAACAGTGTCAAGAACAAATCACATTCTTTGTAGATAGCATTAGGCCAAACGAGATTTTTTTTTAAAAAAATGACGGGAGAGTGTGTCTTATTGCAAATACCTGTGAACTTCAAGACTTTTATTTTGAAATTTTATTTATCCAATGCGTCTTACATAAAGAACTTGATTTTATCATCTGCCCCTTGATATTGGATATTCAATGTGTTGCCTCTGGAGTGTTTTTACAGAGTTAATCCGTGTTGGTTAACAACTTTAACATATTTTTTTCTGTTTTTTTGCGGTGCATATTTATTACATATTCAGTCCGCTGTGGTTGCTGGTCCTCATGCTTGGTCTAATTGGGTTTTCTCTGGGCTTGACTGCAATCCCCATGTTCCCCGAGATCATCACATGTGCATAGTGAGTGACTTTGCGTGTTGTTGTACATTCATAAGTTCATTCAGATATAAATACAGGAAGGTGAAACACATCCTTATTTCTCCCTTGTAGTGAGAAAGGATTTGAAGAGGGGCTGAGCACTCTAGGAATGGTTTCTGGGCTGTTTAATGCAATTTGGTCACTGGGGTGAGTCCAAAAGCTACTTATTTCATGCCCTCTGATTATTAGTATTTTTTTTTTCCAGTGTTGTGATTTGTATCCTAATGCTAGAATTTATTTTGTAGGATGTTCTATGGCCCAACAGTGGGTGGTCTTATCACGCAACACCTGAGCTTCGAGTGGGCAGCTACAGTCCAAGGAGGCTTGGCGTTTTTGGCGGTAAGTTATTGCAGCAGTTAGCTTTTTATAATAATCATCAGCGTTGTTTTCGTATGGTTTTCATATTGATCATTCTTATGTTAAATATTTCTGGTAGTGTTCACCCAAATCCTGGGCCTGCTTTAGATAACCCCACCCCTTCTCAGTTGTCATTAAGTGATTTCTGTGGTCGTAAATGTTTAGGCTTTCTCCATGTAAACATCTGTAGTCTGCTAAATACTAAGCACTTTGACAATTTAAAATCATTGGTGCATACTGCTAATCCTGACGTCCTAGCTATCTCTGAATCTTGGCTCAAGAAAAGAAACTCCGATCTTGATATTCTGATTGCAGGTTACAATGTGTTTTGACAGGACACAGCTTCCAGGGGTGTAGTGTAGCTTTGTGTGTTAAAGATCATCTGCATTGTACTGCTGCACTTTCCAAGTCAGTCCCGAAACAATTTGAGATATTGGTGTTAAAGCTAAAACTCTCAACAAGTTCTTTCTCTCACTGCTGCAGTCTGTTACAGAACACTCTCTGCCCCAGCTTCCACTCTTACTGTACTTAGCGAACTTCTCGTACCATACATCTCCTCAGACATTGTTCTCCTGGGTGACTTAAACTGGAATATGATCAACCCACCAGACATAGTATTTCGATGCTTTAAACCTCTTCCAAATTATATCAGAGCCTACCAGACCTAACCTCAAATCTCCCTCATCCTCCACATTGATCGACCTCATTCTTACTAACACTCCTTCTAACTATCAATCTGGTGTCGTCAGTCAAACGAGTGATCACTGTGTCATTGCATGTGTACGTTCCGGCTGCTCAGTTAATAAACCGTCTGTAATTGTGACCACGCGCTCTTTGAAGAACTTTGATATGCAGGCCTTTCTTCAAGATGTTGCAGCAGTAAATTGGAACAGAGTTCATTCTTCCCCTCCTTAGATGATGCTTGGTCTTATTTCAAGAATACATTTTGCTCAATCATCAACAAACACTCCCCTCTGGAAAAATTTAGGACCAAGAATCGTTACAGCCCCTGGTTCTCCCACGACTTGTCAGAACTTATCTATTGCAAGAATGCCCTTTGGGGGAAAGCCCGTTCCTCTCAGTCCTCTGTCGACTGGAAGGCCAAAATCTCCCACTTTAAGGAGAAATTTTGCACCTGCTGATCTGATGCTAAGAAGTTCTGGAAAGCAGTCAAGTCTATGAAAAGTAAACTTTCTTCTCCCCATCTACCAACCTCTTTGGTATTCAACGATATTGTTATTACCGATAACTCTCGTATGGCCTCACTCCTTAACCAACACTTTGTTAATGCAACTAAAGCATACTTTACCTCAGACCCTGATACAGCCTCTTCTGATACTCGACTTTCCCCATCCTGTAATACTGGTTTCTCCTTTAAATCTCTTCCTATCTTGGAAGTACAAGGTGAACTCACCAGGCTAGACCCTAACAAATCTGCTGGCTTTGATGAGCTTGATACCATGTTCTTAAAATCAGCTGCTCACATCATTGCTGCTCCCATCACAAGAATATTTAATTTGTTTTTAAAGCTCTCTGTCTTCCTTCCTGACTGGAAATCAGCTTTGATCTTCCCCCTCTGCAAAGGGGGCTCTGGCTCAGACCCCAACTGCTATGGACCTATTTCCATTTTACTGTGCCTATCCGAGGTTCTGGAGAAGTTGGTTTTTAAAAAGCTAAGCCACTTCCTTCAATCAAACCAGATCTTGTCAGACCTGCAATTGGGTTTCCGAACTGACAGCCACTATGAAGGTCCTGGACGATATTATTGCGGCATTAGACAGCAAGCAGATCTGCATAACTTTATTTATTGAACTTGCTAAGGCCTTCGGCTCTGTTGGTCACTGGATCCTCCTTCGTATGCTTTCTAGCATTGGTCTGTCCTCTACCTGCTGTGACTGGTTTGCCAGCTACCTTACGGACCGTGTCCAGCAGGTGAAGACAGAAAATATTCTGTCAGATCCACTTACCATCTCCAAAGGTGTACCTCAGGGCTCCATCTTGGGTCCAGCCTGATTTTCCATCTACATTAATAATGTTGCAAAAGCTGCTGGTGGTTCCCGGATCCATTTGTATGCTGACGATATCATCTTATACTCAGCTGGCCCTTCACTCCACTCTGCAGCATCCACTCTTCAGCTCAGCTTCACTTCTGTTGAGCAGTCCTTTCACAAGCTGCACCTCCGCCTTAACCTCAGTAAAACCAAATGCATCATCTTTGACGGGAGGAATGTTGCATCCAGCCCCCCCACAATCGGCTGTACAGATGGCTCGCCTGTGGAGTACGTCAATTCCTTTAAATATTAAGGCTTCTGGCTTGATTCATCTCTGTCTTTCGCCACACACATTAACAGTTTTCAGGCAAAACCCGAAACCAGACTGGCCTTTTCTCTTTCACAACAAAGCCTCCTTCACTCATGCTGCTAAACACATCCTCGTCACGATGACAATACTCCCGATTCTGGATTATGGCGACATCATTTACAAAATGGCCCCAAGCACCGTGCTCAAAAAAACTGGACACTCTTTATCACTCAGCCGTACGCTTTGCCACTAATGCACCCTTCCACACTCACCACTGCGACCTCTATAAATTGGTGAGGTGGCCCTCCCTTCATACTCTGCGGCTTCACCACTGGTTTCATTTAATTTACAAATCAGTTCTGGCCAAGACACCTCCCCTACCTAGCTTCTCTTCTTCAAGTCGCCCATAATTCTTATCATACTAGGTCGAGTGAATACCTCAAGCTCATCATCCCCAATACTTCTACTATTTTTGGCCATAACTCCTTTCGCTTTGCAGCAGCTAACGACTGGAACACCTTACAAAACACTCTCAAACTTGCAACTCTGACTCCACTCACCACCTTCAAGCTTAAAATCTAACAGATTGTAGTTGACTGTTGCTCCTGCTGATCAGACCAGACTTTACTTACATACTATATATACATATTATATTATCTTTTCTCACTCACATGCATATGTCCCAATGCTTCTTCCTTTTTGTTCTATGTCATGGTTATGTGTCTATTTGTGTCTGTACATGTATATTTGTTCTTGCTGGGGCCTCTTGGTCAGGTCATGTTTGCAAATGAGAACTGGTTCTCAAACACTTCTATCTGGTCAAATAAAGGTCAAATAAATAAAATTTAAAATTATAATTCCAGTATATGACCATATTAACAAGGCAATTACACACATAAAACTCAACAATCACTCTCTCCTCAGGCCTTCTTCATCGTTGTGTATTCTTTCTGCCATAAGCCGCAACAACAAAGGTAATAATTAACTTCAGGTTCAGATTTGTCATGCGTTGCTGTAATCTAGTTTCCAGGACATGCTGGGTGTTAACACCAACTTTTGTGTTTTAATTTAAGGGCTGGAGAAGACAGAGGACCAACAGATGAAAGCACTCCGCTCCTGAATGAATGAATGAATGAATGAATGAATGAATGAATGAATGAATGAAGGAAGCCTCAGCTACACATGGAAGAAGGTTTTACCGAACAAAATGTGATCTTAGTGTTTAGCTACTTGTTGGAAACACAAGTTACTTTGTCATAAATTGCTTTTTAACACTTTTAAATTATATTTTTTGCGTTCCAGAGATTGTATTGATTTACTTGGGCGATTACAAAAAACATGTTTTTCATGAACTTGCAGTAAAATTATTTATGAAAGGTTTAAAAAAAAAAAAAGTGTTTTTATTAGGTACTGCCTAGACCTACATACTGTGGAGTAACTTGTGAATAGAGTCAACCACTGTACACTGTAGACATTTACAAACTAATCCAGATCACAGACTGAATGTGTCCTTTGTTCTGAAGCTCTTCTGTATTAATCATTTTTATTATCTACGTAACGTGACTTAGATTTCGTTCCGAGGTGAACTGTGTCAGAATCTGCTGGCCGCATTCATAAAAACATAAAGTAACGAAAACACGCTACTTGAACATTGTCTAAGAGGAGATACATAACGCAAGTGTTAGTAAACCTCACCTAACGGGGAGGATAATTCAGATTTCACTGACGTTAGGGATGTATATGTGTTGTATGTTCTGTAATGTGCCTTTTCTGAATGCAGAAATGTTTAATATTTCAAAGAGATTTCAAAGAAAATATTAAATACGTAATTTAAAAAAAAAAGCAAAGTGCCTGTTTATTTACTATCCAAAGTGTTTGTGTGCATGATGTGGAGGAGGCATGATGTTTAAATTAGACCTGCATGCATTGAATAGAGGCATATGCTTTGGTGCACGAGTAGTATTATAGCATTGCATTGTACTACTAAATGGAACAAGACTAAATATTAAATATTAGCTGGATTATAAAGGGGCTTCCAAGTCTGTCACACTAAAAACCTGAATGTACTGTTGATATTAGAAATTTACAATCAAGGACATTTACACATCCCAAAGTTTAACATACACTGATCACAATAAAGCTAATTTATAGGCAACTCCGCTTGACTGGCTAATCAAATATGCATTTAGGTATATTTATTTAAAATTGTTAGGTATTAAAAGTGTGTCTTTATATATGTTTTGCAGAAATAGCAAAAGAAAAAAACCTTAAATGAATACTCTGTATTTTTAATGCTGTGAAGTGGCATATACAAACTTAGCAAATCTCTTACAGGCTAAGAAAATAAGACTAATATTACAGAAGTTTTGCGTTTTATATCAGCAGTAAGACTTTATAATAGTCATGTGAATTATTTTAAACTGCAAAACATACAAAATGTTTTCAGCATTTGTGCATTCTTGAGCTGAGCAAAACCGTTTTATAAACAAATTTTAACAATTTACTGAGCAATTTGTATTAAGTACAGTACAGGATATAAACATACTGGCTGTTTGAATATTACAAAAATAAGCATCTAAAAACCAAACTGTAAAAATTTAACAAACCTGCAAGACAGACTTGTGTCTGCATGCGCACACAAAAAGTGACCGTATGTGTCCATGAGTTCATGCATCCGGCTCAAAGGCACCGTTGGTCTGACCCGTCGGGCTCTTTGGGAGAGGTCTGCCTTTTGATCTGCCTCTCCTCATCGACCCCGAAGCATCTGCATCTGAAAATGTGGCCAGAGACGAAGCTGCAGGGACTCCTGACTTCTTCACCTTCTTCTTCCTTCTAGTTCTGTGGGGGAAAGCCAGATTTCACAATCGACACCACAATGCAGGATGTCAGCCATAAACCTGATTTGCTTTCCCTTTAGAGGAGTAAACACTTAATCCTTGTGCAGTGTTCAGTAACCACACCCCATGCCGAGCAAAGGGAGACACTTACTTGGCATCAGTCAGTTCGGGCTCGGTGTCAGAAAGGGTCGGCTCAGAAAGAAACCTAAGTTCCCCAGAAGAACTAATTGCAGCAGATACCTTGGAGACATGAGCATGAAGAGAAGGACAGGAATAATAAACACCAAAGCGGTACCATAACCTACTAAATACACCGTCTTCATGCATTGATAATATGCATTGCAAAGTATATTCCTCATCCACTGAAGGCTTGAATGTGGCTCACAGCTTGTCATTGGTTCACTAAAACATACTTCCAGCAGAGCATAAACGTCATAGTTACACAATCAGCTGTCTGAAACATACTGAGTATAGAAGCAGATGAGAGATTTCCGGCACTGACTAATATACATCCAAGGTGCCCAGAGAAGAGAATAAGTCAGAGAAAATACTTGAATTAGGGTCATCCTGACCTCTTCTATACCAGAAATCCCTCATCTGCTTCCACGGTAAACAACACAGATGCTGAAATGCTTTAGTCTGACAAAAAAGAGGAGTTTTGATCTCATATTGAGCATATATATATATATATTTCTCTCTGCATTATGACTTTTTTCTTTCTGTGAGAACAATGTGTCAGCATTGTAAACCCACTGTATCTTAGGTAATCATAAGGAGGAACATTGTCCAAGTATGTGAAGATGTTTGGTAACAATAATGTCCAGAAAAAGATGATTTATCAAGCTGGAATTAAGCTGCAATTGGGGGCAAAGACAAGAAAAAAGTACAGAAAACTACTATTTTATTCTAGAGTTATCCTTATGTTTTTGGGCAAGACAATATTTTGACCACAAATAATCTTTTGTAGGCGACTTCAGGTAAAACAGTGAACAAAATTAACCTACTGGTGGTCAAGATGGTGTCAGATCTACAGTCTGTGGAGTAAATAAAAACTGGGAAGAAGATAGTATTTTTTGGTCCCTTATTTTCATCATAGCTGATACAGACACAACTTTTAAAGCCACATCTCAGGCCTTGCAGTGCGGTTTAATGGTCAAAAGATTATATCTAAGCCGAAGTATCTCTTTGGGAAAGTGAAGCACCGTAGACACAGGAGAAGGAAGTGTGGAAGAAATGGATACCCAAGATACAACCAAGTCCCCTTTCACCTTTTAGCCCATATACTGTGCAATGCTAATGACAAATGATCAAAATCCACGGCATTACTTTGTCTTCTTACCCTGGTTGGTGTTGACCTGTCAACAGTTCCCTCAGACAAGGCTGCGTGTGCCTCTGCAGAATGAGTTAACTCTTCATTGAAATCTCCTACAACAATAATATAAGCCACATTTAGAAGATTTAAATGTACCGGAGCGTATATCCACCACAAGAAAACCCACTCACTCTGATCTGCTACATAAGAAGCCAGAAAATATCCCTGCTGCCCGTTGACCAAACGCCCAAACCACCAGTTGTCGTTGTCTTTGTACAGCACTTGGATGACATCCCCGCGACGTATGGTCAGTTCATCTGACCGATTGGCTCTGTAGTCGTAGAGGCAAACGACCTGGCGAATAAACACAAAGGTGGAACAGTTAAATAGGATGTGGGGAAGGCTGTTATTAAAGTTAGAGTGGATGCTTACCACTTGTTGAACAGGGGTGGAGTCTGTTTCCACATGGGCGCCTGAAGAGATGTGGTCAGGAAGGGTCTGAGGGAGAAACAGAACTTTACGCTAATTCTGTTTCTGTAGTAGTTTTAGAGAAGATAACAGACACAGCACAAAGCCTTACTGTCTGCAGCCTCATAGATGAAGCTCCTTTTATACGCTGGCCGACTGGACTGAACCCGCCTGAAATCACAATTAAAAACATAAAGCCTTCATCTTACACAATAACACAATCCACTGACCTGTATTCACAATCCACACTTACGGACACACGTGAATATCACAAGCGGCCCGTCTGTGTCCCTGTGTATCGTGTACATGCTTCGGCGGAGTCTTAAACTACAATACTGGGAGCATTTGGTCTGAGTTACCCCGTGCTGTACTCTGTGTAGCTGTAATCTTTGGAAATATTTGACCTCAGGTGTCACACAGCTCTAGCAAAGCCATTCACTGTTTACAGAAGAAATAACTGACTGAACCGGCCACTCACGGTGTTGAGTGATCAGAGCCGCCTGGGGAATAAGCTGCTCCGCTAGAGATCCGGAGAGCTGCAGCTTGGAGTGCGGCGACAGCAGAGATGGAGGCGGTAGTGAGGCATTTAATCCCGTCTGGGGAAAAAAGGGAGACGCACTTTAGATTGGTAGTAATGTAATAATTCTGATGCATTTCATGGGGAAATTTTAGTGTAATTTTCAGTCAGTCAATAAATTATCTTGAAGTCAGGATTTAAATTGAAATTTTAACATTTCCTTTATGTACTAAAGGAGACTACATAATGACAACAAGTAGGATCATGTTAATAACAAAGGCCCAAGAGGGGAGAGATTTGAGTTTATCACTACAAATACACACTTCTTAACCTATTTCTGAGGTAGTTCCTTCCTTGTCACTTTAAGGGCAAATGAGAAATGAGCTGTTTCATATCCCAGGGAGCAAAATCAATGTTAGTGCAAAGGGCTCATAAAGGTTTTATTCCCCTGTATAACCTCAACAGTGTATGAAGTACACAAAGGTGTGTTCGTGGAGCTCTGATAAAAACTCACCGTGGCACTCTCTGATGTAAAGCTCCTCCCTGTGTGAGTCATGCCCACTTTGTCTGCAAATCCGAAACATAACGCAAGATATTCTTTATGTAAACAAAGGCAGAACACAGACGCCGGATAATCCAGATAGAATGCAGGAAATCAGGCTAAACTGCATAAAGTACCTGGCTCATACATCAATCCAGAAGTTGAAGACCTTTGATGTGTTTCCTAAAAATGGAGCAAAATGTTTAGTTTTTGTTTTTCTGACTGTAATAGGATTAATATTTCAAAGCAACACAGAAAGAGGATTTACAAGAACTGAATCCAGCTGCTCCTTAACACTCTGCATTTTCAGCGCAAGTCTCGCTGCGTGGGCAAACTGATCCATGGATGAAGATGCGGACGTGTCCTGCAGCGCTGGGGGGTCTGGTGTGTTTCTGACGGTTCTGGTGTCTGCAGAAGCTGATCTGGTCGCTGCTTTAAGGCTGTGCACCTCCAGCTGGGAGACTGCAGGGAATAGAAAGACACAGTTGTGGCTCAGTGAATCTAAAATACTGTATTTCACTTGAGCTACATACAGAGAGAACAAAAATTGCCGCTTGAGTGTCAAAGAAAACACACACCTTTGCGATCATACAGGTACACGTGGATGGGCTGGTTCTGACCGAAGGCACTGAAGGCCACCATGTTCTCGTGAGGGTGGAAAGCGACGCCGTGGAGAGCGGTGCGGTAACAAAGCTCAGAGTACACTGCAACTTGGTCACCTGGGAGAACAAAAACAGCTGAACCACTATGCAGAATAGTTTCTAAAATGTTAAAAACTGACTTGTTTTATAATAAAAAGACAAACAAACACGATGCTCACCTGTGTCAGTATTCCAGACGTACGACATCCCATCCTCACTACCGGAAAAGATGAAGTTCCCACATGGTGTGAAAGTGCTGTAAATCCTCTCTCTGTAGTTTGTGGCTCCAGTGTACTTCTTTACAGCCAGACTGAAAGAAATGTTTATAAAAATATAGACTTTACTTTAAAACACAGAACATCCAGTATGATAGATTATACACCAAACATGATGATGCCATTCACTCATCATCTTACACTTGTTGTATCGATATAAGAAATTACTAGTTTGTCTTTTTATAGTATTTTTCATTACTTAATTATATTTCTGGTGGTACTTCTTTAGTCTTCTCTTACTCACATTCTCAAATCCATCATCCTCAGAACGCTGTCTTTGGCATGTATCAGTAGGCACCGGCCATTTGGATGCAGCTGCAGCATGTTGACAGGGATACCACTGAGGTCAGTCTCGTCAATTTTCTGCCAGGAGACAAACACAGGATCAGGAATATATTTGTTTAACTGTATTTAATTAGACCAACATTTGACAAATCTGTCCTATATGACAGTCTACCAAGTGTTGTACCTTTTCTATGCACCAGTTACGGCATGGGTGCTGCCGATGCCTGCTGTCATTTACGGAAGTTTTCCACACGATGATTAAGCCCTTGTTGTCTGCAGAGAACATTCTCCTTCCTGAATGCAGCAAACACAGCAAAAATAATTATTAGCTATAAAAAGATATAAGTAGAATTTTCTTCATTCATGTTACAAAAACACACAGAGCACAACAATTTGTTTCTCAACAGATGGTAAGACTATAAAAACTGAATATTTGCCCCCTTGTGAATTCATAAAAAGGTAAACATGCACCTCAATTATTAAAAAGCTAAATACATATAATGGAGATATATTTCTGGTTGGGAGTGTTTCATTTGTTAAACAAAGAGAGCAGCTTCCCTTGCTGCTGATTTAGTCCATGAAATAAGTGTGTTGCCCAGAGTGGCAGTGGCCAAAAAACATCACAAAGAAAATAGTTCAAGGCAAATCAAATGCAAATTGCATGCATAAAGGCTGAACCGACAGCCACGGGCAAAGGCTTCATTTGAATATTTGGGCGGATGCATTAAGTGAGAGGTCTGAGGGTCTCCCCCTAAGGAAAGTTTGAGTGACTCTACACTTCCTGCATCTTGATGATTTTATGCACCAATGTGCCTTTTTCATATCAATTTATACTAGAAATGTCTTTATGTTAAAGAAAGCACAAAATTTAGACACCAGGTGACAATTTAAATATAATTAAATATATATGGTTCTAATCACATTTTTCACAGTAGATTCAGTGGCTGTATGAGCTCAGAATTCGTATTTTGAGAGTAATAAAAAGAGGCAATGTTTCATCTATTAGTGATATTAAAAAAGTGAGGGGTGTATTTCCTGCGACAGCATTCGACACCTATTCCAACCTCAATGCTTGAGTAAATGCTAGAGCCTGGCTCTATATGAAAAAATACAATAAAATTTAAAAAAAACCTATATGCAAAGTTTATATAATTTGGTATTTCTTAGACATGTATGCAGTTGATCCACTCTAGTTTCACATTGTCAGCCAAGCTCTACTTTATGTAGGGTTGCTTATAAACAAAATTATATTCACTAAAATGTACACGACAGATATTGTTCTTTAAGTGGCTGCGTTCCTTCTTATCTTGTTCAGAGTTGTGGGTGTCAGTGGGCTTCTCTCATCATGCACTAGCTGAGAGCTACACACAAAGACGCAACATTAAAAATTCAGTACCTTCAGAGTCAAAACAAACTGTGTTGATGAAACTGTCGTGACCCTCAAACTCCTGCAGCAGCTGGCCATTCACATCGTCGACATCGAGCCGCCAGACTCGCACCAGACCGTCGTAGCCGCCAGTGACCACCAGGTTCTGGGCTGTTGGATGGTACTGAGCGCAATACACAAAGCATGGATGAGGGAGAACCTTCTGGGCTGTTCCCTGAAGCTTCTCTACGTTCCACTCTCTAAAGGGTGGAGAGGAAGAGGGAGAACATTTAATAATGCATGAAAAAGAAAAATGTGATCTTTAAAAGTTAGTCATACAATCACCACTAAAAAAAGACTTCACCCAAAGACAAGGTGAGCACCTACTGTAAGAGGAGTAATGACTCCCTCTAGAGGTTCTACAAAAACAGCTGTTACAACAGCTGAGCCACCACCAGCAACACCTCATTTACTTCTAATTACTTCTGTTAATTCTTTCATCTTACAAAGAGAAACTGACCTGACAGTTCCATCAGAGGAGGCGGACAAAAGGCTCCGATCATCTCTGGACCAGCAGAGATCGTACACGATTTTGAGATGGCCACTGAAGGCAGCCAGAACCTTGCCAGAAGGAATTTCATACACTGGAACGATAAATATGTAAATTTTTTTAACCATGTATTTTTGCTTCTTTTTATTTTGCATATGCATGTAAGCTATAGAAACTCCTGAGGGCATAACAGAGCTGTTGATGACTACGGTGGATAATCAGCAGGTTAATTAGCCACAGAGTTTTGCTGACAAGTCAAACGAGCATCAGGACGGCGAGTTTTACACTGATGAGGCTTTGCTTACCTACAACAGGGAAAGCGTCTCTGTCAGCACAAGCAGCAGCCAGTATGGTTCCAGCATGAGAGAAGAGTACAGTGAAGCAGCCCATCTGACCACCACGGAACGCCAGCATGGGCTTATTAGGAATCCGGCAGATCTGCAACAGAAAAACTCTTGACTTGAATCAGGAAGCCTCAGGTCAGCAAATATTTTAGCTTGTTTTAGCCTCTAAAGAAGCAGTACAATTAAGAGCTGAGACACTTTGGAGGCAAATTGTTGCATCCAGGCTAAAAAAAAAAATGAAAGAATGATTTGTAAAGATAATTCATCAGAGCATTTAAAATAAAAACAAACTCATAGCTATGACTAGCTACCTGACCAGGCAGCCTGCTCCATCTCAAGACTGGCGGTTTGCTGTCCAGAGGCTGTGTCAGGGTTTTCTTGGTGACCTCGTTTTGCAGTTCACTGTAGGAGGTGCTGCCTCTCTCCTCCTGCAGCGCCATCATAGAGCGCATACTTGGATCCACCTGCAGAGCAAATACCAGCTCAGCTACGACATATTACCACTCATTACACCAGACAATTCTATCTACAGTGTAACGAGCACTGACATTTTAAACATTTATCTACAAAAACCATAGAAAAGTGAGACATTATAAAGAACAAAGAAGTATTTATTTTCTAGCAGCTAGAAAGCAGCAACTAACTTACATGTTCGGGGAGCTTAATGCCTTTCACTGTAACATAAAGGGTGGATGCGTATTTGGTTCTCTGGTGCTTCCTCCACCACTCAACCACCTCCACTGTTTTAGGTTGTCTCTTTGCCCGAGGTGGAGGGCAGAAGAGCTGGAGGCGAAGTTTGCTGTCAATATTCAGCACGCCATTTGTGCCGACAAGCTGGAGGATGGAGGGAAGCATGAAGTAAGTAAGTATTAACAAGAGCAAACTCATCTTTTCTTTGTAAATAAGCAGGACAACAACATCACCTTGAGGAATGCCCACGCAATCTTTCTGAATCCTCGCTCATGCTTGTCAACGTCGACGTTGGCTCTTGCTTCTTCCATAGTTACAAAATCCAGGATCTTAACAAAACATTTTAATAAAAGCAATTACTGGCAGCTAAAAGTGTTGCAATGTTTCGTGAATTATTAATGAAATATTTCTTACTTCAAACAGGAGTATGACTTTGGGGCTGTCCTCGTTTTGCTGAACAAAGTAACCAAAACGTTCATTGAAGATGATCTGTTCCTGCCACTCTGGGATGATTGATTTGTTCTTCTTAAAGTCAAAAGGCTGGGTCATGATGGGGAGGATGTGGTCGACGTTTTCTTGTTCATAAAATGAGGAGACGGGTCTGTGGCTATGAAAAACAAGGGAATGACATTTCATTTTCAAGCAAATACTAAAAACATTAAATAATGAATAAAAAAATGTTAGCATTACTATAGAGCATGTTTGGATTTAACTAAAAAGTGACACTAGTCCAAATGTTTCAGGATATAAATATCCCCAATGAATGTACCCAGGAATAGAAACACATCTTTGTGGAAACACTGAACTGACTCACCAGTCTTCTTTCTTCACATATTGCCCTGTGTTTTCATCGACAACATGGATCTTCACCATGGGGTGTGAGATCAGTATGTGCGTCTTGAGGCGATCCGTTCTGTGGATGAACACTCCAAGAACAAGGCTGTCATCGAATGTTGGTTGCTGTGGCGCTTCTGGCTCGGTTTCACTCTCTTCTTTGACAACTGAAAATGAGAAAATAAAATGTGAAATTCATCAACTTTTTTTTGTTTTGTTTTTTTTTACTCTTTACTCTCTCTGACAAGTAACATCCACTTACCATGCTTTTTCTTCTTCTTTTTCTTCTTCCCCTTGGATTCTGTTTCATTTTCCACATCAGCATCCTGATCTGCCTCTTCATCTTGATCCCTTGTGGGGAAAAAAGTATTAAATCCTATTTCAGTACACTGAATATGAAACACAAACAACAAATTCATATTATATGAAGAAGTATACACACCCCACATCTGACTCTGTGACAACAGATTTCAGCTTTTTCTTTTTCTTCTTCCCCACATCATTATTCAGCATAACGTTTTGCGAGACAACGCTCTCTTCTTCAGCCTTGACCCTCGTCTTCTTTAAAGTCCTCTCCTCCTCTTGTGCAATTTGCTGCTGATATTCATGCAACAACGTATCCTCTGCATCTTCCACCTGGCTCTCTGCTTTAGCTTCTGTGTCTTTTTTACTTTTCCCTTTTTTACTTCTTCGTTTTGATTCCTTTCCACCACCAACATCATCTGAGTCCAAAGCAACCTCAGACTTGGAAGCATCTGCGTCCTTCTCGATGTAACTTCTGATGTCCTCGGGTACAGGGAGGGAGGGAACGTCCCTCTTAGTCTTTCTCTTAGCTTTTGATGTTTTAATCTCTTCTTGGTTTCTGCTGTTGTTGACATTAACCTTTTCTGCAATTTCCTTTTCTCTCCGTTTGTTCTTGGTGAAGCGAGGGCTGCCATGTTCAGGGTCATACGTATTCTGAAGGATGGTCTCATCATCTTCTGTGTCCTTCTCAAGGTTGAGATTCTTTTTTAGATTCTGAAGCTAAAAAAAAAGTGAAAAGGTAGAGCAAAAAATGTCAGAGTTTATTGTACGTTGTTCTTTAATAAGATTTCAAATATCAAGACTGGTCTGTGGATATATTTTGGAAGGGCATGGAAGACTTATTCTAATATGTTTTCTCTGCTGCATACAAATGCCTAATGTGTACAGATGTGACAAAAAATATTTTAAGACACGTTGTGCAAGTTCTTTATGTCTTTGCAAGCACTGCAACACAAAACACTGAGATATTGGACAGCAAATGTGGTGTTCTCTACCACTGAAGGTTGAACTGCAAATATTAAAGCACATACCACAATAGTCTCCTTTGCTTCAGTGCTTTTCTTCTTTGACTTTTTCTTCTCAGATTCAGTGTATTTCTTGAACACCTCATTGAATCTTTCGCGGGTCTTTGCCCGGTCTTCTCTCTCACCTGTAAAAGGTTTACATACATTAATTGGCAAAGTGGTGATGCTTCATACTTCAGTATTGTACTTAGTACAATTATGGGATACTTTGCTTGAGTACTTCCATTTTACTTCTACTTTACCGTAGTTCCGTTTTTTTTTTTGTTTTTTTTTTAAAGTGCTTTTTACTCCAGAGCATGCATTTAAATACATACAAAACAAAATCAACTAGTAAACTACCTACAAATAGAAGGCGATGCATTTTTATAGATCTTATAACTGTGCAGTCAAAAAAAAATCAATATAGCCCCACTGTGATCAGCTTTAAACCATATCAAATACTGATACTACTAATGTGATATATGTTGGTGATAATGCCTCTGTACAGTTTTGACTAGTTAATCATAGCACATCATCACTAGTCTTATATAATAAAAACTCATGCATACATCTACCACCACTGATGTGATAAAGGGACAACAGAAAACTTACCTGCTGGCATTCTCAGGCACTGTAATGTCTCTCATTCTGAGGGCAAAAGAAGAGTAATCCATGGACGAGGGTTCTCATGCTAAAAAATACAAAACATGGACAAGGTTATCGTTGCACAACAACAACTCTGCTGGATGATCCAAGCTGCTTTTCAACGTGCAATTGGTTTATCAAGCTACGTGTTTCATTCCGGTTAAGCTACTTAGATCAGAACAGCCACGTTTTAAATGGTAACTGCTTATTCGAGGCTAAAGTAATCTAGGAAAAAGTCTGTGAGAAGGTAACAGTGAACCACTGACGTTAGCAACTTTAGCAGCTAGCTTGCTAAGTGCTAATGATAGCTAATTGTTACCTTACTGCGCTTGTTATTGTAATATTTACATACTTCAACAAACACACTAAACCCTGATATAAACCAAATCCACAGACGTACATTTAAAAGCGGGATAAGAGTCGGTTTGGGGTAACTGCGCGTATCTACCCCGCAGTGATTGAGCTGTCCTTCCTTCAACTCCACTGACGACGCTGCGACGGTTTCCAAGTCAACAGGGGTGAACCAGGGGGCGGAGCGTGACAACCATGTTCGTGACGTACAAACACAAACAACGAATTGACCAATGAAGTTTGAGGATAGAGGAACGTGACTACGTAACGGAAAGCCGTCTCAAGCGTAATCAGCATTTGGAAGATTTGAATTAATGTTCTTATTTTATTTTGTTTTATTTTATTAACACAAATTTAGTTTGTACCTGCTATTGTTTAGCTTCATTTTGCATATTGTCTTTTGGAAAAAATAAATCCTTTTGTAATAGAAAAAAACAAACAAACAAACAAGCGTAACAATGAAAACAACAATACCATTGCAGAAGGACTAAATAAATGTACTCAAGCACTGTAATTATGGCTTTCAAGTACCAACTGCGTATTAACTTTTTGTGCAGCTTTCTTTCTTTTTTCTTTATTTGTTTATTAATACTCGCTATACTAGTTAAGCTTTAGCTTTACAGGCACCACTTGTGTATTTACATTTAGTGCCGCTTTTAAAGGTTTTATTTGATTTGATTTCTACTAGTTGAGTTTCAAATTTACAGTTCAAAAGACATTATATATAATACATTAAAACTATACATCACAGAATACAACATATATAAACAAACAACTAAACAAAAACAAACAAAATATATTGATAGATGTAATATATTTATGCGTGAATATTTGTAATATATAAAAGGATAGAATTGAGTATAAAAGTAATTCACATAAAGTAATCACATTCACCTTCAAATTATGTTTAAATACTGTTTAGATGTTATGATGACACAATTTAAAGTTCTCTGCAAATAAAGCAAAAATGTCAGTGTCCATATTTTTGCATTTTAACAAAAGTTGATGCAACGATGAATTGTAATTTACCTTAAGGTCACGTGACAGCCCGGTGGGCGTGTCGCAGTGCAGGTTGCGTGAAACAGGCAGGTGCTATACCTTTGTGTTTCAGGATGCAGTCATGGCTTCAGGCCTTTGTGACAGTTGCGCCCGACTGTTCAGAGAATTTGCGGATCTTTTAAGGAGAGTTTGGGGAGAGCTGGAGCACAAGATAAAGGATGTTTTCAGAGAGATCGGTCGGTGCACCTGCTGCAGGATCACACCTGAGAGGAGGAAGGCTCATGATTTGCCGTCTTTGCACCTGATGCATGGTAGGAACACTGTAGCCAGACATTGTCTTTGTCTGGAGGGTTGCTGAGGAGCGGAAACACACTCATGCACACTTGCTCTGTGAGATAACAGTTTATGCAATTATGTAATTGAATCATAGATTAACAGAAGAATAATCACAGTTTAACAAAGTTTATTATCTTGTTAGTTTATTTCATGCAAACAATATCAAACAAAAAAAAGAAACTTGTGCTTGAGATGTACACAAATCATCCACACAATCAGAATAAAGCAAAAACGAAAAAAACAAAGTTATATCTGGGTGATTACATTACTTAAAGTTCCTCCTCTTGTTCTTTTCTCAGACAATGAAACTCAACTTCTCAATCAGGAAACTCTGCAGGCACTGAACAGACTCGCAGCCTCAGAAGACTCTCATCTACAAATGACTGCAGCTGTGTATTATTTACACCTCAGTCATCACTGTGAGTAAAGATTTGTATGGGGTTTTTTTCTGATAATCTTCATAATAGCAGATGAATGGCACAAAAATAAAATGTGAGTTTCGTTTGCATTGGAGATAAGCCCTCTAACGGGTATGACCAGTATCATGCAAATTTCCAACTGTAGTTCTCTTCCAGGGCTGGCAGTGTCATTACAAAGCAAAAAAAAAGAAGATAATTTTACTATATTCTTTATTGTAATAAGTTGTTGACCACTACAGATACGGCTCATATAGATGACGAGTAGTTCAGACTTCTACTTTCTTCAAATCAATATTTTTTAAAACTCAGTACAGGTGATGTTCTGTAGTATGTACATGGATGACCACATATTTTGCTTATCGGAGGCAGTTGTGAGATTGCTGAGTTTACTTGGTTTCAGTTCATAGAACCAAGGGTGGACATTTCGTTCAGTACTTGAGTTTATCAGCAACTACTAGATATATAATGCTAATATCTACTACTACTACTAATTTAAATCAAGTTCAACGCAAACATCATTATTGCTTATTTTCAAAAGAACCAACAAGAAGCTTAACTGAATTCTATTTTTTTTTTTTCCCCTCTGCAATTGTGCATTACAGTGAAATCTCCTTTACCAGATGCCTTCATGGAGCCACTAATGGCTTTGCTTCTATCAGCTGACTTGGATGTGCAGAAGACTGTCTCCCTCTCCCTGGTCAACCTGTTAGTCAAGAATAATGGTAAGAGATGAGAACAATGAGGTGTTTGAATTATTATTTGTTTAGCCATAATCCTAAACCTCTGTGGTGTGATGAGGTAGTCTTATTAGCCAAAATCAACATGGAATGACGGCTTCCATGTGAAACCTGATAGTTTGATGTCTTCATTTTTGTCTATTAATTATGACTGCAGTGTGCAAAGAGCTGGTGATTGAAATGGGGATGCTGGTGCCGATACTGGAGCTGTTCCAGTCTGGAGATCCCACAGCTCAGTGCCACTCCTGTGCCTGTGTTGCCATGCTGGCCTCATCAGGTTTGTACTAACTTTTATATTATTTTTACACACAACTAGAAAGCAATGCTTAAGAACGGAATGGAACCTTTAGGGAATGAAAAAGAAATATTTTTAGAGCAACCATGACAATAATTTTACAGGATATTGCTAATTCTACCATCTAGTGGTGAAAAAAAGTATTCAGATCCTCTACTTGAGTAAAAGTACCAATCATAGACTGTATGATATACAGTCTATGGTACCAATACAGAAATTTAAAAAGAAAAAAAAAGTCAAGTAAATGTCCTGGTTTGGTCCCTCTGACAGATATATTGGTGTGTATGGCATCGTTAAATGAATACTGAAGCATCAGTGTGTCAGCAGCATGTAGCTGCTGGAGCTGGTTTGAACTACTTTCTAACCAGATTTATATACACAGGGGCAGCAGATAAACAAAGTTCTTACATGCAAATCTGCTCACAGTTCATGGACTTTTCCTTTTATTTTTGGTGAGATATTGAATCATTTAAACATCTGTTGAAATGAAACCATGGTAATAGTTAGTGGGGACATTTGATATTGGACATCTGAAGACATCATAAACCACAAAGGTTAATAACCACTAGTTTGATCTTTAATTTTGTGTTGTATTTGCAAAGCTTGTTACATAAATTCATTGTTTAGAATCTTCCTATACCAAGTATGTAGTAATAAAAACTGTCAAATAAATGTAATGGCATAGAAAGTTAAATATTTTTCCTTGGAGCGGAAGCATAAAGTAGCGTAAAATGGAAATACTCAAGTATCTTAAAATTGCACACATCTACAGTACTTGAGCAAATGTACTAAGTTACTTTCCAGCACTGTAGCAGCATGAGAAGCTGCTTTTTTCTTCAGTTTTTCTGTAAATGCAATGAAAACTGATATGAAACAAGAAGAAAATCTATGTGGCTCTATGTGTTTTATCAAATTCCTCTGCTTTCACTCACTTCTTTGTCTTACTTCACATATTTACTCTGATAATATATTATTTGATGGTGGGTTTCTGCATGTTAATAGCACAGGATAATGCTCCTGTGTTTGCAAAGGGTCACTATAATCGTGCAGTCTTGCCTGCATCAGTTTTTCTATTTTGTCATTCAGAGTCAAACAGAGACGCTCTCATGGTGGATGGAATCATACCACTGCTGGCTTTAGCAAAATCCTACGATCCAAAGGTGCAACAGAACGCAACTTGGGCTCTATTACACCTCACGCAGTCAGGTGGGATCCCTTCCTTTGAATGTCTTCGCATTTGTCTCCACAAGCTGCTTCCGTTAGTGCTTCTCTAAATGTTGCATAACTTAGACAACTTTCTCTTTTTTTTCCAGATTGGTCAACAAGGATTTTATGTCAAGCCGGAGGCGTTCCTGTTTTGGTTCTTCTGCTTCAGTCCTCAGATTCAGAGGTTCAGTTTTACAGCTGCTCTGCTCTGTGCAACATCGCTGCTACCGAGGAGCATCACCAAAAGTTACTCAGCGTTGGAGGTCAATACTTGTCAAAGTCTCTTTTGACTCTCATGTCTTCTTCTGTGCTGAAGGTAACTGTGAACTTTAAGTGGGTGGTAATTGAATTTGTAGTTAAATTAGAAGCAATTTTTGATGAAAATCTTTATTAATTTTGCAGAATTCAGCTCAAGCGTGCAGATGCCTACAAATTCTTTCCAACCACGGTAAATACGATATAAATGCAAAGCCAGGAAATCAATGCTGCACCTGAACAGACGCTGTTTGACCCGTTACTGTGCAGTTCTGATCCAGGAGCAGCTGACGGAGTTTGACTGCGTGTTGCCTCTGAAGGCGCTGCTGAAAACATCTACTCCTGAGTGGATAGAGTCGGGCCTTGCACTGCTGTCCACGCTGTCTGCACACCCTCCAAACAATGTACGATCCCCTACAGCAGGATTACATTAACAATGTGTTCTGTGACTACACAGCTATCTGTTTAAACCCCAGTGTTCTTAATATTCCCATGATTTGGCTCCAGGACATCCTGGTGGGTGAAGGACTGTTGGAGGAGATCGGTGAGCTGCTCCATCATCCCAGATCCACCTCAGCTATAATCACACACTGCTGCAAGATAGTCACTGACCTGTGTAGTTCCTGCATGGGTGAGCAGGTACGCCAAGAATAGAAATGAGGATTCTGTGTGATTTGTCATAATAAAATCCTTTTAAAGTTAAGCAATGGGGAAACATAAATACATACTTTTACTTATGAAATATTGAAAAAGTCAGATATATTGGAATTTGGATCAAAGAGAAGCTGCCATTTAAATATTATGTGTCCGAAAAATGCTTATTGAGGCACATTTTCTGTCAGTACTGGATTATGGTGATATTTCATGCATATATGCATCAGTGGCGACTCTTATGCCAATCACCGTGAGCTGGTGCTGAGGCTGGGTGGCATCTCCCTCTTATTTATTTATAAGGCACTCACAGTTTTTTTTTTTTTTACCACCTTACATTACTTTATGTCTGTCTTTTATTCAAGTGGATTACTCTGCAGCTCTCAGCTGTTTTTACTGAGCTTGGAAAATCCAGTTTTACTCACTGTACAGCTGCAACCTGCAATAACCTGCAGAAAAATGTAAAGCTGGACTCATTTGTACTCACAGGACCATCCAGGATTTTAGTTTCATCTTGTTTTGCTTCCAGCTGCTTTTGTTTCAGTTGGTTCATTTATTTTTTTTAATCTTAAATCCTCTAATTGATGATTTTATTTTTTTTTTTTTTACTAACCGTCCTTCAAATATAACTTTATTAGAAGTGTGCCAACATATTTTATTTTCTTACTTTGCTACAATAATGAGGCCTCCACTCCTCAATGTACTCCAAGTTTAAATAAAGGTTGAATGAATGAATGAATGAATGAATGAATGAATGAATGAATGAATGAATGAAAGTACATTCACTCAAGAATTATACTTGCACATTTTAGGTGCTTGTACTTTGAGTTTTTCCATTTGGTGCAACTTTCTATTTCTACCTAATTACATCTCAGAGGCAAATATTGTACTTTTTACTTGACTACATTTGTATAAAATAAATAGCTACTTTTTAAATGACATTTTTTCATACCACTCCTGTCTATTGAAAAGCACATCTCCAAATTTGGTGATTTTTTTGCATGTTTGTGATGAACTAAAAGATGAACTGATCCATCATGAGTTGAGAACATTCTCTTTTTAAGACATGTAAACTATTTTTTTAAAAATTCCCCTTCAGATTAGATGTAAATGCCTTTTCGCAAAGCTGCAAACAGGGCTTTACCTGATCTCCCAACAGCAACGCAATAAATGTATGATGATCTTACAGAAGTAAGGTTTTCAGCTCAGGACTACTACTTGTAGTGGAGTATTTTCAGAGTACGGTATTTGTATTTTACTAAAGTAAAGGATTTCCCACCCGTGATGTTTTCTTTCTAGGTTGTCATGGAAAGTCTGTGTTTATCAGGACTCCTGCGGGCACTTCTGTCTCCCAGCCAATCAGATGAACTGTTGCTGCATGTGACATCGTGTTTAAATCACTTGATGACCTGCGGTGAGTGGCCTGCACATGAATTCACGTGTTTCAAGTGGATTTTAACTCAAAAATCTGCAGATAAATATTGCATTTTACATGCAATGATCCTACATTTCTTGACTCTTTTGTTTCAGATGCACTGAAGTCTAAACTTTCTGCAACAGTGACACCAGAACACATTTCTGGACTGGTGAAGCTGTCAGGACAAATAAGAAATCCTCAGTTGTCATACAGCTGTGCAGCTATAATAAGCAAATTAGAAATGACCGGTAATGTGATGTGCAAATGCTACAGAATGATAAATAATAACTTTGTTTTTGCACATTAAAAGCTGCTGTTTGTTTCTGTTTACCCAGAGAAGACCGCCCAGTTGCTGAAGCCTCACTACATCACCATGTCCAAGTACTTGTTGGTGTTTCTCAAGAAGAAAGATGTGAAATTCCAGCAGCTTGGCATCGCCACCATATTCAACCTCAAGAAAGGTTTGTTGTGGATTTGTTTGTTTAGCAACCGAAGGAGCTGGAGGCAGTTTTTTTTTTTCTTTATCAGACTAGATGTCCCTGAGCAAATTGGAAATAATCATTCATTGTAATTGAGCGTGCTTTGTGCTGCAGATGGAGACTTTTCATCACTGGTGGCTAACAGCGAGCTGGAGGTTGAGCTCTGGAAGGTACATACGCAGACGGAGGAAACCAGACAGCTGCTGCAAATGATTCAGCCTCTTTCTCCGTGTTCTGTTAACCCTGAACTCTCACAGAACAAATGGTGAGAGATGTGCACTGTGTGGACTGTATAAGCTGATGCACTGAATACGAATAGCATTTTTATATTGTGTTTTACTGTGCTAATTTTATATCCTTTTTATATTTACGGTTGACAAAATTAACTGAAAAACAGCAGAGATGTGGCATAGTATCAACTTTAATCAAATATGGCATATATTTCGACTGTTCAACAGGTTAACATGTGATAGTCATAAGCAATACTTCAACTATAAGATCAAATATTGATGATCGGATACATTTGTTTTTTTTTACGCTTTTATTATAATAAACTCACCTAACCTCTACGCTTCAGACTCTGCTTTGGAAAGTGATAGTGCGCAATAATAAACAAAGCAACAGTCAGTGCAAGAAACGCTTTGTGCATCGTATCGTCTAAAACAACACAAAACTGAAGCAGAGTCTTTGGGAACTGTGTTCCTTTAGCAGCTTTGAAATACATGATTGCTATACTTTACAAAATTCAAGGATAAGATAGGAATGCAGGAAGTCTTCTCTCACTAACACGCTTGTGTTCTTAGCGCAAACTGCAAACTTGAGCTATTCTAATTCCACAGTGACAAAACTGAGGAAGGAAAAAGTGCTTTGATAGCAAGAAATATCAGGAATAAGCAAAAAGCATCTGACATGTCGTGATTGTTAGAATGGCTATTCCTAGTATTTCACAGAGGCAACACTCTCCATAACTGATACACCGCATTTGCCAGCAAACTATCAGCACCGTCTACATCTACTGTTTTTTTTTTTTTGTTTGTTTTTGTTTTTTTTCTATAGTCATTATTAGATCAGAAACCTGCTGTACTGAAGAAATTATTATGTAACTTGCTTAATATTTGTGCCACTAGTTACACACAGAAGAGTGACCAAATGCTGACGTCCTCGCTGGGAGGAAAGGCTGTAATTTTACATGCTCTTTCAAGGTGCTGAAGGGTAGCGAGATGGCTGTGCTGCAGTGATTCCTGTGTTTCACGGAGAAATCACAGCTCTCCAACAAAGCTTCTGCGTGTGTGCCCACTCTGCAGGTGCTCAGATGACCTCTAAACAATGCAAAACAGAGAGATAAAACAGACATTAACATTTGTCTAAGAGATGAACAAATCATCGGTAATTCATTGTGGCTTGACAGAGGCATCCCCAGGATAGGAAACTTATTCAACAAGTTGAATACTGTTTTAAAACTCACATCTTTTTTTTTTCCTTGTTTACAAGCTGTGATTTTTTATGTGTTGGTTTCCAGGCTGACGCAAGACAGTCTGCCCGCTCATGTTACTGCTGATTATCAGTCATGAATGAATGAATGATCCTCACTGTGTGGGTTGTAAATGACAAATGATGGCTACCCAAAGCTGAAAGTAGTGGTTGGTTAAGATGTCCCACCCTGAGGCCTGAGTGTTTCCAAGTATTTCTCACCTGCTCGTTGGTGTGTCTGGATTTCCTCCAGGCCGGTGAGCGTTCTGAGAGACCTGCGTTCTTTGAAGGCCACAACAGGTACCATGTCCTCCTCGTTGTTCAGCCCCAGCTGTGTGGTTTTGGTCCCCACAGGGAGCTTGATGGCATCTTTTATGGTTCCATTGTGCACAGGCACTGTGTTTTCCTTTGGTTGGGCTTCATTTGGCAGGATCCTCGTCGGTACAGATTTCTGAGATTTAAAAAAAGGATTTTTTTTTTTTTTACCATTTTAGTCAAGGACAAGCTGTTTTGAAAGAGCAGCTGGTTAGCTGAATGCTGAATGTGCGTCACAAGAGACCCGGGGCAGCGGACTTCAAAAACAGAACACTAAAACTCACCGTATCTGGAGAATCTGTCCTTCTGGTTCTCCGCATGATCTCCTCAAGTCGCTGGAAAAGAAAACTGCTTTTATTGAAAACCCTTGAACAGGAAAACATGCACGGTCTTAAACAGGGACAAAACTTTTTGGTAGCACGACTTTTAATGAACACAGATAATGAATATAGACAGAAATGGTCATCTCTTGTCAAACCTTTTTTCTGACTTGGCGCTCTGCCTCCTCTTTCTGTGCGAGGATCTCTCGTTCTTGCTTAAGCTGCTCTGCTCGTGCTTGCTCTTTAGCCAGCTCCTCCTCTCTCTGCACACAAGAACATTGAATGCAAACATCAACATGAAAAGAAAGACACATTTACATTTTACAAATCACACATCTGGTTCCTTCCTTGCACCCTCACGACAGAAGAAGTGTTTGTATTTCCCACCTGTTTCTGCAGGAGGGCGGCTTCCCTCATCGCCTGAGCTCTCTCTTCCTCAGCTCGTCTCTGCTCCTCTTCCTCCCTCCTCTTCTTCTCCTCGATGAGTTGCTGAGCCTCGGCCTGCTGTCGCGCTCGCTCCTCTGCCCTCCTGCGCTCCAGTTCCTCACGGCTCCGCCTGGACATAAATTGCAGCACAGCGGTCTTAACGGCCTGCCGGCGCAGTATTTTTCTGTCTCGTTGCTGGGATGTGCTTCTTTACCTCTCGGCCTCCTCCCTCTGCAGACGCTCCTGCTCCTCTTTCTCCCTCTGCAGCCGGGCCTCCCTCCTCTTTTCAGCCAGGAGACGCGAGGCCTCCTCTGGGTTTGTGGTCCCGGCTGAAGGCCTGGACGTGACTTCTGGAGGTTGTGGAGCTGAATTAGGAGGCATTTTGGAAGGACCTAAAGAGAAATATTATCAACTCCAATATAGGTCTGAAGCACTTTTAACACACTTTTTGTTCTTAACACTTCTCTAGCTTACTTCCGTCTCCCGATGTTCTGGTTAAAGCCTCCTTCTCTGTGCCAGGCAGGTTTGAACATGACGTCTCTGGTGTATTTTCCACCCTCATTTTCTCTTGCTGACCTTCATCTGATGTCCTGACAGGCCTTGAGTTACCAGGAGAGAGGGCAGAGCTGCAAACAGCAACATCTTCCTCAGGGACGGACGGGAGCTCGAGCTGCAGCGGGGTTGAATGTCTGCTGATTGATCTTCGGGCGGTCCTTTAACATCCAGCGGAAGAGAGCAGATGTCCCACTTTGTTCGCATTACTGTCACTGTATCATGAATGTACAGCGGAGGTCTTTTCTACCTACCGTTCTGGCGAGGGGGAGGCTGTTCTGCTTTGTGTGGCCGTGGCTGGTTTCACCCTCGTGTTGGCAGCAGCTGATCGAATGTTTGAGCCGCCGTTGGAGTTCTTCTTTACGGCGTCTTGCTGTCTTGCTGCTTTGATCTAAATCAAAAGGAAAAAGGGTGATTTAAGAAGTTAAAGCAGAAAAAAGAGACATCTGTGTGAATGTAAAAACAATACCTGATGTTAACACTGATGTTTAGCAAGAAAACATTAATGAAAAACCACAGCTGGATTTACCTGCGCCAGGTTGATGCTTCTGTGCTGGCTGTTGCTGGGGGAGGCAGATGCCCTGTGGACTGAACCGGAGTGGTGCTGCTGGGGTTTGTGAGGGGTGGTGGTGGTGGTGGTGGTGGTGGTGTTCATAGAGTGGAATGAAACTGCACGGCGACAAACATGGACAACTGAGCCAGTGTTTCGTGCCATAATTATGGGAAATTGGAGAAATATGCACAAATGACAGGAAAAGGATGGAAATATGAAGCAGCACGTCAACAGAAGAGGAAGTGGATTAGTGACCACAGCGGCTGGAAGACTTGTAGCAACAGCAGTGTCAGAATATTATTTAAAACAAGTAGTTGTGTTATCATGGGAGAGAGAGTACCTTCTTCTCCTGACTGACAACCAGCACTCTTGCTCCTGGCCAGATAAGAGCATGTGGGCGTAAGCAGACGACTGACCAGATTCTTCTCCCATGTTGTCAGTGGCAAGCGACGTGGAACTAGCGTATTGATCAGTATAAAGTTTTAAGTGCAGCAAAAACAGAAGATAAGGCATGCCAAGAATCGTTAGGACAAGTTAGACAGAGAACAAACACTGGAGTTTAGAGAGATTATGTTAGAAGACATGACGAACAGAAAGCGCATTCGTCTCTGGTACCATTTTTGGTGAGTTTCCTTCCTCTTGAGTTTTGACTGAAGTTCTGTTGGGCCCTTTGGCTCTTCTCCAGCGTCTTGCGCACTGCAGATTCATGTCGCTCCTTAATTCAGAAAACACACTGTTGACTCAGTCCGCTCACAGAGGCCTGGCTGGAAGTAACAGTTTTGATTTCCACCATCAACACTCACTTTCTCCTCCTTCAGCCTCTGCTTGCGCTTCTCCTCCACGGCAGCTCGCCTCCTCTCCTCTCTGATCCGCTGCTCCAGGAGTTTCTTCTTGCGCTCCTGCAGTTGTTGTTCATAGTAGCGCCTGGCCCGCTGTTCCCGCTCCAACCTGTTCAGTTCCCGAGAGGCTGGATGAAGGATGAATGAACCGGTATAAATAGATTTATATGTATGTTAGTATCATTAGAAATCGAGGACGTCGTGCAAGCAGTGAATTGTGCCACCATAGGAGCTCACATACCAAGCAACCGCTGGTGCTCCTCTCTTCGTTCTCGAGCCGCCTTCAGCCTCTCATCGATATTTTGCCCATTGGCTGCTAAAATACCAGGACAAGAGCTTATAGTACATGACTTAATTCCTATAAATGGCATCAAGTAATGCTTTTAATTATATTAAAACAGCAAAACCCAAATGAAAGTAGTCTGTAAAAGGAGGAGCACTTTAAAAATACGCCAGCTGTTTGGTGAAAGGCTGAGTGTGGCCTCAGGTGAACGGAGCACTTTGACAAACCTGCAGCGGCCCGAGGAGAAGCTGTGTTGCAGATTTGGGCAGACTTGTTGACGGAAGAGGCGGTTTTCTTTGTCTGTGAATTTGGTTTGACAGAAGAGCCATTCTCTGCAAATGAGGGAGGGGGAAAAAATCTGCATGTTATTCAGAGAAAAAGAGCAAATGACCTTTTAAAAGAATTATTTTTTAGCAACACTTAAAATCCTCCTGATATTTTTCCTCCAAATCTGTAAACAGACATGAGATTGTAAATTGATTTCTTTTAGTACAACAAATGATGTGGCTGTTGTATGAAAGCCCAAAAACTCATCAGCTGTCCCAAACAGTGGCTGTTATGGCCTGGGTGGCCTTAGGGTCAGCTCACAAATAAAAGAACCATTATTAAATGCCTGCGTATGAAAGGCGAAGAGAACATGCGAGCACCTGACCAGTCCACATGAATCTGACTGAAACAAGCAAGAAAAAAAAAGGCCGAGCCAGAAAGGCAGCACACAGGACTGATTAACATAAATGTACGAGAAAACAAAATCACATGTCCCATTAGGGTTAACCAACAACAAGATGCTGCTTATTCCATGTGAATTATGTAATCTGTGCTCACAAATGTCACATGATTTCCTCGTCTTGGTGTGCGATTGCAGGAGACTTCTCACAGGACATGTATCCATATGATTTATTCACACATCATCACTGTGATCAGATGAGCTCGTATATGTGATCTACAGTCATTCAAGGCTTGTTTTGATCCGATAGCAAACAAATCCCTCCCAGAGAAAAGCACAGATAAAAGCTACTGACCTGTTCTGTTTCCCTTCCTCTGGCTCTGGATGGTACGTGTAGAAAGTGGTCCCTGCGATGGAGGGACGACACTCTGCTTCTTCTGCACAGCCATGCTAGGTATTGAGCCTGGCATACCAATGCTCTCACTCAAAAACCTCCTCCTTTCTCTCCTCCTCCTCCTCCTCTTTTGAATTTTCTATTTCAAGATGCCTTCGGGTCCTCGCTCCAGTGTGCTGTGCCGAGATCTGCCTCCTGCATCAGCTGCTTATCCATCTGCGCCCTTACAAATGAATAGAGAGAAAAGCAAGACAACAAAGCATCTCGTTATATCCCTGTGCAGCGGATTTTTTTTAAGGAAAGGTTATCCACACAGGCAATCTCCTCCAGTCTCCTTTAAGGTTATGGAGGTCTGGAGAGATTCTGAGCCTCATCTATAAAAAGGCTACTCCCCCTTTAAAGATCTCACCCTTGTGAGCTGCTCTGCTTTACTTTCACATAATATAGCTGTGTCACTTTAATTCCTCCACCACACTGCCTGCCTCATAGATGGAGGCAGCCAGAGAGATGCAGCGTTTCCTGGAAACAGGGAGAAAAAAAAAATGGAAGCAAAGCTGCAAGCCTGCCCTCATGAATAATTGCCTAGACAACGGGAGTCTAATGTTCGATGACATACAAGGCTAGGATGTTAACTCACTGTGATTAACTTGGTGTCCTCTACAGAGGAGAGAAAAATGTTTTTTTCACCCATGATTCCTCCACGATGGGGAAACAGTCTAACCACTAGATGGAGGTCTTCCTTCAGTCACAGCTGCTACTCAAAAGATTCAGCTACAGTCACATAAATTGAGTTTCTAACACAAATGCAATGTTTTGGTTTGTTTTCATGCACAAATGCTGCATCAAAATGACCTAATTCATTACTTACATTTCATCTGTTTATTCCCAAGTATAGTAACTACGATGTGTGATTGATCAGATACCAACCACTCAGCCACATTACGTTGCAGCATTGATCTATTTTGACTGAAGTAGCCGGCCAACAGTCAGAACGGTACAGCAACTTCCATCCATAGACAAAAAGTAGCACAAACACTCTGCCTGGAAAATGCAAAACGTATAGTAGTATATGTATTAATTTTGGGATATATTACTTCACTTAAATGTTTGAGCTTCAGTGTGCAGAATAACATGTGCAGCATTTTGCACTGGATCACTGCTTTCCAATTAAGGTAAGAAACTGCCTTTTTTATGCACTGGTTGCTTTTACATTTTGAGCTATTTCTCTTTCATAAAATGTCAAAAAGAAATGTACATTTAGGGGTTATTTTATTTATTTATTTTATTTGTTTAAATTGCATGGACTGAACAATAAGTCATTAAAAAAGTCAGATTCTCTAATATTGATAAACCAGGTTGCTGTGCAATTTTTATATGATGGTATAAGTCAGATTTGCCCAAGTTTTTCTGTTAAATAATTGACATATTAATAAATACATAATCAATCCTCAGTCCTATAAATGAATGAATTTTCTGCTGCACAAATGTATTTAAACAATCAGTCACACCTGCAAAATGATCATTTAAAGAACACAGTGATGTTCAAGATTATACCAGCTCATGTCTGCTCAGCAGCTTCTTAGAGTTTCTATCACACAATAAAATGTAATTAAAATAAGAGTCAGATTAGCTGGACAAACCATAAGAGGTGATTTTCCACTTATGTACCTTATAGTTAGCCACAATCTAAAGCACTATAGAATGTAGCATTAATGCTAGTAATGCTAACTTGTTTTCCATCATGCTAATGAAAACACATAGGACAGCTAAAATAAATGACATTGTTTAATGCAAGGCTTTTTCTATTGTTGTTTATGACTTGGCTTTTTCTCTAATGCTATCAGCAAAAGTGTAACCAATTTCTGAACATGTTTGCAGCAAAATTGCTTCAGTGTATGTTAACAGTTAGCATTTGGAGGAGAGAAGCGGCTAGTGCTAACTGTAGCGAATAGGAGCTAGCTGGAGCTAACAGAAGCTAACAAGACCCAAGTGTCGGTACAAAAAGCCGAAAAGTCATTAGGAGCTAACAGAAGCTATCTGGAGCTTAAACGAACTAACTGAAGCTAATCGGTGCTAAATGTAGGTAACAAAGCTAAGAGGAGCCAAAGAGACTCAAATAAAAGAAGAGAAGCTAGCAAGAGCCAGCAGGAGCTAACAGGAAGTAAGGAGAGGTGATTTGTTATACATATGTATATGGTACACACATATGGGTGTTAAAGGGAGGTAACAAAGCTAATAGGAGCTAAAAAAAAAAAGATGCTAACAAGAGCCAGCAGAAGCTAACTGGAAGTAAGGAGAGGTGATAGGTGCTAAAGGGAGGTAACAAAGCTAATAGCGGCTAAAAAAAGATGCTAACAAGAGCCAGCAGGAGCTAACAGAGGCACTAGATTTAGCTTGAGTTAGAAAGCCTATCTGTGTAAGGTATTCTAGAAAAATAAGAGCAAATTGAGGTTAGAGGTGAAACAACTTGGCTGAAACTGCCTGACTATTTAATTTCACAGCCATAGACTGTATGTAAAATGTTTTGTAACAGTCTGTTTGGCCACCAGGTGACACTTCATTGCTGCTGCTACAACAGGTGATCATGGTTAGCAGGGCTCTGGGTGTCCTCTCCCAGGAAATGTTAGAGTATTCTGGTGAATTTTTCTGCACCATTCTTTTTTCTGCATTAGTTAATGGTGTAATTGTCTTTGTTAGTGCAACAGAAAACACAGAATGCAAGTGAGGATTTAAAAACACAGTTAAAAAAAACAATAATGCAGTAAGGCTCTCAGGCATTCTGTCCTACCTTTCAGTATTAATACTCTTTCAGATTAAATTTCCTCATTTATTGTTATCTTTGCTGATTCAACACACATACGGGCATGATTCACTCCTCTGTCCTTTATTGTGTCTTTTGTTTGGGGAAGTAACCTTGTTAAATATGCATGTGGCACCTATTCACGTCAACGATACATGAATTAATTTAAATTGATTGATGAACTCCTAGATTTTAATAGTTTATATGCGTTTGAAAGAGATTCTCATGTTCAAAACTTTCTGCACATTTCTCTTGCACCTTCCAAGGAACTTACACTAATTATCTCTAGGTCTATCAGGTTTATTTAGACAAACTTTATTGGAATCGTTTGAAACCGACATAACCATGTTCGCCAGCATGAGTGAAACAAACTGGGTGAAGATAGTGTCGATCTACGTAAGGAGTTTGAGCACACAAATATGCTAATCCATCTTTTGTTTGTCTGTTATAGTACCATAGGTTTTACTGAGTGCACATTTCAAACAGTACAACTAATAAACTAGTACAACGTAGATACTGATTAATTGTTTTTAATTTTCTTGGGTCACTTGAGGTCACGTCTACCTGGGCCCTACGTGCTCGCTGGCTAGCGAACGTCCCCCTTGACACTACCTAACAACAAAGCGCTCTGGCTGTGTTTCACCGGTGACGCTTGCCAAGCTCCTCCATCCAAATGTGCCATACTGATACACTACACCGCAGTCAGGTGGTGTGCCCACGGAGTCACTGGAGCACAAATAAGATGTTGATAAGCAGTCTACAACCAACAGCCAAAAAAGGCCTGTGGATACTGAGCCCACACGGGATAAGATTGCATGGTTGGTATCAAGTCATTCTTTGGTTCACCCTAGACGACATTGTCAAAGGTGTCGGTTTAAGGGCTTGGTTGCTCTCTCATGCATATTCATAAGTGTTACCTAAATATTCATCCATAATACAAATAATTTCTCTTTTTTATTTTACATACTTGAGATTTTAAGCTGTTGTTTTGTGTATTCTCAGTAGAGAAACTCAAATGTAAAGGACTGTTGCGTAGAATTGCCTTGTAATGCGTTTTGCTCTTTATCAAACCAGAAAAAACATCCCATGGCGCTTTGGTTTGGTGGCCGATGTCGACTTCAGTGCTTAAAGCTGAGTCTGATGACAACACCCATCAGAGAAGGAAGGTTAGTATATTAGGCTACAGGGGCAACTGGTAACTTTGCACGATTGGTGACATGGTTACCGGCTATCCTGGAGGAAGTAGGACATCTCCTCAACCCCTCTTAGCTGGTATTGAATCATGTAATTAACAGCAGAATCCCTCAACAGAGCGGCCAGGTCGGTGTCACCGAGACCGTCGTGCGCTTCCAAACGAGCAGGCGGCAAAAAGATAAAACCTTTTTTTTGCACGAGAGCAATAAAGCAGTTGCAAGAAATGAATCTCACAGTTTTGTTTGATAAACAGTAATCAAATATTGGTTCATACATGTATCCTTGAACGTAATCTACTCTCTTTTCCGTGTGTGCATAAAACATAAAGACACTTTCCCAATCTGAGAACACATTTTCCTGCCATTCCCTCTGTGCAAAATCTATTTCTTTTGTTGTGAACGGCGATGCCTTCTCATAATGAGGATGCCACATGCAACACTGACTGGGCCGCCTAAATAATTTAGAGCCTTGTTTCATCGGATACCAGCAACTTTAGACTTAGACGTATGGCTTACAGACTGACAGTATGTGTAATTGATGAGACGATGAGTTGTACTTTAGCATTCAATAGGAGCTGCATTGAATAGAAGTTGCTAAACCATGTCTCGGGTCAACAAAATAATGCGTCTTATCAATGCCTTAAACACAGCGTTTGATCCCTTCATGCAGGGATGCATCCCACCATGTTTTTTTCATTTGAGCCTTAATCTTTTAAGTAAATGTCTTTATTCTAACAAGATACATAGTACTCATGTGACCCAAAATGTAGATATATTTTTAAATCATAACTTGAATGAATTTGTGATTTGACGCCGTTTGTTGATTCACTGACAGAACACAGTGTGTCTGCCTCGAGGCCCAGTTTGGAGCAGCATCCTGTTAATGATTAAAAGGGAGTATTCTTCCAACTAGGCTGGGTGGACTTTTTGTTTACTTCCATGAAATTCTATCACTGGTGACATGACGATATATTGATTACCTCGTGCACAATTGGAAGCTTTGTTTTGTGTCGATGCTACTTTTACCAAAGGATGAACTGTGAAAACCTTTTAGTGTACAAGGAAAACGTTGATTTATGTCTTTGTCTTTATCTTGTGGCACACCAGAAAACTTTTATCTAGTAGCTTGTGTATACTCTTTTTATCAGTTAGCAGGAGTGTTTTCGAGCTGTATTATAATTGGATTGCTAGATGGCCTGAATACAAGCTGACGGTTTGCTTTTTAGCAACATTTTGGCTCTTAAAAAAATGCTTAATCCATATATTCTTTTGTGTTCAGAGCCTCTGTGGATTGGCAGACTCCGCTCACGGTGACGTCTCTCAGCAGTCCCTAGTTATAGTTACCAGTCTCGGGTTCAACACTCATGCACTATTCATCGGTGTATCACATCACTCCAGCCCAACTTCGGACTTGGACAAACCCAATTCTTTTCTGTGCAACTTGACTTTGTGGCCTCATACCTAGAGCTGCGTAAAAGTCTAAAATGTTTATGTAGAGTTTCTTCCATTGTCAGAGAGAAAAGAGAAACGTTTGAGGAGTGTTTTCCTCGAAAGGAAACCTCGTGGAGCTACTTGGAGGAGGGAGACAAGAGAATCCTTTTTCTTGTATGGTACGTACAATCAGGTTATTTGAATTCCTCAGCAACACTCAGATCAGCAGAGAAATGTTGTTGTTTAGGCCTCAGTGTTTTGCAGACTAGTTGAAAGACTTTACTCGAGGAGGGATTTTAATGACTAGTACTTCTTGTTTGGGCAGAATTTCTTTCCTTTTTTGGATACTGCAAACATATTCTAGTTCTTTTGCAGTTGTTTGTAATTGCACAAGTTATTCTAAACTTTCTGAAAAAGTTTTTCCATGCAACATGCAGCTTATAAGAGTGTTTGATCATTTTTCTGAGAGAATGTGGTTTTAAATATTATGTTTTGTTAAAAAATAAGTGGTTGGCTTTGCTTTGACTGTATAATGCAACTCTGAAAATGTGCAGAAACTCTTTTTAACATGCAGGAGAAAAGCAGCAGCTCCTCATGAAGGGCTATTAGATGCCAACACTGGAAATAATTTGCATATTTGATCATGCCAAATTTTTTTTAGGTTGAACTGTAAACCCACAAAGAAATGCTCTTTGCAGATTAATTTCTGCAGATTCATTAATTTAAGTGCATTATTTTTCACAATGTGCGTGCAATGTATCCTCTTTAATTGATGTATTAAGGTCAGCCAATTTAAATAATTGAAAGGCCCTTTTAAAGGCTAAACCAGGGTGTGGTAGCACACTGACACCTCTCTTAAAATGATACTGTATGTGCTCTACTGTACTTCTGTCCTGACACTTTCTGTCATGAGTTGTTTCCTAAGTCATATGTTTTGGTATGCATTACATGATGTAAACGCTCTTAATAATTTAGCCTTTTTTCCAGTCGTCTCATTTCTGGACGGACAATTAGCTTCCCTCTGTCTGCAACACATGTAAGCGTCGTGTCACGGTTTAGTCTTGCGGTTTTGCGGTTTTGTTTTTTTATGAGCAACATGTTTTGGAAAAGGCGTTTTAGCTGCAGAACATGCAACAAATGAGATTTACATGCACAACAAAAATGTGTTAACTTCTTTGGTTTTTAATGAAGTCAAAGTAGCTGGTAATATTGACTATATATTACCAATTTTTGCAAACATCTTGCTTATGAAATAGTAAATTACTCTTCAATTTCTTTCACAGAGCACACAAAGAGTTGTTTTGAACCATGAAGCGCAGTAAGCACCGTGGACACAAGGAGGACAGAAATGGAGGTACCAGCTAAGATGGATGATTAGGATGAAGCCAAAGAGACTCTTTGCTGATGTTGCTGCTCCTACTACATCCCACCTGAAAACATTTTGGCAAACTAATGTGCCAAAGATTTTCTCTGAATTTACTGTTATCCTGAAAAACACAAGTGCAGCGGCCACTTTTTATACTTTGATCTTTTGTTGTGTAGTAGCTATTTGGGAATTTTACTTGTCAGTCCTGCAGTAAATTAAAATGCATTACAAATATTGCACCTTTAATTCTCTTTTTAACTGCTTTATCATGCATCGTCTCTGTCTGCTATGCAAATTTATATAGTCTTGTCCCATAAAACACACTATTTTACAAGAAGGGGAGGTACGATGCTAGAATATGCTAAGTTTTTAGTGCCATACATTTCTAATTTTGGTACCGTTTGTCCTGATTGTGGCCTTTTATATGATCTTCAGATGAGCCAGCCATCTTGGAGACAGAGAACCTGGATCGTCAGGGCATGTTCATGGGAGGAGGCCCTGACCCTGACACCATCTCACTGGCCTCAGTCACAGCTGTCACCACCAATGTGTCTAATAAGAGGCAAGCGTGGTTCTGCTGCACCTGAGACATTTATATCACTAACTATGCGCGTTTGTCTAAAGATTCACACTGATTTCTGACTCCTCACAGATCAAAGCCAGACATCAAGATGGAGCCCAGTTCTGGAAGACCAGTAGATTACCAAGTAAGGGAAAGAGTGTATTCATGTTATTGCACTGGATGCGGTGATGTCAGTTAATCAGGGAGCCTCTCCGTCAATCACTTCACTCTTTAATTTCAGGTGAGTGTGACAGTGATTGAAGCCAGACAGCTGATTGGACTCAACATGGATCCAATGGTCTGCGTCGAGATCGGAGAAGATAAAAAGTACACCTCAATGAAGGAATCAACCAACTGCCCGTACTACAACGAAGTGAGTTACAACATATGTTGAGAAAACGCTCACTATATGTCTAAAAACAAGACTTGTACCAACAATATCGTCAAACTCTTTTCTCTTTTCTAGTATTTCGTGTTCGACTTCCACGTCCCTCCAGATGTTATGTTTGACAAAATCCTGAAATTGTCTGTAAGTTCTTAACCTAAAACTGATTGAGATCACCTCCTTGTTTGCCAGAAGATAAATGTGATTAATGTTTTAGTGTTTTTATTTCCCTGATCTAGGTTATCCACTCCAAAAATCTTCTGCGTAGTGGAACCCTGGTTGGAACTTTCAAACTGGATGTTGGCACCATCTACTCCCAGCCAGGTGAAAAAAAAGAAGAAATTCAGCCTTGTTATCACTCTATATAAACGACACTGATACATCAATTCATATTTCTTTTCTTGTTTTGCAGAACATCAGTTTTACCACAAATGGGCCCTGTTGTCCGACCCAGAAGACATCACAGCCGGATGTAAAGGCTACATTAAGTGTGATGTTGCAGTTGTGGCTAAAGGAGACACTATAAAAACTCCACACAAGGCCAATGAATCTGACGAAGACGACATCGAGGGGTAACTACAACTTGTTAATCCTTTGAAATTTCAATTTAAACCTAATGCAGAAAACTTAATGAAAACATTGTGTTTCAGCAATCTGCTATTACCAGAGGGAGTCCCTGCAGAGCGACAGTGGGCTCGTTATTACCTGAAGATCTACAGAGCTGAAGGACTCCCCAGAATGAACACCAGCATCATGGCTAATGTAAAAAAGGCCTTCATAGGGGAAAATAAGGACCTGGTGGATCCTTATGTCCAAGTACTGTTTGCTGGGCAGAAGGTGAGTGTTAACAAATATTCGCTGACGTTTGTTCTTTTCAGCTACATACATAAAATTATGTGATTTATGGTTGATTTCAGGGGAAAACATCAGTTCAGAAGAGCTGCTACGAGCCCATTTGGAACGAGCAGGTTGTCTTCACGGAGATGTTTCCGCCGCTCTGCAGACGCATGAAGATCCAGATCCGCGACTCGGACAAAGTGAATGATGTCGCTATAGGAACACACTTTTTAGACCTGCGGAAGATTTCCAATGATGGAGATAAAGGTGACTTATCATTTACTTTTTAATGACTTGTATGAATCTCCTAAACGTCTCTATCCTGAAAACATTGTTTGACCACTACAGTAGCTAGGTTTCAGTAACATTAATAATACAAGGCTGCATCCTCCATATTAGCAACAGCTACTCCTCTGTACAATGACACAATTGTAACTGTATTAGTAGTCACAACACTGTATACTTGTACTTTTATTCTCCTTGTACAATATCCATTCTTACATTTTATGCTCAGGCTTTTGTACCTATGTTTATATTTTTGTGACATTTGTCTGCTCATGTTTAGGACTTTGAATGGGAGCAACTGTAACATAACATAACATAACATAACATAACATAACATAACATAACATAACATAACATAACATAACATTTCAAGTATTTCTGATTCTGAGTCTGATGACAAATTTAATTCCAGAACATTCCCTTTTGTTATAGGATCAATTTAACAACAATTAAGACAGAGGCTAATCTATTATTCTATCTATTAGGCACCTTTCCTTCTTTTATCTGCACATTTCCACATGCAAACCACTTTATTCTTTATTTCTCAGGCTTCCTTCCCACGCTGGGACCTGCCTGGGTGAACATGTACGGCTCCACTCGTACCTACACCTTGATGGACGAGTACCAGGAGCTCAACGAAGGCCTCGGCGAAGGGGTGTCCTTCAGGGCCCGCCTGCTCATCAGCCTGGGTGTGGAGATCCTGGACCCCTCTTCACCTGAAATAACCAGCTCCACGGAGGTGCAGCTGGAGGGAGTGCCCAACATCTCAGAGGTGGGTCCCTGCCTGGATGGGCAGCCATGCAGAGGATGGCAATTGTTGCTCCCACTAACAGGTCATTGTGCGTCAGTTATTGTGAATTATTGATAGTCTGTATTTAGCCCCCCTGGTGCATTATTAATAGCTGTTTGCATTAATGTGACTTCTTCTTGTTGGGGAACAATGTAAGTCACGCTGCAAATTCAACTGAGCACTGCGGCAACCGATTCAAGTGATAGCTGTTAATATTTGATGGCTTCAAGTGCTTTGAAGTTTTTTGTCTGTTATTTCACCGATAAAAGTGAGTGACAGCAGGTTTCACTTACATTCAGACACTGACAATGTGTGTGTGTGTGTTTTTTTTTTAACAGACCGCCACAGGGAAGGTCGAGGAGTTTTTCCTCTTCGGGTCTTTCCTGGAGGCCACGATGGTCGACAGAAAGATTGGTGACAAGCCCATCAACTTTGAGGTCACCATAGGTATTTTCCATCACCTAATTTTCTTAGTATTTTTAAACGGAATTTGGTGAGAATTAAAAATGCCTAATGCTAAACTGGAATTCTGTAAGAGTGAAGAGTTCCAACATGTAAAAGTTGCATAAGACAGTTTCAGGAGTTCGCATAATTTACTGTATTAACATTCTAGCTTTATCGCTGCATGAAATATGAAAACAAACAGTAATGAACCAAGTATTTAAATAAATATTCCTAATTATTAGATGTGCAGCAAGTGCAGCATCATTTATGCTCTGACTCCTAACTGCTGTTGCCAGGTTACTATGGAAACGAGATCGATGGAATTATCAAACCAAAGACGAAGGGGAAGAAAGGCGACGGCGATGAGGAGGAAACTGAGCTGATCCACAACGACAGCGACGAGGAGGTGGACGATGACGGAGATCTGGCTTCAGTGGCGACAACTCCGCCCATGAAACCTGTCATCACCGACCGGTCAGAGGAATAATGTCACCAGATAAGCAGATAGTGGGAACAAATAAATGCTGAAGACAAAAGATGAATGCATTATAGTTGCACTTTGAACCACTGAATTTGAAAAATCTTTTCCTAGACAGTCAACTAAGTAGTTTAATAAGTTGGAATTATTGTCTTCAGCCAGCACTGCTAGTTGATATTTAATTGTAATTCTCATTTTATTTCATTTTCCACAGAAACTACTTCCATCTGCCGTATTTTGAGAGGAAGCCGTGTATTTACATCAAGAGTTGGTGGCAGGATCAGAGGAGGAGGCTGTACAACGCCAACATTATAGACAACATTGCTGACAAGCTGGCAAGTCATATTCTTTTTTTACTTTCTAAGTGAGTTTCAGATGGTACAAAGATAATACTCGAGTTAAAATCATTGTGTGCAATTGCTTTTACAGGAGGATGGACTGAATGATGTGCAAGAGATCATCAAGACAGAGAAGGCCTATCCTGAGCGCCGGCTCAGAGGAGTCCTGGAGGAGCTCAGCCAAGGATGCAGGTCTGTACTTACAAACTTCAGCCACACATTGGAGAAAAAAAAGCTGTTTAAAACACTGAGACTTCTTGATAAATTAAAATATCCACACTGACCGAGCTCCAATTCTTTCAGTCAGTTTCTTTCGCTGGCAAACCAGGACCAGAATCAGTCGGGCAGAACCAAGCTGGACAGGGAGAGACTGAAGCTGTGCATGGCAGAAGTGGTATGTTGATTTTAAAACATAGCCAATTTCTTCCACTTTTTGGCCATAAATATTTGTACTCTGCTGCTAAATCCTGCATTTCTCTCTGGTTTTAGGAGAGCATAGGTCAGCAAGCTAAGGCCATGAGGTCACAGGTGAAAAAGAGCACAGTGAGAGACAAAATCAAGCTGGCTCAGAACTTCCTCACCAGGCTGCGCTTCCTGGCTGACGAAGTAAAACCCTCAACATGTGCAATTATTTACTGCATTTTCATGGTGTGTCGCAGTTTTTTAATGTTTAATACGAGCGTTCTTTTGTTATTTCAGCCTCAACACAGCGTTCCTGATGTTTACATTTGGATGATAAGTAACGGGAAGCGCATTGCTTACGCACGTGTCCCTTCCAAAGACATCCTTTACTCCAGCATAGATGAGGAGAGAGGAAAGGACTGCGGCAAAGTCAAAACTATCTTTCTCAGGGTGAGTTTGCACCGAATAATCAGGAAGTAGTTAATGTACTCCAGAGTGGTGGTATATTTACTTATATGCTGGACTGAAATATGAATTTGAGGTTTAGCACTTTACTTGCTTCCATACTTTATAATTCAGTTCCATTGTAGTTCAGAGGCAAATATTGTTCGTTTTACTCAACTATATTTATATTATAACTTTAGTTACTCGGCAGATTAAGTTTAATAGTGCAAAATATAATCAAAAAATTAATTTTATGCAATATTATTGATTAAGAAAAACATTGTTCCTTGAGGGGAAATTCACAAACAGCATATTAATTATACAAGCATCTCTACCATAAAAGTGATGAGCACATCAATGCATCAGTGATTATAATCCAATAATATACATGACTTTGAAATATGCCATTCTACATACAGAACACTTTTAGTAGTAAGAGTTGTATACCTTTATGTAAGTAAAAATTTAATAGTACAAAAGTACTGATTATTTCTGCATTGAGGTGTTGCTACTGTTTCTTACATGCTTCTATCACCTTTACTCTTCTGTTATGCACTTACAGTTACTTATTGAGCTCCTGTCATTGTGTGTCACCATGTTGTTTTGTAGGAATAAAATTGTTTTTTCCCCTCCTGTTAAGATTCCCGGTAAGAAAGGCTTCGGGCCTGCCGGCTGGACGGTTCAGTCCAAGATTGAGATTTATCTGTGGCTCGGTCTGAACAAGCAGCGCAAGGACTACCTGAGCGGCCTGCCCAATGGATTCGAGGAAAACAAGTTGTCGAGAGGACCTGGACTGCCGTGTTCACCTCCCATCAGCCTCACATACATGAGTAAGATAATCAGCTTTTCTTACATGTTTATTTTACACACAAATAATAAAAAAGATATGCACAACTACATACCTTTTTTGTGTCAGATTTCTTTCAAGTGACAACTATTATGTTTTGTATTTAAAAATGTCTTTAAATGCACACCACACTTTATACACTAACTGATTCCTTTATGAGCAAATTTGTCTCTGCAGTGAAGCAGATCTTCCAGCTGAGGGTCCACATGTATCAGGCCCGAAGCCTGTTTGCAGCTGACAGCACAGGTCTGTCTGACCCCTTTGCAAGAGTCTTCTTCTCAACACAAAGCCAAGTCACTGAGGTGGGCATCTCAAAAAGCTTTACAGGAGATCACCTGTCAGCTTAAAATATGATTTACCGTAAAGCAGTTTCTGGATCTTGTTAAATATTTTGTTTCCTTGCAGGTGCTGGCTGAGACTCTCTGTCCTACATGGGACCAGCTGCTGGTTTTCGAGAACGTGGAGCTGTTTGGAGAAGCCAGCGAACTGAGAGATGACCCCCCTATTATCGTCCTTGAAATCTATGATCAGGACACAGTGGTAAGGGTTGTTTTGGAACAGAGACTCCTGTCTGTTTCCATTTGTATTAATGCGAGCAAAAACTCCACCTTCACGCAGCTCGAGTTTCCGGATAACAGCTGCCTTATCGAGCTCCTTCATCTTTGTCAGCCTAATAATTTAACAGCATCTGTCTTTCACTTGAAATGTAAAACTAAACGTGTCACTTAAGGAGTTTTAAAGCAGCAAGTGATATGCTCTTAGTACTGTGTTGTACCATCACTTTTTATCTGTGAAATTAGATTTTATTTCTGTTTGTGTTAAATAGCAACCTGATAAGAATTATATTTGACAAAATATCTTTGCTGACTGATAATTTTACATTTGCTCCTGACAATAACACCATTGTTTTGGATGACGCTTTGGATAAGTAGAGTGTGGACTGGCTTGATGTACAGTAGCATCACTGTAATGTGTGCAGAGTATATTGTACTGAAAGGCATGCAAGAGGAATAAGATATGTCCTTAAGCCTGGACAGATGGACTCTCCTTGATCAACTTATCCCTGTTGCATTCCTTTACATTCAATTTTGTGCTTTTTTTTGTATGCGGCCAACAGGAATTTGGATTCTTTATAACCACTAACTGCAAGAAAGATTTATTTTTAATATAATCTTTATGACACTACATGAATACGTATCTGTTTTGCAGTTCACTGGTTATTTTAGGGATCTTGCTCTTTTATCTTCAGTGCTTTTAACTTAGTAGTCTGCTTCGAAACATGTGCATCTTGAGCCATGTTTCTTTCTGCTTATTGCATATATTATTGATTACATCATCAGCCTTCTTTAATTGCTTTCCAACAACGCCATAGTATTTTAACAGTATTATATTGATATCGTAGGCCAACAACGGGGGTTAAATTGGGCTGGAGCCCACCAGACCTCAGCCCTGTCTCTATTCGTACCACCGCATTACCAAGGAACAGACAAATCTTGAAATCTGCAGTCTCACACTAGATGTAGAAAGTTTCCTTAATGTGTTTGACTTCACTCAGTTGTAGCATCACCCAGCAGCAGGATTCATACCGTCTCCGCTCTGAGAGAGGGGCTGTGCACAGCAGTGGTAACTTCATTATTTACATCTTCTGACATGTTGTTGTGATTGTACGGAGTCTCATTACCTTAAATGCTTTTCTAGAAGCAATGAGATGAACAGTTTCTGCAGTGAAATCATTGATAACTAAATCAGTCCTGCTCAGGATGAACACAGTGTTTTGTTATTTCTTTTCTAGCAAAAGTTCAAATGTAGTTTTTTCTGTAGGATCACAATATTTCTGTTGAGAGATAGAATGTAATAATAAGAGTTTTTCAGTTTCGCTTCACTTTTGCTTCACAGAGGTGGAATTTTTCTTTGAAGCAACATCCAAATCACTAACAGATTGAGAAAATAGACTGCCTTTTTGCAATTAAAAATGAGAATTTTAGTGGTAAAAATGACTGTTTTTGTAGTTTTAATTTGAGATGTCTGACTCTGAAATTCTACCAATACAGTGGAGATAAATGGAATTTAGTTTTTACTTTTAAAAAATGACTTTAGAAAATTCAGCTGCAACATCTTTTTCCAACCACAGAGATGTTGTTACTCCACATAATCCACATCTAGCGACAGAACACAATCTGTGCAGTTTTCCTTGAACTGATTTCTACTAATGAAATCATTCCTATTTCTGCTGTCGCTAATATTGTCTGTGTGCCCTGAGCTCACTGGACAAAGGCTCCCCCTCCTCACAAATCCCAATTTAACCCCTGGCCGAAAGCACGGTTCTTTCAAACATTCAGACCAGATTTAATGTTTCACTGTGTGTCCGGTGCTTCCAGGGCAAAGCTGACTTCATGGGCAGAACCTTTGCTAAGCCCATAGTCAAGATGGCGGACGAACACTACGGTCCGCCACGTTTCCCCCCCCAGCTGGAGTACTATCAGATCTACCGAGGGAACTGCACCGCTGGGGAGATGCTGGCAGCCTTTGAACTGCTGCAGGTTAGTTTGTCCAAGTAGAGACACCATCCACCTGTGGGCTCAGCACTGCAGTTGTTTTATAGCTATCTGTCTTGTCTGTTAGATTGGTCCCAATGGAAAAGCTGACCTTCCTCCCATCGATGGTCCAACAGACATGGACCGCGGACCCATCCTGCCTGTGCCCCTGGGGATCAGACCAGTGCTCAGCAAGTACAGGATTGAGGTGAAGACGTCATATAAACTTTTACATGAACAGCTAAATTCAAGAAAATGCACTCAAGGAGATTAAAACACCAGCTGACATGTTGTTCCTTTAGGTGTTGTTCTGGGGCTTGAGGGACCTGAAGAGGGTGAACCTCGCTCAGGTGGATCGGCCTCGAGTGGACATCGAGTGCGCCGGAAAGGGAGTCCAGTCTGCCCTGATCCCCAACTACAGGAAAAACCCCAACTTCAGCGCTCTTGTCAAGTGGTTTGAAGTGGTACTGTGCTGTATTTCATCATTTAAATCACTCTGTTAATATCTACTTTAATCACCTGTTAGAAGTAAACTTGTAAGAGAAACTAACTCTAGATTTTGTGTGTCAAGGATTTGCCCGAGAATGAGCTGCTTCACCCACCGCTCAACATTCGAGTTGTGGACTGCAGAGCTTTTGGCCGCTACACTCTGGTTGGCTCTAACGCTGTCACCAGCCTGCGGAAGTTCATCTACAGGGGAGCAGACAAGCAGGCCAACAACTATTCCACCACAGGTATAATCTAGAGTCATCAGTCAGTAACTTGTATATGATGACCAGATGATCAGACGTTCACATGATGTGTTGATATTTCAGAGGAAATTGTTGTTGTCAGCCTGGAAACCGAGCCTTCTTTTAAGAAGATGGAAACTGTGGTCAAACTGGACTGTGTAAGTTTTACTTTCGGAATTTGATGAAAGCTTCTTTCAAAGACTTAGACCAGTGTCCATGTGGTGTTTTTGATATGCTTGAAAACACATCATGAGTGAAATAAGCAGCAAACACCATGGCTGAGCATTTCCACCTTAACACTGCAGTGTACTGATGACAGTCTCAGAAACATGGAATCACACTTGTGGGATTTCATACATAATATACAAAAAGGAACCGATATTGTCACTTCCCAGGATGAGGTTTCAACATTATTTTTCTTCAGAATTTGTTTCCAGCTCGAACATGTTTGGCTAAAAAACTCCCATATTTCAACGTGCCATTATGCAACACAGAGTACTTTTACAGTGTTTAAGCAGTGTTTTAGGTGAGCCGGAGTGCTCGAGCTGCAGCAAGAAACAGTGTAGAGTTACATCTATTGTATTTTATGGCACTAAGGGATTATTTTCATGGAAAAAAAATCACAAAGACGAGTTTTTAGGGGTTAAATAAACACCCAGAAAGAGACTCTAAGTGATTTTACAACAACTCCATGATTGAAACACTCAACTTTTCACTACAGAACTGCAATGAATGCCTAATTAATCAATTAATTACTAGCTATTTAATGAATCTGCAACTATTTTAATATTCAATGAATCAATTGTTTCTGCAATTTTTCAAGAAAATAGTCAGAATTCTCTGACTCAAGCATTTGAAACTTAAATATTTTCTGATTTCTGTTTTCCTGTGTGACAGTTCACAAGGTTAGGGACAAAACAAGATATCTGAGGATGTCATCTTTGGCCACGAGAAATCCAACTAGACTTTTTGTACATTTCGTTGATCTAACAATTACTTGAGTCATCAAGAAAAAAACTGATCGACATTGAAAGTCATAGATAGTGCAGATTACTAAGCTAAGAAATGCAGAGTAAACTGTCAAAGAGATAATGACTGTTCTGTCATATGATTTCACATCATAAACTCTGGTGTTGGTCCACAGGGCTCTGATGCTGTGGTCAAAGTTGAGGTAAGCAGAGCGCTGCTTTACAACTTATATATCAAGATTTCATGATGCAACTAGATATCTTTACTGACAAAGATCAAAAATTATGTTTGTTGCACGAAAAGGATGATGACAAGGACGGAAAGGGGAAAAAGAAGAAGAGAAAGAAGGGAGACGAGATGGAAGAGGAGGAACTTGACGAGAGCATGCTGGACTGGTGGTCCAAATATTTTGCCTCCATCGAGACTTTGACAGAAGTGAGTAACAGGACTCTTATTTTAATAAGCTGACTATGGTGATTGGGTGAAGTGAAGAGTGTTAAAGTATTTTTTTAAGCTCAGACATTAACTTGTTTTGGTCTTGATAAATACAGTTGAGAAATAAACTTCTACTCCTTCAGGCACTCAAGGCTCAAGAGGCAGCCCTGTCAGATTCAGAGGACAAAGAGGAAATGGACATTGCAGATGGTGGAGGTAAAACCAGATGAGATTCTACATTCTTTTCATCAGTTTCATATTATTTACTATGCTTTCATGTGCCTCTTTGTCAGCTTGAACCAAGTAGTATCCGTAGTAGTAGTATTCCTTAATAGCTGCTTTGTCAAGTATAAAATCTATGATGCCTAAAGTGTGACAAATTCCAAAATCAGGTAGACAAACTACTGAATTAGCTTTCTTTGACATACATTTCTTGAACTATCTAAATGTTCAGTCACTTCTAGTACTCAACTGCCACTTCTTAGTGCTAAAAAACCTTAAGTAAGCACAGTATTAGTTCTTATAGGACACATATTGTTGGGATGTTTTAAATTCATGCATGTTCATCTTTTACAAGCTCACTAACTCTGTTGTTTTCTTCTACAGTGCAGTAGTGAACCTCGTAGCCTTCGTAGCCCCGAGAATGCCTCCACGTAGATGCTGACATGAATCAAAAATTCAGTTTGTGGGACAACCGCTTTTTCTCTCCCATACATGCATATCCGTCGTATGCTGGCCATGAAAGTTGTCAATAACAATACAGACGATAAAAAAAAAAAAGCAAACACGGTGCAATTCGATGTCAGGATGAGCGTTAATTTTAGTGCTCTAAAGTATGTTTGATTCTGTGCTGTGCCAACCAGGCTGTACAGAATCTACTGTGTTTATATTCTGTATGTTAGCATGCAGTCGTAGCCTACACTGTGTTATGTTGGGGTACATGTACTTTGACATAACAAACAACAGCCAAGTTGTCAGCTTGTCTTTCCTGAGCTTTACAAAGTCTACACAGCTGCCTGCCTGGAGGATCCTAACGCACCACCAAGTATGCCCACTGAATTGTATACTCCGGTAGTATACAATTCAATGGTATGCTTGTTGTAAACAGTAAAAAGCTGGTTTTGGCAACTTTCATGTGGAATTCATGTCTCGAGTGCTCTGCTCCTTCGCTCCCCCACCTCCCCGCTCCCCCTTTCTTGCCCCCTTCCTCAATGCTAACCTGTACTCAGATATCAAACCTGATGAATCTCCTGTGAAAGGCTCCAAGAAAGGAAAAGGAAAGAAGAAGAGGCCGGCGGTCGACCCGTTTGAGAGGAAGAAGCCGAAGCTGGATGAGCTGAAGGTACCAGAGCAGCTTAAAGCACTTGTTGTAATAATTGGTTGTATGCGATAAAGATCATTCAAAACCAATTTTATGTTTTTATGTCTTTTCATGTGCTCAAATAAGGTGTATCCCAAAGAACTGGAAGCTGAATTTGACAACTTTGAGGACTGGCTGCACAGTTTTAACCTCTTCAGGGGGAAGGGTGGTGATGATGATGACCAAAATGTGACAGATGAGGACAGGATTGTTGGAAAATTCAAAGTAAGAAGGAAGAAATATACATGAGACGTTATATATTTGTACATAGCACAGTTGCGGCCATTTTTGCACTATACGCTTTGATTGTTTAACTGTGTCAATTTAGGGTTCGTTGTGCATGTACAAAGTGTCGGACGATATGCCCAGAGACATGAGCTTCGACTCCAACATGGGAATGTTTCAGAACATCCCTCACAACGATCCCATTAACATCCTCGTCCGCATCTACGTCATCCGGGTAAAACTCTGCACATTGCTGCATTATCATCTAGTAGATAACCTTAGATAGTGGTCAGACTCTGCAGGAGTTGTGATTCTCAACTCAACAGTGAACAGTTATGTTGTCTTTTTCTCAGGCAACTGACCTGCACCCAGCAGACATAAACGGGAAAGCCGACCCCTACATTGCTATCAGACTGGGAAAAACAGAGATCAAAGACAAAGAGAACTACATCTCTAAACAGCTGAACCCTTTGTTTGGGAAGTAAGTCCAAAAAAAAGTTGGATTTATACGACGTTTTTGGTGTTTTAAACATGATTAAAAACGTTAAAATCTCAATGTTTGTCAGATCTTTCGATGTGGAGGCCACGTTCCCGATGGATTCCACACTAACGGTGTCAATTTATGACTGGGACCTGGTGGGAACCGATGATCTGATTGGAGAAACCAAACTTGATCTGGAGAATCGCTTCTACAGCAAACACAGAGCCACATGTGGTGTCACGCGTAACTACGCCATGTAAGAAACAAAAGCTGAACTCCTGTGTAGGGATGTGTGAAAGACTGCAGACAAACTGTAGTAAATTACTTAATGTGAGAGAGTTGGAGCATCAGGATGAGAATAATGAATGAAACCGCTTGTGTTCTAAGTGTCAAACCCAACATTTGAGTAAATTATTGTTTGTATCTTGACTGTGAGGTTTTCCTTCAAGCAGGTGCAGTGCCATTAGTTTTATGGTGTTTCAGGAAGCTAAGACCATGTTTGCTTTTTCCTGTAGCCATGGTTACAATGTGTGGCGAGACCCGATGAAGCCCACACAAATCTTGGCTAAGCTGTGCAAGGACGGCAAACTGGACGGGCCTCACTACGGCCCTGGAGGAAGAGTGAAGGTGGAGAATCGTGTTTTCATGGCACCGACCGAGATAGAGGATGAAAATGGTATTTTATGACCTTCTGATTGTCTGACTACATTAATCTAAATACTTACAATGAATCCAGGAACATTTATGCAAAGGAAATCCCTAATGGGAGGTTGGCAATGCAAGATTTCATCCTGATATTACTGTTGTTCTTTCTCTGGAGCAGCCTGCGAAATGCTGACACTCTAAGAGCTTCAGTAAAATGTTTAGCAAAAAGCAACTAGACTCATCCAAGAAGCTTTTTAAGTTCATCTTCAAGAACCTGAAAGTCGAGTCAAGTAGCTTTTTATTGAAGATCATATTATTATAATGACCTGCATGAGTGAGACTCTACACAGACATAAATGCCAACATCTTAAATTAAAAAATGTGATTTTATTTCGTTTTGTTTGGCTTTATTTTCAGAGTACTCGTCTGAAATGTGTCTTGCATCCAAACATGTGCACATAAATACTAAAAACACAACATTTCACGAAACAGCAACATAAATACTACAATATACAAAAGATTATTATCGCAAACAAGTGGCTAATGTGCATCAGTTTAATTATCCACACAGGAGCAATGAAACCTGTTTAGAGCCCAAATTCTGAATAACATTAACAAATGAGTTCTGCAGTCTGTTCATTTGAGCCTTTGGAACTGATAAAATAAAATATGATGGACCAAATGTAATATTATCTATTCTTGTAGTTTACCCGCCTTGAAAACTTTGACCCACACTTTTTGAGCTGACACATCACAGTCTCCTGAGAGACAACTGTACAGTGCAGTGGTGGCTCAACACTATAACTTAATGAGATCAAGGGTGCACTCTAGGATAAATCACAAAGATTTGCGGTGATGTCTGTCAGGTTTGAAGAAGCAGACTGATGAACACCTCGCTCTCACTGTGCTGAACCATTGGGAGGAAATCCCTCGAGTCGGCTGCAAACTCATCCCCGAACACGTGGAGACCAGACCACTGCTGCACCCTGACAAACCAGGAATTGAACAGGTATTTTAACGTAATAACAGAAATGTCAACCAAACAAGCACCTTTATCTATTATTTCTTTGCATCCAGAAACAAAATGTTTTCTTGTGTTCAATTGTTTGCAGGGAAGAATTGAGATGTGGGTGGATATGTTCCCAAAGGATATGACTGCGCCCGGCCCGGCACTTGACATTTCACCAAGGAAACCAAAGAAGTACGGGTCAAATTGTCAATTGGCAGCTCTCATTTACACAGTTTAATTTATCATTATCCAAAATACCACTGAGAAAGGTCAGATCCTTGAGAATGTATCTGAATAAATGATAAGGTCTGATCTAAAGATGCTTGTAACTGCCATCTCTGATAATAATAGATATTAGCATGTCATTATATGCGGTTATTTTTGCTTGTGTGCAGGTTTGAACTGAGGGTGATCGTCTGGAACACAGATGAAGTGGTTCTGGAGGACGACGATATCTTCACTGGCGAGAAATCAAGTGACATTTTTGTTCGCGGGTAATCACAAGCTTAAAGTTTTTGATGTACTGTTTCTCTCTTTCGTTTCATCTGCACAGCTACATCAAGGCACATTTACAATCTAGAAACACATAAAAAATCATCTACTTCTTATATCCCAATGAGAAAATAGACAGTTTCTTGGTGTAACAAGAACTCTGAGTCCATTCTACATCTTTTTCTTCCTCTAACAGCTGGTTGAAAGGGCAGCAGGAGGACAAACAGGACACCGACGTCCACTATCACTCCATCACCGGAGAGGGCAACTTCAACTGGCGTTTCGTCTACCCCTTTGACTACCTCATGGCTGAGGAGAAGATTGTCATCTCAAAAAAAGAGTCCATGTTCGCCTGGGATGAGACCGAGTACAAGATCCCAGCTCGACTCAACCTGCAAGTGTGGGACGCTGATCATTTCTCGGCAGATGATTTCCTGGGTATTGTTGCTAATCATTTAAAATATTTGAGTAAAGTTTTGTTTACCTAATACCACTCTTATAGACTCACTTCATTATGCTGCAGAGACACTAAATTCAAGTAGCATTTTGTAGTGAAATTCATCAGGTCCTTTCAGTGTTAGACATGGAGCAGTATTCTGTTTTCCCACCTTGTCGATTAACCTCTGCTGTGTTTAATTCAGTGAAAAAATGTCTTCATAGGTGCGATTGAGCTCGACCTGAACCGTTTCCCGCGTGGTGCAAAGACCCCCAAGCAGTGTACCATCGAGATGGTGACAAACGAAACAGAGATGCCCATGGTGTCCATCTTCAAACAGAAGAGGATCAAAGGCTGGTGGCCGTTTGTGGCCAGAAATGAAGAAGATGAGTTTGAGCTCACGGTGGGTCACAGCAGAGACACGCCTAACAAACGACAGGGGGAGCTTGGCTTGGCTATAACGTATTCCTGCTTGGCTATGCTGTTTTTTCCCTGCATTTCTGTTTTTCTCTATCTTGATCATGCACGAAATGAGGCTAATATTGACGTGTGATTGATGCTTGAGGGCAATACATTACGAGTTTACTTTTATAAAGATACCAGCATAGAAGCAGGTTTTGCCGTCATTATTGATGTTGTGCAACAAAATATCATAAACTTCACTCAATTTATCCCAAAGATCAGAAAAAAAACCTTCCTTTATGTTACCTGCTATTAACAAATAACAAAACAACCCCTATGAAGCTCAGCCCTTACTCTCTGTGGTGCTAAAAGCAGTGGCTAATTGTTATCTGTTTTTTATTTTTATTTTTCATACTCCTATAATTGTGAGTAAAAGCTATATCAAGTGTTATACAAATGTATCTGTTGTTTCTAACCACTAAAAAGTGAAAAAAGTAGGTCGTCCCTGCTATTATGTGCTATAATGCTAATACTTACTTGGCAACATGCTCACCATGACATAGCTAACATACAATTATTTAGCAAATACAGTGTTTGCGATGTTCACCGTCTTTGTTTTATCATGCTAACATTTGCTGATTCGCACTAAACAGAAAGTACAGCAGAGTCAAATGAATGAAAATTTTAATGCTAGATGAAAAGTGATGAAATTCCTACTAAGTCATAAGGATTCATCCTCTGAGGAGCATGAATTTTAAGGCAGTTCATCCAATAGTTATTGAGATATTTTAGTCTGGATTGACCAGCACAGTTGACGCTGTCATCCAGAGATCAATGACATCAGGAGGACTAGAAAATGTCTGCATGTATTCATGTAACATTGTGACTAAACTCCCTCAAGCTGAAATGTTATCCACCTACTTAAGATTGTGCATCTAACTTGAGTTGTTTCCTCAATGGCGCGAGTAAACTTAGTAGCTCTGTGACGAAGTCTTTCGTGTAAACTCTCATGATTTCTGACTGAGATAGTTTTTGTCTTTCCAGGGAAAAGTGGAAGCAGAGCTGCACCTCCTGACAGGAGAGGAGGCTGAGAAAAGCCCAGTTGGTGAAGGACGCAACGAACCAGAGCCGCTGGAGAAACCCAAGTACGAAGGATGTTTTCCCATCCAATTATCTTATAATTATCTTATAATAGGATGGGAAATCTATCAATCTTAACGAAGTCTATAAATCTTACTATTCTTTTGATCTATTCCTCTCGGTGGCATTGTCTAGTTTACTCTTCTACATTTACTCCTCCTACATATATACAGAAATGTACACATGCCAAAGTTTATGTGCATGTACAAATATACACACGTGTAACAAGTCCAGCTTGATTCCAAAAAGCAACCAAAAGCAAAACCACTAAAAAAAACTATTAAAATAAACACTGCAATAAATAAAGTTATGCTAAATAAATTCCTAATTAAATGATAAATCAGTTATAAAGAAGCAAGTGTAAAACAAGCATAAAAAACCCATAAAGAATCATAAATTTGCATAAACAACAATAAAGCTAAAACATTTTCACGACGTGGGGAAAGACATTTTTACGGATTTACTTCAGCCAAGCTCTGGACTTGTCTTCTTTCTTTACATGGTAAGTTGCTGTTTCTTTGTACCTTTCATGTATTTCCATCTGATATCACCTTTAATTTGTTGTTTTTTTCTCTCTCTTTTTTTTTTTTCCTGTTTCAGTAATGTCAGCTACATTTACATTCAAATTTAACTCGGAAAAAGAACAACAACACAATATAATGGTTTGCAGCGCTTGAAGTCTGTATTACTCAACATGCCCATTTCTGTCCTTCCAGCCGTCCAGACACCAGCCTTCTGTGGTTCCTCACTCCCTTCAAAGCCATAAAACATTTGATCTGCACCCAGTACAAGTGGCTGGCCATCAAGATTGTCACAGCTCTCCTGCTGCTGGCTATGCTGGCTCTTTTCCTCTACAGCATGCCTGGTTACATGGTCAAGAAAATGATGGGAGTTTGAGATGTTGCTCAGGCACTTCTTCAGAAGGTTCCAGCAGTTTCACTAACCAGACGACTTCTTGCTGTCTCTCTTCCATACTTTACATCTACACTTTTCTTTACACTTTAAAATAGATTCTGTGATATAGTTTGAGCAGACTAAGATAAAACGACGGGGAAACTGCATTCTGAGAAATGCATTTTCTCCTAAAAATGACCTTTTTGACCTGAATATTCTTATACTGACTGTAATTTTTTAATATAACAATGTTAACAGACCACTTTTACAAATTCTATATCAGCTGAGTATCTGTTGAGATTAGTTAGGAGGTAAAAATTGTATTTAGGTGTTTAATTTTCTATAGATAAAGGTATTGATTGTAGCTGAAGTTAGCAATAATGTTTACATCAGGTTAGAAACTAGATAGGTCGTCTTCACTGAGGAGTGAAGAAAAAAATCTGTTTACATGCGTCACATTTTATGCTTTCTAAAATTACAATATACAAAGTTTTGTTGACGAATAAAAATCTGCTGCAGTGGAGTAAGAAATGCACCCGACATCAACCTCAAGAGTAAGTCAATAGAACTGTGGAGAAAAGTCAAAAGCACCACTTCAAGAGATGAAACCTGCCCTCTTTAACCAGAAATAGAGCTACTCAGAGATACCTGCCAAACAAAACAGAGGGTTTAGAAGACTTTACCGAAACAGGGCAGATGCTCAGACCTGAAATTGGACCCAGACAAGTATTAAAATTACCTTCAGGAGTTGCTTGTTTTAGCTGGAGATGGGACACACATGCTTGTATAGCAATGATGCAAAGACCGAAGAAAAACAAAACGGCTGCTGAATATACTTTTTCTACAGTATGGGAGGATTTTAATGTTCAAGCTGCACAAGAACTAAACAGAGTAAAACAACATCCCTAAAACCATCAACTGAAACTGATGTGACAAGATAGCATCAGTGAAAATGTTAATTAAAAAAAGAAGCATGTCAAGATTAATCCAGAGGTCGATTCATTTGATCACGTGGAAATGAAGAAAAGAAGAACAGAAGTTTGGAACCAAATCACCAACTGGTTAACCTTCCCTGCAGTAGTGCTGACTGCTTTTGAAATGAAATAAGAACTTTGCATTGTGGTGATGTGGAGTTCTTATTTTTCAGCTACTTTTGTTTGTAGTCCAATTATGTTTATATGCATTTTTGACCATTAGCGAGCATGTTATAACTTTGCAGTGCGTTAATGAATATTTGATGCCTTACTTCACAAGAAGAACTATTTTTGTGACAAATAATATCCTAGGAAAATGGAAGTTTTCTACAGAAATTGTAGTGTTCAAGACAGAAAGAAAAACAAAGCTGATATGTGAAAAATCTTAC